AGAGCAGGGTATCGAATACTCAGAGCGCCATCTTCACTGCCACCGTCTCCGCCAATCAGCCAACCCTTATGGCAATGGTTGGTCTCTCTTCTATTTCCCGAGAAGGAACCATGCTATGCGGCCGCTGGACCGCTTGTTCGTCCGGGTCTGTACCGATCATACAAATCCATTTACAAGCAACTGGCGATTATTCCTCGTCACAAGCCATCTCAGGAACTTTCTTCATGGGAAGTTCAAGAGCCTTTCAGGATTCACTACCATGTGTGGAAAGCAGGGACCTCGCCGTGGTCGAAGACTCGACCTCCACCTCCTGACTTCTACTTGGCTATTGTCGACACTAGAGAAACCTCTGTTCCATCATTAGAGGAGATATCAGCACTCCTTGACTCATCACCTTGGGATCCCCCTAAAGCTCAGTGGAATAAACCGGGACAGATCTATCCCAGGCTGAAATGGGGCTGGAGGAACGTTCTTGTCGCTATAGTGGACCATGGAATTGTCAACTTCCTTCGATTCGGAGAAGGGGCATTTGGCGAAGAGCCTCTGTATCCCAGGTTCGACACAGTCGGTGGGCCACGAGGAGGCAAGCGAGGCGGTCGAAATCAACGTAGTGGCCGAGGAGGTGGACGGGGAAGGGGAGGTAGAGGGCGAGGAAGATAGGGTATCAAATACTGTATGCCATCACCCCCTCTCGAAGACGGCTCGGGCTAGGCTACTGTGCAACAGGTTCAAATCGCCTTCACTTGACCACCCCGAATCACATGTGAAAGGAAGTACCCCTTTTGTCTATCTCCTGTTATTCGATTACTTGTTAGTGGCAAGTAAAAGAAAGAGCGTCCTGCTAGAGATTATTTCATGCTGTGGTGATTGAGTTGACTGTTTAAACGCCGTCATAAGTGGTTTGACACGCTTTGCCTCTTGTCTGTCAACTTGTCTGCCTACAGATCTGCCTACAGATCTGCACAAAGTCGAACGAGTGAAGGAGATTTGTATTACCCTACAAATCGCTGCCTGTTCAACTTTGGGGCATGGTAGTTGGTTGAGACTTGTGACAACAAGAGCTACCTACATTGCACTGTCCATGGTGGAACCAGTTGAAATTGAAGACTGTTGAACAGCCGAGACAGCATCATACTGGGATTCGTGCTGTTAATTGTCGTGAACCCCTATGGTCACACCATCCTATTGGTGTTTCATATGCATGTCAAGTGGCCTCCACAGTCATCTTAATGGAGCGTGCATCTCCTCCGTGTAGATGCACGCAGCAAGTTAACGACAGTTGTACATTGTCACATGGCAAAACCGCCGTGGTGACTGTCCGTGGCGGATTACAAGCAACAGGTAGGCTAAAAGATGATACGGTTGTCCCCATGCTCTCGGTTCGTAAGGTAGCTAGTTACCGCAATACTCAAAGCTTATCAGCCCTCCCAGTGTCTGGTTGTGCTAGCGCCTGATTATGATTACTCAATGGTAACGCCGCATCTGGATGCATTGGGGAACAAGTCGAGATGCTTGGCAGTCACATGATGGATTGTGGCTTTTGATGGAGCAATGGTATCAATTCCCTGACCAGGTGCGGGCCACTATCCAAGATCCAGAGGCAGCCAGAGCATCGGTGAGTCTTGATTGACTCTTGTTGAGCACAACGCCGAGTCACACAACGCAAGAGGAACGAGGCACTCTACTGGTGGCGGCTGAAAGCAAAGACATGGACTTTTTCTTCTTCTAGTCTTGGGGAGGAATCAACTGCATTTTGAAGCCAGTTTCGGGCCAGGTCGCTTCGCTTTGCTTTTAGCCTATCTCTGAGGTCAAGTTCCAAGCGTCCGCTTTGAGTTTCGCGTTCCCGACAGTAACCCAATAAATCTCGTGTTATCGGGGCGCGATGGGGGAGCCAACCAAGCCAGAGATGCACACTACCTACACATCCATCAAATCAATCAATCAATCAAATCATCAATCAAATGAAATAAAAAATTGGACAAAAGAAAGTCAGACCTGCAGAAAAGACGTATCGGGGGCCAGCTCCTTGCCAGCCAGGCCACAGATTGGCCAGTCTCCTACCTCAATTACCTGTTCAACACGTTGTTCTTCCGTCAGTCGGGAAGCAAGCTCCTCTCTTCTGGTCTTTTTGTGCTTCGTCTTAGTCCCACCCCCTCCCATTCCCGCGAGTCTTGCAGTAATTGATCGACGATCCCGTCAGCACCGGAATGAGGAAATGGGCGGCGGGTGTTAGCTCTTTCTGAATTTCTCTCACTCGCTCTGCCGCGACCAGGCAGGAACTCTTGTGTTTCAAGCGAGACACATGCCAACAGGCCGTCAACTCGTGCAGTATGGGACGATTTGCCACTAATTTTTCCGACTTGTCACCGTGGGCCACGGCATGGAGATTTGCCGTGGGTGTGGTGGCTGGAAGAGCTTTTTCAAGAGGCGCTAGCAGCAGCTAAGGTACTTTAACCTACTTACATTATCATTTAACATTAGCATCTCATCATTGATTTCAATGGACCCATGGGCAGATAGATGGATGGATGGAATCGATGGGTGGATGGATCATTACTTTGCTAGACTATTGCGGACACCCCGGCAAACCGGAGCGTCTAGTCTAAGGTAGTCAGCGGCCAAATTCGTGCTGAGCTCACACATCATAATCTCGAAGCTGGATGGTCTCATATGGATGTCGTAACTGCCGCAGAGCCAAGAGGTATCGCCCCGTTGATTCCGAATAGCGCCGCAATTGAAGCTACAATGCACTGATAAGTCGGCCATGCCTTCAGTTTCGCAGCTCCTCGACAGGATGCAATGCGCATCGCTTGCGAGCAACTCGGAACTGTTGTCCCAGGACTCGCTTCTCATTTCGTTGCGTAGGTTGCACGCCGATAATGAACCATGACCAATGACGCTCTTGGATCGCTCGCTTAGCTTTAGACTAGATCTCTGCCCAACTCTTGGGAGAAATCTGATGAGTGGGTGAGTGAGTGACTGAGTAGAGAAAGAGGGAGGGCATTCTTTTCGGGACGAGGTTCCAGCAAGTCGGGAGGTAGCTAAGGCAATGTCAAGTAGGCAATCGCTGCTGCATTTGCCTTTCCTGGCCTGATCTTACCTTACCTTGCTTTGCTTCCTCGCCTTGATCCCTCTCATCACCACCATCCCAGGTAGCGTACTCGTCTGGTCCTAGAGTCGTGACCAGGTCGATCTGCCCAGTCAGTCGGGTCAGTAGGTTAGGTTAGGTTGGCAATAACTTTAGTTAGTTGGGGCATGATGGACGAGGCATGCATGTACATAACAGTACTCTGTGAAGGTAACTCAGGTACATGGTTGGTGCGAAACGTGCCTAAAGTACCACAGCTAAGAAGTTTGAAACCCATCCCCATCCCTTTTAAACCATTACGCTTTCTTCCCACTTATTTTCCTTTCCCGTTACCCACTTCCGGTTCATCTCTTTTCTTTTCGACCCTTTCTGCGACAACTCTCACACTCACTCATTCTTCTCTCTACTAGTCTGCTCTGCTCTGCTCTTCCCTCCATCATCCCTCACTTTTCTCTTCTTCTTCTTCTTCCAGTTCGAGTCGCGCGTCATCTTCCACAACACGCACTCTTGGACCGCCGTGTTATCTAAGCTCGTGTCCACGGTCTTCTCCAAGCGGCAAAGCAACATCTGTATTGCAACTTGTGCATCAAATTCACTCTACTGCTGGTGGAAGCAAGTCAACAGCTGTAATTTTCTTCTCACACAAGCGCGCTAATACGCGCACACTACGGCAACACAAATAACAGACGCTCGCCCTGTCCGTCAGCGTTTCCCTTCATCTCAGCCAGCCACCTGCACCGAAACTGTGCTTCGCACATACGTAACCATCATGGAGGTTTCTGATACCACAGAGGTTCAGAAGGCAGAAGTGGTTTCGCCTCCCGAGGTTAAGGAGGCACCTATCGAGACAGAAATGTGAGTAACTTGGACTTTCGTATCACTTTTGTCGTTCACATTGCAATTCCTCGCTCTTTCTTTCTCATCTCCCTGTCCCTTAAGCAACCCACACAACCTGCGTAACGAAACCTTTTTTTTTTTTCCACAACACCTTGTCACGTCTTGTGGTTGTGCCTTTCTACGCGACAACCTTCCTACCCCAACCCAACCATCCACGATCCATCGTCATCCTCCTGGCTGTTCTTTTACCTCTTTCATCAAGTACCTGCAATTTACACTTGCCAATAACTCCAGCCACCTTGATTGGCACTTACACTCGCTCTATCAACGTGGCCTCCAATTGGAAGCGCAACTCTGAGTCTGAACGCCTCTGGGACCTGCAACTGCAACAGTTGTCTAGGCAAGTTCCCAGCTGACCCAAGCTCCCTTGCCTGACCTTCCCTTCTTCTACCATATCCCATCACCAGTTGTAGTCACGAATTTTTCCCCGTCTTTACCGCTCATTCTCAGAGCACGTGTCAGAACTACAAGACAACCAATTCTCAGATTCAAGTGATCGAGTCACATTGACAAAAATTTTCACGAGGCAACAACTGGTTACACACTTCCGCGCCTCAACTCCGCGCCGCATCACAGCCAACACCACAACACATTGCATCAGCCCTTTACACTTACTTCTCTTCCTGCACTTCGTCGTCTAGTGAAACAATTTTGTCGGACAACACTGACTTAAGCAGCAACGGAAAGCTTCCCGAGGACCAGCCCATGGCCTCTCCACTGTTAGTATTTACCTCTTTCTTGTTTGATAACCCCTTGCACTTCGTCTGAAGTCTCAACCACCATTGCACTAACACTCGGTCACACCTTCCAAACCTCAGTATTACTACCTACCCATTTTACCTTTCAACATCTCCATACCTACCTAGCACCTTGGCAACTACCTCAACCCGCAATCATGTGTCTTCTCATATCCCCTTGTCTAGACATCTACCCCTACTTCCCTCAATCCCGCCTGACTGGGCAAACGTTGAATTACGGATTCGAACCAATTGAAGTCCAACGTACTCAACAGCACATGCCTCCCAAACTTCAACCTCATGACCCACTCGAGAAGGTTCGCCTGAGACTAATTTTACCCAGGCCGATCCAAACTGTCAACGGTGCCAAGAGTCCAGACGAGGAGGACACCATCAACGACGATAACCTTACTCCACCTCCCGACACCATGAGTCCCGTCTCCAGCATTCCCAGCGGCCCTCACGTCAACGAGGGCGAAGATGAGATTGTTGTCGGCGTCACCGCGCAGGCGAAGTCTTCTCCTCTTCGCGTCACGTCTGATCGCGAGGATCATGAGATGACCGACGTCAACCAGAGTCTGCCGATCGTCTCACACTATCCCAAGCGTAAGCGCGCTTCAGTCTACAATGACCTGTCCGAGGATCGGATTGAGACCAGCTTCGGTGGCGATTCGCCTGTCCCTACTCCGAAGACTGTTGGCCGACCCAAGACGAACCATGGTATTGGTGCCGTAAAGGGTGTTGTCCTCGGCTACTGGCGCGAATCCGAGGCGCCCGACGAGAAGGACAAGCACCAAGTGATTGGCTTCATTGACATCCGCGACCGTCTTCGAACTCGTGTGCAACCCAACAATCGCGACGATGAGGACATCTCCAAGAGATACCCGCTTCCTCCTGGCCCTGGTGGCAGCTGGGTCACCTTCGACAAAGTTGTCTTTGACCAACACCTCGTTAACCTTGATCACAACCAAGTGAAGGAGTATGTCAAGATAGTGTCAGAGAACCCCATCCCGAGAGAGCCTCGTGAGGAGGCCCTTGTGCTCCAGAAAGCCGCTGTCGTTGAGGCTATTGACCGTGTCAAGAAGAACCCTCCGCCAGAGACAGCTACCGGCCCTCAGATTGCGTACGGACGCGATATTCCTCCGCACGCCCTTGAGGCTCAACATACCGTCAAGAAGAGACGGACTGCCGGCCATGCTGCTGCCGCTATTACAGATACTTCTGATCGCACCAATGCTGTCCCGATTCCTGTCTTCGACTCCCTTCCCGGTACTCGACCCACCAAGATTCTTCTAGGCTACTGGGCCAAATCCGATCAAGAGCTGCCAGACAAGCATGCTGTGTTTGGTATTCTGGGCGCGAACGACATGTTCCGTGTCAAGGTCACCAAGGAGACTCGGGATGGTCGATCCGTAGAAGGCAATTTCCCGACCGGCGCTGGAGCATTGTGGATTCAGTACGAGGACGTGGTGTTTGAACCCCACCTGAAGGACCTCGGAAGACCAGAACACAAGGAGTACGTGCGTGTTCGTCAACGACAAATCGATGACGGTGAGCGACCCGAGGAGAAGACGGAGAATGAGACGAAGGCGGTCTACGAGGCTCAAATTCGCGCGGCTGCTCTTGCCTCTCACAAGTCGGATCCCAAGGAGCGTCTTTCGTTTCCCGCCAACGGTATCAATATTAATGGTGCGACTGACCCCGTCTACGAATCTCCTCCTTCTACTGCGGTCCTTCCTAAGCGCGAGGGTCCCGGTCCTGAGCTTCGCCACAGCCGCCGTGCTGATACCATCGCTGCCAACCGAGGCGGACGTCATTCCCTCCCGAACGGTGCGGAGCTCCGTGCTGCCAACCGCACCTCGAGTGTCGATCCTCTTGAGCGCACCAACAGCATCGCCCAACGCGAGATTGCCCGCGCTGAAGCTGCGCAGGAGCGTGCTGACCAGCGTGCCGCCAACCGCTCATCGTCTGTTTCACTAAACTCGAACAAGACACAATTTCAACAGAATGTTTCGCGTCTGAATAAGGTTTGGGCCGCACAGGAGGCTAACCGTCTCGCCGCTGGCACCGAGGATGCTAAGATCTACATGGGTATCAAGTATGAACGGAAGGCGACTGGCCCGTTCCAAGGCAAGCTGGTCAGCCAGGGCACCATCATCAGCATCGACGGCGAGGACTATGTCGAGTATCGTGTCCTCACGAAGCCGAGCTTCTTCTAAAATACTCAACCATATCAACTCACGTGAAGGATCGTGCGATGGACGGTCTCCTGTACATCTTCTTGATTGAATGGACTAGACTGCTTGATGGGATTGGCCGTTGGTTATCTGCTTCTCGGTTCTTTTCTCCTTCGCGTTTCTAGACGGCACAGGTCAAAAGTTTTCCTCTTCCCGGTTTCTTCTTTGGTTCAGGCGTTCGCTCGGTCTCGGTCTTGTCGTTTCTGGTCATCGGAACAATACCCAGATGTTTTTCTCCTTTCCTCGTCATATCTTCGGCATTCAAGATATCCATTGAGACACATTTTCGCTATGCGAGATAGTTGTCTCTATAGGGTCTCACGAAGCTCACACTTTCTCACGCGCATTCACCCTCGATGGTTTGGGCCTCAGTCCTGGCCTCTGCTGAGACTGTTACGGTCTCATTCTCGTTGATGGGGTGGCACAATTTGCTATTGGCGGCGTTTCGGCCCTCAGGACGGCAAACAATTGTTTTGATGTACGTTATGTATGAGTACCTCTCGGCACAGGGGCGGCAACACAGGGAACAGGTCGCAATGAATGCGTGGAAGGTTGTCTGATGACAAAAATACGAACCCGCGAAAACCGGTCTCAATTAATATTTTCTTGCTTGTATGGGGTTTGGCTAGGCAGACTGTGTTTTGGCGGCCAAGCCCTGAGACAGCATAGGGGGGAAGATGGTCTCTGAACGGTCGCATGGAAAGATTGGTTCGACGATAATTTCTAAGGAGAGACTGGCCACGATCAAGAAACCGAAATTCATATTTGCTTGGCATTGGAATCGAAAATCTAGACGGAAACGCTTTACCTTCTGGGGCAGGGCTTAGTTTAGAGAGAGTACAATCCTTACGTACTGAGCAATCAATGGATTTCGTAATTATTCACCTAGCTGTCTTTTTGTATTATGAAGAGTGAACATAACCTTGCCTGTGACAGTGAGTGAGTTAGCTTGCTCCTGTGTGCCCTTCTTACTGAATGGAATTTTCTGCTCTTTGACGCAGGCTGTTAAGGCAGAACACATCACTAATGGGCGGCATAATTTGAACGACTAAATGAGCTTCTTTGGCCCTTTTCAGAACTCTATACTGGTATCTCTTCCATGTCCTTTTATCCCAACGAACCATATCCATCATGCCGTCCACCCGGACTCTTTGGCTCATCCGCTCATGCCGTCTCGCCATCTTTCTTCTCCTCGGCCGCCTGGTCCTGCTCGTAGCCCTCGGTCTTCATATCGCTGAGACCTAGGTCCTCCTCTTCCTCTGCCGTCCGCTCGTACTCCTCTACAGTCATCTTGTCATCCGGCTTGGACGGGTCGTCCGCCATACTCTGGACGTAGCTGCTTGCTAGCGGATCGGCAAGAATGATTGTGAACTCCCGCTCGCCCTTGATCGCGGCGTCGAGGCCATCGAAGAAGGCCGTCCACCGCGTTCGCTCCTCGCCGCTCAACGAGTCGCCGCCCTGGCTGGTACTGGAGCCGGCATCGACCTGGAAAATCTGGTTGCGTAAGTCGTCTCTGACCTGCGTCAGCAGACCCTCCACGGTGGTGAACCTGCCGCCGAGCGTGCCGGGGTTGACGGATAGGTTGAGCTCGGGGCACTCGAGCGCGCAGCTCTCTGACTTGAGGATGTCTCGCGCCAGGTCCTCGGTCGTGGTGACCTTGAGCGTGACCCGCTTGCCCTTCTCCGGGATCTCGCCTCCCGTCTTGACGTCGTTGCTCCGGTAGCCGCACTGGTCGCACACCGTGCTCATCAGCACGACCTGCTTGAAGTGCGGAATGTCGACCATCTTCATGTGCGTGATGCACGGGTGCATGCAGCCGGGGCAGCTCGCGGGGAAGGTGTACACCTCGTCGGGGACGATCTCGTCGTTCTCACCGAGGCGGCCCTGTCCCTGCAAAGGGATCTCGCCGTTGCTTCCGCTGGGGGCGGTGTCTGAGAGGCCGAGGGCTTCGTTCTGCTCGGGGGTTCTCGTATACTCGTGCTTCTCCCACTTGCCCACGCCGTCGCGGAGGTCGGGGGCGATCCACGAGTTGCCGGCAGGGTCGTCCACGAAAACACGGAAGGGGAATGAGTCGCCGGCGAGCATGGCCCGCGCCTTGGCGATGATCTCGGCTATCTTCTCGTACACCTCAGGCATCTGCTCTTTCCGCGCCTCCTGGCCCATCTCCAGGTCGTCGATCGTGTTTGAAAGCAGACCTTCCACATTTGTAAGCTGGCCCTTGCCGGCGGGGATCTCGAGATCCAGCTCGATGAATTTGACGACGGCTGTGTCGGCCTTGACTACTTGTCGAGAGAAGTCGGGAAGGGCTGTGAGTCGCAGTTCGTAGTGGGTACCCTTGGGCTGTACTGAACCGGCTGCCTGGATCTCGTTGTTTTGGAACCCGCAGTGCTCGCAGGAGAAGGACATTATGATGATTTCTCGAAAGAAGGGTATTCTTGTAAGTAAAAGACGTGTGGTGCCCTGTTTTTGGAGTGTCTGTTAGCCTACGGATAGCTCATGTTAGTATGGAAGCGTATGCGACTTACATTCTCGTGGCAGTTCATGCAGAGAGACTCAATCTCCTCGACAACTCTGCGATCGTCATCGTCGGTTTGCGCCTCGCCGTCGGTGGCAGGGGCAAGCTGATCGGCTTGGTTGCCGATGGACTCAAAGAACTCATTGGCAGTGGTGCTGCTGGCCTTCGGGTCTTCTTCTACGGGAGACATTTTGCTTGAGAGAAAGGCTGCAAAATCAAGAGTTCGGGTTTGATAGTTGTGATGCCTGATGTAAGTTCCTCGAGCGCCGAAAATTTTGGAGGGGTATTGCACTGATAATGGCGGGGCGCGCAGATGCAGGCGGGGAGCGATAGGGAGCATGCGCTTATGTCATAAGGTGTGGTGGCGGCCCAGGCCAGGCCTTCGGGAACGTTCTTGAAGGCACTGACAGAGCCTCCATTGTCCGAGTGCTTCCTAGAGCAATCCAGCCTCTCATGCCCCGGCCTGTAGAGTTAGACCATGTCGTCGTCTCGCCAGTCCTTGCCTAGAATACAGAATACTGGCGCAAAAGTCCATGCCCGTGGAAATGCTGAAGTCACTTCTTTTTCATAAAGTCAGATAGACTGAGTCCCAATCCAGATCCAGCTTGGCCGCCAGAAGACTTGCTTTGATCCAGCAGCGCCTGTAGTCCAGCCTTCCTATTCTTGGCCCTTTTCTTGCTGCTGGCATTTGCCGACGGTTTCTGTGCCTCAGCTGGTCTTCCTAGACTCACAGGGGCATCCGAGACTGTAGGCTTTCTCCTTGTGATTGGCGTTGGATTCGGTAATGCAAACTTGGTGTATCTGCCACAGTTGCCACAAGTGAAGACTTTAGAAGAACCAACTTTTGTATACTGCCGCGTTTGACGATGCGAGGTCTTGGGCTTTTGGACAGACGATTTCCTCCGTGAAGCCCGTACAGTCTTGATCTCGACAGAGGTGCCTTGGCCGGGAATCATGATGTGTCCACAGCAGGTGCAAGCATGCTGTTTTTGCGTGTCGCCAAGTTCGATGTCGTTTTCTACCATAAGTTTTTGTCGGCTGCTCATGAGAAACGCTGAAGTCTCCGGGCTTGTAGACGACAGGAGGTGAGCTGCGTCCGTTAGGAAAGTGAGATGCAGCGGCAGTTCTGACGATGCCATCGTGGGCGCAACTCAAGAGGCCCGACGAGAGACTGTTGGTCGTGAGATCAAGGAGCAGGTGGGAGTTGTGAGTGAGACGGAGAAAACATGTTAGTGCTATTGATGTTGAGGTTTGCGCCTCGTTCCAGGGATACGCCACTAAGGGATCCGCAAATTTTAGATACGTACCTCACATACAACCACCGTACACAAGGTACACTACGATTCTACAAATAGTCTCAAACACGAAGCACTCCATCACAAATAGCAAGGATGTAGAAGCCATCGCCTGTAAATAAAAGAGCTCACAACATCGAGGACTCATGTTTTTGGGCATGTGTTTTCCTTGGCTTATGTATAGATAGCAGAATCATTTTGGTTCTCCCCGGCCAGCGGTATATCAATTGCTCTCACAGAGCGATCATGACCGCCGAATTTCCCATTTGATTTCCTTAATGCTGACTTCTTCTCCTGCCTTCTCGTCGTAGTCGAACCACTCTCCGTCTGTAAGTTCTATACCAGTGAATTTGGTTCCGGACTCAACTCCATCCGCCAACCACTCTCCCTAAAAGGACCAATATGAGCTGCCAGGGTCATCTAACATGGTGAAGTGTGAACACATACCTCTGGCGAGAACTCTGTGAACTCTAGTCCTCTGCAGTCAAATTCAAGTATGTTCTTTGCCTTCGCTGGTTCTGACTGTTCGTATGCTATCGGCGCTGCCTTGATTGTCGCAGACGACTCTCTCTTTGAATCGCCCATTTCGTTAGCATCATATCATGATCACGCCGATGAGACGATATCTGTCTAACCTTGCAGTTCTTGCATTTCCACACGAAGTTCGCCTCTCCTCGACTTCCGCTCATCTCATTTGTCTCCTAGGCGTGGGTTAGCTTAAGCTGTCGCTCAAAGACTGCCCAAAGACACTCACAAACCGACTCACGCCCACTGAATTTGCATGAGTTTCTCTGCATGAAGTGCACTGGACTTTGAAAGTGTACCAAAATGGATTCGCCTCAGTATCATCTGGCCGAAGATTTGTGACCCTGGCCCAAAAGTATCAGTACAGATCGAAGCACTTCAGGTCTGATAACTCACCCCTCCATCTCGGCTGTTACTGCAAGAGCATACATGTTCGGTGTCTTTTTTACCGATATTCAGGTAACTTGGCTAGCGATTTATTGAGCAACCGACGAGATTGTGGTTGTCGAGTTCAACAATTTGGCCTCAAAAGGCTTGTGTGGAGGCTAGACATCAGAAGTAGAAAGCATCCTGCTAGGTAGTTACAAGGTAGGTAGGTTTATACCTAGGGAGCTACAGCCGCCCACTACCCCACTAGCGTACCCAAGCGGTTACCAAGTGCAGCGCCGCTTGTTTGACTGGCCTGTGCATTTGGTTCCGGCAATTTTCTTCCTCTCAGTCGAGCTCTCTATTTCATTGGACAATTCTTCACCACCGCCTTGCGATAACACTTGCACCCAAGACACCCGATCATACGACCACCCAGCGACAGCTTGACATCCGCTGCAAGAAGACTCGAAGGCTCGCGAAATGCCTCCAAAATGCAGTCGGTCTTCTCCCGGGCTGCTCAAGCTCACGTCTGCAATTGCAGACCTTGCGTCCAGGCAGCCAATACGATAATCCGTCGATCCGCGACTGCGACAACGAGGCGGAAGGCCACGGCAACTGAAGTCTTCACGGCCTGCTATACCACCATTCTGGGCACTGCCGCTGTCGCAGACGCTCACTACAAAAAGAAGAGGAGGGATGACCTCGACCGTCGACTCGATGAAGCAAAAAATGGTCTAGCACGTCTGACTGACAAATCTGCTGCTCGCAATGTATCTGGCGTCGACGGTCTGATACACACGCCACAGCTTGCGATTCCTGAGTACTCCATGGGCTTGCTGGAGGCCATCAAGTCGATATGCAATCAAGGTGCCCGCCTGGCTATATTCCAGGACCGAATCTCCCATCGACTGGATCTTCTGACCAACACTCATAAGACATTCGCTCAGGGGGAGGTGATCCGTTTGAAGTGCATATTGCCCTCGATGACCGGAGTGTTAGATTTTGGTTTAGTTGAAACGGCATTGAAACTAGAAGAAGAGCAGTCGCTACAGATCGATTCTCAACATCGAGTTCCCCCGACCTCGAGCCATGCTCCCGAACTTGAGAAGATGAGTGATCAACTCGTCGATGCTCTCATCACGGAGGTTTATCGCCAGGATCACCCAAACGACCCAGAAGCGATGAGACGGGCTTTAGAAAGCCTCGATTCCGTCTGGACAGCGATCCGCCTTCTCAGGTCGGATGGTTATCCTCGATACATTCAACCTGGAAAAGATGTTGAGCCTACGCAGGAGGCTCGAAAAGAGCTATATCGTCTTAACAGGGACATCTTTTCCGCCTGGGATCCGTCCCGAGCCAAGTTCTTAGTGGGAAAATTGAGCTTTAATATCTTAAAACCGCCTATACCTCCAACTATTCACACCTACAATGCACTTATCCTTGGATTTACACGAGTGGGGCAGCATACATTGGCCCAGATCGTCATCGATTCCATGCTGGACAAAAGTACATTTCACCCAACTGCACAGACCATTGTCTGCGTCCTTCATCACTATCGGCTGACAGACAACATTTTTGGATTCTACGACGTTATCCGACGCTTGGTAAACCTCAATTTCTCTCAACGAAAGACTACCCAGGATGATAGAGTCCAACTAGACGAGGGAAGAAGGGCTGGCATTTGGAACGTTCTGGACTTCCCTGAACGACCCATTGAATTAATGCAGAGAGATCATCATGTGTACGAGGCAATGATCAGAGGCTTGCTTCACTTTGATCGAGCCAAAGACGCTGCCAAGGTGCTCGTGGCTTGCATGAAGGAGAAGTGTCCCGTCGAGCGTTACACCTTGCTGCGTCTTATACAGTATTGCCTCGTGACTCTGGACAGAGCTGCAATCAGGATCCTCGTTCGTGGAATTCTGGATAATTATGAGGCCTTAGTTTCTATTTTATCGGCACCAGATTGCCCAACGAAGCTACCCAGACTAATTCAGATTCTATTCGAGCTTGTCCGGGTACCTTCTCACCTTCCTTTGGTGCGAGACTCCCCTACAGGCTTGAGTTTGGAGACACAACAGAACTACTTGCTCTTGTCGGCAGTCGTCTTTATGAAGGAGACAGAAAGATATTTGGATCTTCTGAGTCATATAATGCGTCGCGCACACTTAGTGTTGGCCAACGCGAATCTCTCGTTTCTTGATGCAGCTTCCAAAATCTTGCGTGAGCTTCGCGGGATGGAAGTGTCAATGAAGTTGACGGAGGATGAAGCTGCGAGATATGACAAGATGATGTTGTATCACGATGTCAGCAAGCAACTTAAGAACTTGCCGATGCAGATCCGCCATCACGAACGGCGGCTGGTCAATATCCTCTGCACCCGACTACCAAGCTTTTCGTTCATGCGGAAAACGCTTCAGAGAGAAGACATCCCTCTAGCCATCCGTCTCGGGTGGTATCACGAATATCACGACGGACTTTTCACGAGCAATCCTTCTATAATCCATTTACAAGTTGATGTGCATGACGCGCTGACCTCAAGCGCGCGTTTGACGGATAGATTCAAAAGCGCAGCAGTCAGACTCTTTGAGCTGGGGGGCAAAACGCTCTCCATTCACACAAAACAAAACTTCTTAGACCTACCAACCGAAGCTATCATGGGGAAGCTCCGGGCTATGCCTGACAGCAGTATCGCGGAATCTGATGAAGCGACAGCCTCGGCTCCGCCGGGAGAATTGACGCACTTCGCTGGCAATTTTGTATCGAGGCAGCAACCGGCTCCGAGCTTCATAAGCTGGCAGATGAATTGCACTTGAAGAAATAGAGCCACACTTGGACATGGCATGCCACGAGTTTGGAAGAGCCAGCAGTGGATACTGTATTTACACCATTAAGATGAGCAATCATCGTGTATTAGTGTTACGAATGATGAACCTGTATACGAGCCAAGATGACAGCCTTTGTGACCAGCTCTGCCCTTCCCACGATCTTCTTCAGAGATCATGGTAATAAACAACGAGATAGAACAAACAAAGTCTCTAAGTCTAGACCAATCAGTAGAAGGCAGGGTTGTATGGGAGTCCAGACCGTCTGAACGCCATTGAATTCCATCTTAGTTTGGAATGCCCCTGACGATGCAGGTCAGTTGACAGTTATGGTTCCTGGCTAACGTCCCAAGGGTCTTCATGACTCGATCACGAGCCCCCGAGCTTTGAGGCCGGGCTGACCAATGCGCTGAACACCCCACAGAGCGGTGAAGGAGACTGTCGAGATTTAGTGATATGAGTGATCGTAAAACCGGGGGAACAACACTGTAGCACTGCAGCACAACGCCACCGGAGGGCGCTGAGGGGTTTCCAGGATTGCAATGCATGATATCTAACAGGCATCCTACCACCATTTTTACAGCTCCCGAGTCAGCAGAATGTCGAGCCGGTGTGTATCTAGCTGGTGATGCTAGGCCGAGAGGGTGTGCCGGAAGCATGGGGGCATGGGGCAGACAAGCATAGCGGGCCAAGGACGGGTGATTGTCCAGTGATGTCCAGCTGGGGATGCACGGAGGCCGGGATGTGATCTCATAGGCGTGTCTTATGCGGCTTCAATGCACCTGGAACCAAGGCTTGACGGGGCTTGACGCTAAACGATACAGCCGGGGGTGGCCGTAAGCAACTGCCAGAGCACCCACACCACAGCACACACACCCATGAGCTCATGACGAGCAACCTCCTGCAAGCCATTTATTTCATTGTTCTCTTTTGACAGCTCCCTTCCCCTGCCATCCTCTCTGGCAACTTCATCCCGACTGCTAAAACCTCGCGTTCTCATCTCAATTGCACATTGCAGTGACGGTTCTTATTAGACAACGCATTATTCATCAGCCCGTGCCTTGTCTCAATGGCGCCTGAGTCGGACCTTTCGGCGTTACGTATTCAGTCGACCGGTTTCTCTTGATCTCACGCTAAAAGCCCATGCCGAAGTGATCGTCTTCGTACTCAAAACTCCTTCTTCGGGGCTTGCGGCAGGTTCACAGGTCAAACATTGCTTGACTCTCTTGTCTTTTTAGAGGCTCTTTTCTTACTTGAAAGATGCAGCAGACACGTGTGGATTCGGATTTCCTTTGACGTCTCTTTCCTATCATCATTATCATCAACATCATACCTTGCATCTACAAAAATCTCCGTTGCCGATCCTCGACTTATTAGTCAACCGTCACGACAACCTCTTTTACACGTAGTTCCAACCACATCGCCTCAAACGCATTGTAGTAACCCAAAATGAAGTTTGGAAGGAAGTATGACTATCTTCAGCTCTCCAAATTTGATCGCTTTCAAAAAACTTACTCCGTCCTGCAGTCTTCCACGCAACCAGGTCCCCGAGTGGGCATCTGCGTATATCAACTATAAAGGCCTAAAGAAACTCATCAAGGCAGCTGCTGCGACGGCCAAGAGTGGAGAGAAAGTTGATCTTGCAGGTAGGGACTCTCCTCCGGAGCCATGCCGGGGCCGAGCCCAAATCCTAACGAAACGCAACAGAATTCTTCTTTGCCCTGGATCGTAACCTTGAGGATGTCGACACCTTTTACAATAAAAAGTTCTCAGACGCCTGTCGTCGTCTGCGTCTCCTTCAGGACCGATATGGTCGAACTCCGGACGTGGCACATCTTGACCAGGATGAGATCGAGGAGCTCATGGGAGCGCTCCTCGAGCTTCGCAGCCAGTTCAGAAATCTGCAGTGGTTTGGCGAGATTAATCGCCGCGGCTTCGTCAAGATCACTAAGAAACTGGACAAGAAAGTGCCAGATACTACTACGCAACACCGTTACATCTCTACCAAGGTAGACCCTAAGCCATTTGCCAAGGATAACACAATTGCTCGGCTTCTTGCAGACATCAACAGGTGGCTCTCAGCCCTCGGAGATGCGCAGAATTTTGATGACACGAGATCCGAGAGATCTACGAGGTCTCTCGGCCGCGCTTCAGCGAAGGCAATGTTGGCGCTTCCCTCAACTTTGCTGGACAAGCTGGATCAGTCCATCCGCAGTGACGATGTTCAAGCTCTTGAAGCCGGCATAAAGGAAGGTAATCTGACCATCTCTGAGCAGTCGTCCCAGAGCATGCTCTTGAATCTCCTCCAACGATCTATTTCTGCCCGATCGAAAGGATCCATTGACTATCTCCTCGGGATGATCAAGACTCTTGACGAGCCAGACGACATCAATGAGCGCAACTGCATTCATCGTTTAGTCATTCATATTGGCCGATCTAAATCTGCTTCTGCACGAGGACAAGAACCAGAGCCACCCGCCTATCCTTTCCCTAGCGGAGCTCATTATGCTTCGCAGTATCTTACTCCTGCCACATCTCCTCAGTCCTTTCCACGGAATAGCAAACTCAAGGAGTCGAAGCTTCTTGGCAAGGACGATGAAGCAGTGCAGATCCTCATGTACCTTTTCGACTCACTTCGGCCAGACCAACGGCCTGCCTTGAGTGCCCAAGACTCTTTCGGGCGCCTTCCACTGCATTACGCTGCCCAGTTCGGCTTCGTTGTGGTGTGTCAGATTATCATGGCGAAGATGCAGGAATGGGGCCAATTCGACGTGCAGAATGGCATTGACGCTCCAGAGTGGCAGGACAAGGAGGGCAACGCCCCCCTCCATCTCAGTGTGATTGGAGGTCATCCCCTGACCACTCAAGCTCTCCTGCAAGGAGAGAACTGGCAGGGAACAAGGGACAACAAAGCGGACCTTCGACGCACAGTATCCAAATCGAGTGCAGTACTTGCTATTGCGACAAAATCTAACTTCCAATATATCGTGAAGATGCTAGTTGATGCCGGTGTCGATATTAATTGGCAGGATAATACTGGCGAGACAGCATTGCATTTGGCTGCTAGATTCGGACATGCAGAATGTGCTAGGATCCTGTTGGAGGGCAACGATGAGCAAAAGGCCGATGTCGAACTCGTAGAGAAGTCATTCGCGTGGACACCACTGCACATTGCGGCCGTTGACGGTTATCTCTCGGTGGCCAAGCTGTTGGTCGAGGCCGGCGCTGATGTCGACAAGGTTGACTCGTCAGGCTGGACCGCGAAGGAACATGCTGCGCTAAGGGGGCACATGGACATCGCGCGATTCCTTGCCAGCAATTCTGCACCACCTAAGGAAGGTGAAACCACGACAAGCTCGGACGAGGGACAGCCTACGGCGGGTACTACACCCCCTGAGGTGGCATCACTTGAAGATCGCCGCTCAAATGGAGCCACTCGCATCGCAGAGCCTGTGAAGACCTTTGGTCATCGATATCTAAAGGAGGAGAGCCTCGTGCTCGTGAGTCTCGGGAGCATGGACATGCGTAAGGATGTTGAGGCGGTCAAGCTGGACAAGGTTCCGCTTACTGAAGCTCACACCACGCAGCTGGACACTGCGTTGTCCATTGTGGTCTCTGCAACCGGTGCGCAGGGCGATGCTACAATTATTGACCTTCCTGTTCACGAGAATATCTCCACTGAGCCCATCGTTTTCACCACGAAAGATGCCTCTAAGGTGAAGCTTTTGTTTGACATTGTGCCTACCTACTCAGGCAACGAGAAAAACAAGATTGGTAGAGGCGTGGCTCTGCTATCGAGCGTTCGTCCATCTGTTGGCTCGAAGCGAATGAATCTCCAAGGAGATGTTTGCGTACCCATTATGGGGGCGACCTTGGAGGTTATTGGTACAGTGAACTTCAACTTCCTGGTCATTACACCTTTCTCGCATCCCAATATGGAAGTCACCTCGAAGCAGACCTATTGGAAGAAGCTCGCATCGACCATGGTCATTGGTCATCGTGGTCTGGGCAAGAACATCACATCCAACAGGTCTTTGCAACTCGGCGAGAACACGGTCCCGTCATTCATTGCCGCAGCCAACTTGGGTGCTCAATATGTGGAATTCGACGTCCAGCTCACTAAGGATCACGTGCCGGTCATCTACCATGACTTCTTGGTTAGTGAGACGGGTATTGATGCACCGGTGCATACTCTGACCTTGGAGCAATTCCTGCACATCAACCCGGACTCGAGACGTCTGAAAGGGACCGATATTTTGAAGAACCAGATCAAGGCTCGGAGCAACAGTCCTGGTCCTCGACAGAGATCTTTGTCTGTCGGTTATGGCTTCAATGAATCGAATGATCTGGAGGAGCGCATGAAGCACACTCGAGACTTTAAGGCGAAAGGCTACAAGGCGAACTCCCGCGGAAACTTCATCCAAGCGCCATTTGCCACGCTTGAGGATCTTTTCAAGGAACTTCCAGACACGGTCGGGTTCAACATCGAGATGAAGTATCCCATGCTTCACGAGAGCGAGGAGCACGACATGGACACCTATGCGGTCGAGCTCAACTCCTTCTGTGAGACGGTCCTCGCCAAGGTCTACGACCTAGCCAAGGACAGGCACGTCATCTTTAGCTCCTTCAACCCGGACATCTGCCTGTGTCTGAACTTCAAGCAGCCCAACTTCCCGATCATGTTCCTCACCGACGCGGGAACGCTTTCGGTTGGTGACATCCGGGCGAGCAGCTTGCAGGAAGCCATCAGGTTTGCGAGCCGCTGGAACTTGCTGGGCATTGTCAGCGTCTCGGAGCCGTTCGTCAACAGCCCCCGACTGGTGAGGGTTGTCAAGCAGAGCGGATTGATCTGTGTCAGCTATGGATCGCAAAACAACAATCCTCTTCTTGTTCAGGTTTGTCATATCACAGTATCCTAATCTTAAGCATTCGTGTTAATTCTTGTAACAGAAACAAGTCAAAGAGGGCATTGATGCGGTCATTGTCGACAGCGTCCTGGCGATTCGTAAGGGTCTGACGGAGGCTCAGAGCAAGAAAGATGTGTTGCATCAGCCAGAGGAAGAGGCGATAGAGCTCTCGGACGTTCCAGAAATGGAGAGTTCATAGTGAAGGATAGACAAATTCGCGGGTCAATGGCATTTTCTGATGGCATACAAGCATGGAGGAAGGATCTCTGGAGAAGATCCGGGTTTAGATACAAGTCATGATCAACGACGACAACGACCATTACAGCTTACAACGTACAGCTACAGCTACAGAAGAAAAGACGCATACAGCAACACTCAACGATGGATATGCGATAGATTATGGGCTAATAAAAGTTCTCGGTTTCCTTGCATACTCATGCTGAACGTGCTCTCTCAAAGTCTTCGTCGTTTTGTGTAGTCCAACGGCTGGGTACGAAGTCACCTGCTGTGTCATTTGGGCAAGGTATAGCCATCCATCGTGATGAACTATCGACCAGCCAGCTGCAGCCACAAATGGTAGGTTCTCGGACAGAAACGCGCATCCTACGCTTGTCGATGGGGGATTTGCAGTCAGGGTCAAGTGATAGGGGTGTGCCTGACTGTCTTTTGCCTGCCGCAATCTCACCTGGGTCACGTTTGTTATCATCGAAGTGAGATACGGGATGTGTCGTGTGTTTCCAAAGGCCAATAGCAAAGAGGCCGCCCTCTCGGGCTCTATCTCTCATTGCGTGGCTGAATTTTGCCGTTTGTCTCATGGCCTGCCCGCGACTCAGCAGTCGCGCTGGGGCTGTGCTGAAGCAGCAGCATGTCAGTGTTCAGTGTGTCTAATTTCTACATCGCCGCCATCGAGCGCAGCCAACATCTCGTTTAACTTTACGGTCTAATTAGTAGCTTTGCGTTCTTTGAGTCTTTTCTAATTGAAGATTGCCAGAAGTCGCCTAGTCTTGCCGCTTTCATTGACCCATCACCACTCTAATCGCCCGCCGTTGTTTTGTTAGTGACTGACTCGGGCCAAGCGGGCAAAAAGGTGGCTGAGCTGGGCGACCTCCCTCAGTAACCTTGTCTCTCCAGGTGTTGACTTCTGCTGCGTTAGGTACCTAGGTAGCTGGTTTGGCTTCTCTAGGTAGGTACTAGGTAGTATTAGTTGCGCGCCTGCTTGCGGCCACCACAACCACAACGACCACACTCCCTCACTCTCACTCACTCTATAAATCCTCGTATGTCGTAATTCAACCTCCTCCGCGCATCCTCCCTGAAGGCTCTTGGCCCTTTCCCCCTCTTTCCCAGCGCACAATCGCCATTTTCGCATTCGAACCCCCGAACAGCGACTCTTTCCCAATCAATGGCAGGGCCCGCATCCCCCGGCAGCGAGGGGCCGACCTTTGCCCCGCCGCAGCTGCCTCCTGGCTGGATCGCGCAGTGGGATGGCACCAGCAAGAAGTACTACTACGTCCAGCTCTCGACCGGCGTCTCGCAGTGGGACACGCCCACCGAAGCTGCCCCCGTCGGCGGCACTCCCGGCCAGAACGTCGAGCATCCCTATGGCGTCCCCGGCGGCGGCGCTGGCCAGCCGCAGCTCATCACCCACCCGGACGGCACGCAGACTGTGAAGCATGCTGATGGGACTATGGAGCCCGTTATGCCCGGCGGAGACGGCACCAGAGGAGTCGATGGCCCGAATGGCGAGAGAGGATTCGGGGTATGTCGGACTTACTGCTAGACCGTGGGATTATATGATTGCTGACTTGGTATCTCTGTCTAGACAATGGCGATGAACGCGCTACTGGGAGGGAAACAACATGGAAGCAGCAGCGGACACAGCTCGAGCCCGCTCGGCGGCCTTGCAAGTCAGGTCATGGGAGGACTGTCGGCAGGCGGCCATTCATCTGGTGGCCACTCCAGTTCCAGTGGCGGTGGTCTCGGTGGCAAGCTCGTCGGCCAGCTCGCCTCGAATCTCTTCTCGTCGAGCAATAAGCCCTCACAACCGCAGACCTACCACGGTGGACAGAATGCCCAGCCGCAGCACTCCGGCGGGTTTGCTGGTTCAATGATGGGAGGTGTAGCGCACATGTTTGGAGGGTCATCGCATCCACAAGTTCGTGCATACTCAACGCCGCATGAGCAATTGGGAACTAACGAGTTGTTATAGGGCCAGAACTACGGTTACTCTAATTCAGGACAGTCAGGAGCCTACAGCGGTTCGGCGCCTCCCACATCATACCAACCGCCTTCATCACAGCCGCCGACCGGTACTCCGTCTTATCAGTCTCCGGCCGCAGGTCATCAGGCTCAGGCACAGCATCAGAACCAGAATCAGTATCCCCCGCCGCCAGGGCAGCCGCAACATAACAATTCCTTCCCTCCACCACCGGGACAACCGCAGCACCACAACTCGTTCCCGCCTCCGCCAGGCCAGCAAGGGCAGTCATACGGCCAGCAGCAGCCTCCGAGCCATTCGTATGGCCAGCCACAACATAACCAAGCCTATGGACAGCCGGGATCAGTGCCTCCTCCACCGGTAGGTCCACCTCCCTCCCAGCACGGGCAGAGTCCTGCTCCCCAGCAGGGTTATGCTGAACTTTATGGCTCACAGCCGTCACAGCAGCAGCAGCACAGCTACCAGCAGCCTACTTACGGCGCGCAAGGGGGCTACAATCCCGCCTATGGCGGTGCCCCTGCACACGGCACCCCGTCCAACGGCTCCTCTCCATATCCCTCGCAGCCCTCGTACGCAAACCAGGGCCCGCCTATCCCACACGGGTCGCACCCTTACGGAGGGCAGAACAATCGCTATTGAGAGGTATGGAAGGTGGGCTAGCCACGTAGAAAAGTGCAGGCTTTTGTGACGGAGCGTTGGCTGCAAACGGCATTATATATGGCGCTCCTATTGTAACCGTTCTCTGAGTGTCTTTAAGCTTTTTTCTCGTTCGTTGCATTGGAGAGGGTAGATTGGCTTGGAACGGGACTGATATATGATTGATGATGCCTTTGATGAAATGTATGATGCTGCTTCTTCAGTTTTCGGGAGGAAGGCCGCATGTACTTAGTCGTGCACCTTTTTGCGAAGCTTTCTTTAGCTCCTCCGCTTGGCCAGTTTCTGACACGTGAAGCAATCATTGCTCCTTCTTGGTCTTGTTGTCTGGATCCACTGGATGTGCTACATAGCCCCGGATCCAGGAGACGATCCGCTTTGCGAGGAAGAACGACACGACTGCCACGACCACGATGTAGCCAATTGTGGGAATGAGTGACCTTGGCAGAACGTTGTAGACATACGGATCGAGAATGATGTCTACAAACACGGGAGGAACCTGGCTCATCAACGTCTTGTTGGCCGTGAAGTAGTCCGCTGCGGCCAGGATCTGGAGAAAGAGGACGGACGCATGCCTCTCGCCCTCTTCATCGGCGGCCTGCTCATGGACGCGAGGCTTCTGCTCATCGTCAGAGTCAAGCTCCGGCTGCCGAGACATCGAGTACTCGAACAGCGAGGAGATTAGCTCGGGGTCCTCAAAGACGGCTGGCAGCTCATATGTGTTGATGACGAAAGCTGTTGGTTGCTAGGTTGTATGAGCAGAGTAGTAAACTAGTAATGACGATAAAGCTTACTGTTGCAGCCCAGCAGACGCGGAGCTCGTAGCGTTGGCCCTCGGTGAGATTGTCTAGAAGCAACCATGTTGACTTGCCAGCTTGCTTTGACTCACTTGGGAACTCTGCCTCGATGTGAGTTCTTATAGACCAGTTGCTCGGCGTCAGGATGTCAATGTGTAGATCATCTAGATTAGGTTTCGCTGATGGGATGTTTACGGTTTGCGGACCAAGAAAGATTGCCTTCTCTGTGTTTGCTAGAACTTGCTGGAAGCCAGCAAACAAGAGGGCATAATGCCATAAAGCCATTCTGGAGTGAGTATGGAGAATTTATGACACTTCACTCAGGGTTTGAGGAAGTGACCATCGCCAAACTGATCTAGCAATATGTTGATTGGCATTGGGCAAACGTGGGAGCTGAGCTAGTTAACTAACCCCCCTAAGCCACTTGCAGGCATTGCACTAGCCACATTTCCCCAATCACATGCGTGAAACTTCCCCAACTTTTTCGGCCTGCCGTGGAGAGGCGACCCAGTGACGACAACGCCGAGGGAGGACTTAGAGGCACCCGCGCATGCCAGCTAGCCCATGCAATGCCATGCCAGACCAGTCAATCCCTCGACGATGGATGTAACACACGTGAACGACATACTATGAGCACACCTGTAGTCCACTGCTTGCTGCGACTCTAAACAGCGACATCAGCAAGAAGAGCTATTCAATTGAAACATACAGCTAGTCCAACGATCACCAAGAATCAAGAGCCGATCCCGAGCCCCAACCCTTCGATGGTTCGGACCTCGAGATAGCTGTCGCATTCCTTCCTCGAATGCCTGGCAGAGCGACGACCTCCACGATCGCTCGTCATTACCAGTAACTCCCCGATCCACGATCTACGACCACGATCATCATGGCCGGCCAGTCCAAGGTCTCGCCGCCCATACGGGCCCGCACCGTGAAGAGCATCATTGCCCACCTAACGCAGCTCTACCTCCAGAACCGCACGCGCATCTCCCGTGCCGTCTACCTAACCCTCTTTGTAGCCCTCATCAACCGCGTGCGGCACGCCATTGCCGAGCAGAAGGCCGCCTCGCAGAGGGAGGCGGCCAAGCGCGCCGAGCGAACGGGTACCATATCCGCCGCTGGGGCAGGTGACACGGATGCCACGAAGAAGAAGAGGGTCGAGCTCAACCGCGAGTTCTTCCGCTCGCTGCTGCGGCTGCTGCGCATCGTGGTGCCCGGCTGGCGCAGCAAAGAGACTCGTCTACTTATCAGCCACAGCTTCTTTTTGGTTGTTAGGACGCTCATCAGTCTCAAGGTCGCGGCGATGGACGGTGCAATTGTGAAGAGCCTCGTGAAGGGCAACGGCAAGGAGTTCCTGATGCGCATCGTGTGGTGGATGTTGATTGCTGTGCCGGCCACCTTCACAAACTCCATGGTGAGTCTTCCTCTATCTTGTGGTCATCAAGCCCAGAAACCCTGAAATGACTAACCGGTGTTTGCAGCTGTCATGGCATCAAGCCGAGTTGTCACTGAAGTACCGCACGCGATTGACGCAACATATCCACGACAAATACCTTTCACAGTTGACGTTCTATGGCATCTCTGCGCTTGACGACAGGATAAAGAATCCCGACCAGCTGATTGCTGTTGATGTTGCGAAGTTCTCTAACAGTCTGGCGGAACTATATAGTAACCTGGCGAAGCCCATATTAGACATGGTCGGTTTTTGTTTTCTGTAATAATGAAGTCAGCCTGCTAACAACCGTAATCAGACAATATATACATGGTCGCTCTCCAAGAGTGTGGGCGGGGAAGGTGTAGTCTTTATGTCACTGCTCGTGCAGCTTTCCGCAAATGTCATGCGGGCGCTTACGCCCCCATTCGGGAAATACGTTGCGGACGAAGCGCGCCTGGAAGGCGAGTTCCGTTTCCAACACTCCAGATTAATAGACCACAGCGAAGAGGTGGCGCTGTACTCGGGCCATGAAGTCGAGAAAGACACGCTCGACAAGGGGTACTTCACCTTGATCAAGCATGTCAACTATATCCTCCGACGGCGCTTCTACCATGGATTCATGGAAGACTTTGTTATCAAATATTTCTGGGGAGCGCTAGGACTGCTGTTGTGCAGTGTCCCCGTGTTCTTCAAGATCCCTGGCCAGGTAGCCTTGAACATGGGAGACAGGACCGAGACATTTGTGACAAATCGTCGCATGTTGCTATCCGCTTCCGACGCATTTGGCAGAGTCATGTTCTCATACAGAGAAATTATGGAGCTTGCTGGCTACACATCGCGAGTTGCTACCCTGTTGGAAGTCATGGATGACATTCAAGCGGGCCAGTTCGAGAAGAGGCTGGTGTCTAGCGCTGGCACTGAGGATAACGCAGCTGTGCTTAAGGGGAGAGGTAAGGTCATTGAGAGCAAGGACATTGAGTTCATTGATGTGTAAGTTCCTATATCTCCTCTGTTGATGAGCACGTATCTGACCAAGTCACAGCCCCATCATCTCGCCCAACGGCGATGTTCTCGTCAAGGCCCTCTCATTCTCCCTCAAGCAAGGCGACCATCTGCTGGTTGTTGGACCCAATGGGTGCGGCAAGTCCTCACTCTTCCGCATTCTTGGTGGTCTCTGGCCTGTATATGGTGGCACTGTTTATAAGCCGCCCTTCACCGATATCTTCTACATCCCGCAGCGGCCATACCTGTCGCGCGGCTCCCTGCGGCAGCAGATCACCTACCCCGACGGCCTACGCACTATGCGTGCCAAGGGTGTCACCGACGCTGATCTGATGGAGATTCTGCGCCTTCTCAACCTTGAGAACCTGGTCGAGCTGTACGACGAGGGGTGGGACGCCGAGGCTGAGTGGCGTGATGTTCTATCCGGCGGTCTCCAGCAGCGCGTAGCAATGGCGCGTCTATTCTACCATAAGCCGCGCTATGCAATTCTCGACGAGTGCACGAGCTCCGTGACGCTCGACACGGAGAAAGTCATGTATGATAACGCGAAGGCAATGGGCATCACGCTCATGACGGTCAGCCACCGTCGGAGTTTGTGGAAATACCACAGCCGTATCCTACAATTTGACGGGCAGGGCAACTATGTCTTCACAAAGCTTGATGCTGACAGGCGGCTGAAGCTCGAGGACGAGAAGGAGGACCTTGAAGTCTTATTAAGACAGGTGCCAGAGCTTGAGAGGAGAGTACAGGAGTTGACTGCATCGTAGACTTGCTTGCATGTCTGGCGCCAGCAAAGTTGTATATTATGGGATTAAGAGCATATCACAGATAGGCGGGATGGAGTTCAGCATCTTCTAGGCATAATGCCATATATATATTTTTGTTCATATTCATCAAGACTTCGGACTCACACCTTGTGGGCGCCTCTGCTTCAGGAATCTGATGTCTATCAACTGCCAGGCACCCGAAACTCAACCTGAGTCGGAGCCTGAGTCCCGCACCGCTTGAGCAAATAATATCTTTGACGCAATGAAGAAAGCAATGCTCACCAACTCTCTGTCACCCTAGCTGCTAATGTATTGGCAGATGACCAATACAGTAGAGGATATTATCACCTCTCAGGTTGATGACAAAAAAAAAAATCGCTAGACGACACTTGCTGTCATCACCAAGAATGGCAAGACGGCCTTTGAAACTCGTCAATGCATTGACGGAGAGGTTTTACGGGTTGATGTCAGCTCGGCACGGCCTTTGCCAGAAGGGCGGCAGCTTTACTACCGAGTATTTATTTCCTCCCGGCGCCTGGTCTGGGCATCGTGTAGCTGACAAGTCTGATCTTAGTTTCGAGCAGTCTCAGCAGTACCGTGACGAGGAGATCAAGAAGCACGTCGCTGAATACTGATCTAAGGTCAACAACGCCATTTACACCATTATTACACTGAGACCCAGCTGGGATGACAAATATGACCGGCTACACGCCTTCGTCAGCAATATATCTAGGATAATGAGGTAGAGTGTTTACTACACTGAGTATCCCATAGTGGTCATGAAGAAGTATCTGATAGATAACAGCTGTTTATTATTTTTTGGGAGAGGTTTGTCAATATCTAATAGGTAAGTGTTAAGCTATACAGTACGATTGTACTCAGCAACGCTCTCCGTCGACGCTTGTATTCGCCTGCTTGGAGGGCTACGCTCTGGTAAGAGTGACTGCCGGGCACACTTGTGGTAGATGGCGTGCTGGAGGCCCACGCTGTCGGCGCGTGGTGTGTTCTTTAGGATACCAGACTCTTCATCTGATCAGATTCATATTTCTCACTTTTACAGTATATAACAACGTACTATGCCCAGGTGAGTCTTTCTTCACTTCCATCGACATACCGCAGCTGATGGTCTATAAGAACAACAATGCTCTCTCTCTATATATAAGTCCTTCTATTTTCCCTTGAGTATGTCAACGGGCATGATAGCCATGAACTTTGTTTCCCCTGAACCAAATTAAACATCTTCTTGGACAAGAGCTCATCAGCTCATAAACCGAAGTTGAAACGGCAAAGAGTCGCTGGGTGTGAGCTGTGCGATCATCTTTGCTTTCAAATTGCTAGCACAATGGCACACGAGGGCAGGGCTGTGATGTCCGATTGTGGTGTTCACGATCAACACCGCGAAGCAGACACCTCGAGATTTCTAGAACTCGCCTACGAATTACGGGCTCTGATATGGGACTATGCTCTGCCCCCTGGAACAATTTCTATAACCTGGGACCAGGAGAAGATGTGTCTCAGCCTACAACGCCTGAGAAGTGCAGAATCGATGAACATCCAACTCACCTGCACCGAGGCTCGCACCGCATGGCTCTATCGTCACAGGGAAGTCCGTCTCACACAACCAGAAGAGACTGAACTCTACTCAAGCTCGTCAGAGACGGTTCGAATGGATATAGCCCGCGACTTGCTCTACTTCGGCCAGGGCCAACGCGCAATACAGTCCATGGGGGCGTCTACCAGCGCTCTCCTTTCGAACATGCTCGTCACCAATGTCCAGAATGGCCATCACCACCAACACAGCCGCGGCCACCACATCAATGCTGCTGCTCGCTGCCTTCTCCTGCAGCAAGCTCAGCAAGTCGCAGTCTCCCTATCCTCCGACACGACGCTCCTCGACCTCTGCAACGCGCTGGCGCGCCTGCCAAACCTGCACACCGTCATCGTCATCCTCCCACTGGCATACGGCCACGAGGACACGGACAGCGCCCTGGCGGACAGCGTGCTGCTGAACATGCTGGCGCACCTCGCGCGCGCCGACCACGAGCGCAGCGAGGACTTTGCGTCGGTCGTCGCGGACATGGTGGCCGCCGAGCCAGACAGCCGCGTGTCTGCGGCGGCGAAGCGCTACTTCGGGGAGCGCCCCCGGCCGCAGATCAAGTATGTGAAGCAGATGGCGGGCCGTAGGGAGAGTGCGGATACGATTGTCACGCTTAAGGAGTGGAGAGAGCGCTGTGTCCAACAGCTCTACTGAGCGGATTAGAGCGACCGTTGCCTTTCGGAGGTGCTAGGATGAAGCTGTTGAGCGTTTGACTCAGTAACCGCCCTTTCTATGAGAAGACAACACAAGACTGGAAAGTTCATACTTTGGATAGCATAGGTTAATAGATTGTGCGTGAACAAGATTTTGGCATGTTTTTGGAACACAAGACACCAATATATCCCAACGTACATTGCGCCTCACGAAGAGCCAATAGCAGTAGTTGGACTTTTAACGACGGTCAGATTACAGAGCTCTATCTATGCCCTTCACACTCCGTCACTCTTATGAACGTACAATTGTAAATATGACAGACAACTGTGCTAGGTATTCATCCATCGTACTCTTTCAATCCTTCTCTATTCGCCTTTGAACGGCTATTATCTAACCCCTGAACTCCTCCGCCTTGCTCTCCTCCCACTTTCCGGGGACAAGTGCAAGAGGTACGATACCTGAGACGTGCATCTCAGGCCCGAAGATCTTGGCGTTCAGGCCAAGTTCTACAGTCGCCGCCTTCAAGTTCTTGAGACCCTCCTGGTAGTTGGGGCCGGCGCGACGGACCCAGATCTGCACATTGTGCTCATTGAGAGCCTTTGAGAACTCCTTCAGGGCCTTAATGACACCCTTGAAGGTAGAAGCGACGTTTGTGAAGTTGGCAATACCACCACCAATGAACAGGACCTTGCCCTTGGGGGACATGGGCGCGCGGAGCATCAGGTCCAGAACAGTTCGGGCGTAGTAGTAGGTTTGTGACTCGGTGGGAGCACCAGAGTACTCACCATAGTTAGCCAGCTCATCGGCAAAGCCAGCCGAGGCAATGGCATCAGCATAGACAACGGAAGCACCACCTCCAGCGACGAGAGTCCAGATGCGACCATTGGGGTTCAGGACAGTCAGCTTAAGGGAAGCACCGGTCTTGGCGTCCAGCTCAGCGATGTACGCCTCCTCCTTAGTGAGCTCACGTCCGAAAGGAGCCGGGAACTCCAGCGGCGGGCCAGCATCAATGTTCACCTGGCCATTTGAGCTGGGTGCAACATTGGTGAGACCAAGAGCAGCAGGTGAGCGAGCAATAGCCCACTTCACACCACACTCAAAGTCGGCAGTCTGGTCAAGTTTTGCTGCCAGGTCTAGGAAGTGCACTGAAGCAGAGGTAGCATCCTCATTGGGAATAACCACGAGAGGGTTAATCTCGAGGTATGTGAACTGGCAGTCAACGTAGACGGCGTACAGGCGGGTGATGAAATCCACGAGGACATTGTGAATACCCTTGGGAACCTTGCTGAGGAGAGAAGCTGCGATCTGGTCGTTTGAAGGATATTGAGAGAGATCGACGGGGATCAGAAGCTTCTCAGCCTTTTCATCGACATCGCCGACATCGACACCACCCTCGTGCGTGAACAAGATCCAGTCGCCCTATGTCAAGCAAATGCATATTAGTCACTGGTAGAACGCGGCGAACTGCGTGGGATATTCATCATGACAGGGGTGAAGGGTAAATGGTAGTGGATGCAGTGTGAGCCTCTTGCGTGGGTTGCAGCGGCTCACAGCAGTGCAGAAGGGATTTGTGCTAAACATCCGTTCGTCCGTAGGGTCCCAGCTAAACCCATAGAGGAGGTTGTTAGGGAAAACGGTATCCACCACCGCACATCAAGGCAATTCCACAACTCTCATAAAGAGACCAGGAGCCCAACCAAAACATGATTTCTGTGTTCTTGAACTGTTTTGTTATGCCAAAGCCCATTTGATCACTCAATCTCATGGCTTTCTGACCGGCAACTCCCATCTTGTGTGGGGCTATCTCTCTAACCCATGCTTGGCATTGCAGATGTGAAGTAACTCATAAATCGCAAAAAAACGCTCATCACTTACATCTCGGACGGAGTTAATGTTGATGTAGTACTCGGTGTTTGCGGGGTGAGGAACGAAGGGCTCGACGAGGAACTGGCTCAGGAGACCCTCTGTGTGCTCAACCTTCTGGACCTTGCGAGCACGCTCGGCAACCCAGGCCTTGGCCTCGGGCCATGTCTTGTTCAGAGCGAGGAGACCGCTCTTGCCTCGCCTCTTGATGAGCTGATCGGGCTTTGCAACGAACTTGGCACCGGGCTGGAGCAGCCACGGGTAGGTGACCTCGGCCTGGTCGAGGATATCCGCCGGGTTGGCATCCTCTGGGAAGTAGAGAGATGCTAGTCTGGGAGGCGGGTTGTGCTTGGTCGGCTTGGGAAGAGGCGAGGGCTTGATGGTGGGAGCGCGAGTGAGGTGGTAGTTGAGGATGGCCTTGCCGTCGGCCTCGAAGATGGATTTGGCAGACATGGTGGTGAAGAGGTATGTGGTGAATTGTTTTTCCTGAAGTCTATTTCTGTTTTCGAGACAAACTATGGGAAAAAAGTCAGCAAGTGCTTGAACAATCCAGCATCGGCATTGGCAATCAAAGCAATTGAGCGCTTTGTGGAGCGGTGATGAAGCAGGTATGCTGGGGCCGCTCTCATGCGTCGCATTGCCCACCGCCCAACTGGAGATGCGAGCGCAGGAGCAAGCTGCTGCAAGGGACGGACGAACCTACGAATGTGGCAGATACTTGACCAGACAGAGAGACAGACAGTCTTGGTTTCGTTACTACGGCAAAAGTTTGTCTTGAGGACAGTAAAAGCAAGATCGCGAGAGTCTGGATAGAAAAAGGCGGGAGAGGGAACTGGGCGACTCGGTGTTTGGCTTTCTCACAAAAAAATCGAGGATGGCAGCAACGCAACAAGCTCCACGAATTCAGTCAAGGGTGCACGGTGCGAATTTGGGAAGGAAGGGAAGGGGGGTGCGCTTGGGGGAGCAGGCACGCACCTCCCAGCTAGGGAAGGAAGCCACCACCCTCACCCACTGCTGGCACATCATTGGGGCTGCAGGGAGCCATCTAGCGGTAGTGCAGGGGGGTACAAGGTACCTCTGGCCGCCGAAATCCAGCACCAAAAAAAAAAACCTTTGGGGACGACTGGGCATTCGGCATAGCACCGGCGGTCTAAGTGGACAAAGGTACCGGTACTTGCACCTCGTCGTCCAGGCCAACTAGCCCAGCAACCCTTCAACAAAGTTGGGATTTTCAGTCAAACCGAACAGAGGCTACGCAGTTTTACGGTGTGCGCCATCTCGAGTGAGGTGTTGGTCACTGCCATCAGAGAATCACGAGCTGGCTACTTTGTTGGTGCTGGGGGAAGGCAAGATGCAGTCAGACTGCTGTTGCTATTGACGATTGCGATACGATGGGATGGGATGGATGCGATGGGATACAGCATCTCTCACTGCGGATGGGACTTGAACGGGATGAATCGCTAAGTTGGGGGAATCCATCTACTGCGTATGCATCCATCCCACTCCGACTCCCGTTGCCGCTTCCACATCCAATTGCTACCGTCACCGTCAGCCGAAATCCCAAAGGGCAGTCCAGAGATCAAACGAAATCCTCTTATCCAGGTCAGCTCGCTGCAGGCAGCTCAGCTCTTCGGTGCTGTTACCATCAGCAGCCCTCTTGCCCAACCTGACAGACGCAGCATGCTGCTGTCTTGTCATGTCCTTCGGTCCTCGGGGTCCGAAATGATGACTTCGGGGGCTTGCCAGCCAATATTTCATTATCTATGTCATGTTTGCTTTTCGCGCTTTGGACGAGGGTCCGGCTTAGTGTCCCCGTTGCGACTCCGGTGCACGGAGGCAGCTTTGGGGATGCTCCGGTACCTGGAAGAGGCAGGCCAGTTCTCCAAAACGCGATTGCATTTGAACAGAATACTAGCGGTAGGCTTTGCGCCGACCTCATGACGGAATGGCGGAAAGCGTATCCTCCTTGCGCCAATTTGCAGCCCGACAGTGTCGGGGCCATCGTCGAGTCTCGATCGGGTGTTGATTCAATTGAGTGATTGATTGATTGCTTGCGTGCGTGCGTGCGCACACTCCTACAGTACCGTACCGGGATGCGTCATTGCTGGGCGTCCCGAAATACCTAATGGGATCCATCAATGTGTGACACAGCGCCCACCACCCGCTGCAGGCTCATCTATTGCAGTGAGTTATGGGGGGAGGGCGAGTGAGACTGGCCGTATCTCATTATCCCGCATTCCTCATTCCATTTGTTCCACCGTTATCTGCCATCGTTTTTGCCTACTGTATCTGTATCTATCTTTATCTGCATCACGGATAGATCTCTTGATTAGTATTCATATTGGGGTTGCGTTGCACTTTCCAGATCCTCTGGCCCCGGGGAAGGGGAAGGGACTCGTAAGGCAAGACGGCTGTAGGTTGGCGGCGCCTGATTGAACGAGTTACTTGCAGACGGGCATCCATCGCTGTCGCTGTCGTGTGAGCCCTCTCTCCATCTTGTCTTGTCTTGTCTATTTTTGCAACAAGAAACGCCGCTGGGGCAGTGAGGCAGAGTTACGGGGTGCTAGGCCACCAGACCAGCTAGCTGTCGTACCTGAAAAGAGAGTGGGCGGGCCTAAGACTTCCTAGCACCTCCTAGCGGGGGACTGCTTTCCAGGCTGTGCGTACCGGTACTTGTCGTCACTCCGGTGCATCCCAAGCTCAAAGGCGGGGACCAGGGGTCTTTCTCTCAATCCAATCTCACCACAATCGCTGGGCTTTTCGATCAGCAGGAGCTGCATCGCTCAACGGGGTTCAACAAACGCCAACGAAGTTCCCCAACTTTTTTTCTTGGTCGAAATTGGCCATCGATGCTAACCAGGTAGTACTTTCCACCATCCCTACAGCAATACTCGCTATTGGGTAGTGCGAGTACTCGAAAGTCCGGTCATCAAACGGAGTGTCATAAGAAAAAAAACAAAAATAACAGGAAGGAGCTGGAAGGCGCTTGGCACTCGAGGATTGAAGCGAAGACACCCGGCCCCAATCCAACTCGCCCACCACCGACACCGACCGCCAGAACGAACCCCCTACTACAGGGCACCCACACCCACACCCACACCCATACACCGCACCACTGCAGCACAGTACCGTACAGTGCACTTTCCCGCCCGCTTCCTGCATTAGGTTTGCTGGGGGCCTGAGCTGCTTCCCACCTCGTTTTTCGTCACTCCTGAGCAACGCAACGCAGACCAAAAAAAATCACCACCATCCCTTCTTCGATTCCACCTCTCGCACTCCGAACGACCTCATTCAACCTCTTTCCCAAATTCTTCATTTCCACTCAGGTTAGTGATCTGGAACGCATTGATTGCCTTGGAGGTGTCTCGGGCTGCATTTGCATACAAAGAAAAGAAAGGTACGTTCGCTCGTCGGGGGCTCTGTAGCTCTTTCCGCCGAGCTGCACGCGCTGCAACTCGAAAGCTCCGAGGACACGCAGTCGACCAAAGCCCACCAGCTCCGATGAATCCCGAAGAAAAAAGCCTACCAAAAAAGCACTTACACCTGTGATTTTGACGCATTTGCAACTCTATGCTTGCATCTCGTGGGAGCTTCAAGTGGATGGCTGCACCTTCAGCTTGAGATAGGCTGGAGCTAAAAACTGTTGAACGTAGCGTTACAGAGGGCTAACAATTGACCAGACACTTCACCTGAGCGTCCTGTTCGCCATTTTATAATCACATACGGTTGCGACAATGACTGCGACATCTGCCAACCCTCCCGCCGCCACCAATGGTGTGAACGGCACCCAGGGCGGCCTGTCCGCCAACGACAACATCCGCCGCTTTGCTGCTCCTAGCAGACCGCTGAGCCCTCTCCCAGCTCATGCCCTCTTCAACAACAAGACCAGATGCTTCGTCTACGGCATGCAGCCCCGTGCTGTGCAGGGCATGCTTGACTTCGACTTCATCTGCAAGCGTACGACCCCCTCCGTCGCCGGCATCATCTACACCTTCGGTGGTCAGTTCGTCAGCAAGATGTACTGGGGAACCAGCGAGACTCTGCTGCCAGTCTACCAGGAGGTGTCCAAGGCTGTCGCCAAGCACCCCGACGTCGATGTCGTCGTCAACTTTGCTTCTTCCCGAAGTGTCTACAGCTCCACCATGGAGCTGATGGAGAATCCTCAGATCAAGACGATTGCCATCATCGCTGAGGGTGTTCCAGAACGAGTACGTGTCTATATAAACACAGCTTCATATTTGCGAAGGAAAACTAACAAGTATTCTAGCGTGCCCGAGAGATCGCCCATGTTGCTCAGAAGAAGGGTGTGACCATCATCGGACCCGCTACCGTTGGTGGCATCAAGCCCGGCTGCTTTAAGATCGGTAACACTGGTGGTATGATGGACAACATCGTTGCCTCTAAGCTGTACCGAAAGGGCTCCGTCGGATACGTCTCCAAGTCCGGCGGTATGTCTAACGAGTTGAACAACATCGTTTCGCAAACAACCGATGGCGTGTATGAGGGTGTTGCCATTGGTGGTGACAGATATCCAGGAACCACTTTCATTGACCACATGCTGAGATACCAGGCGGATCCTGAGTGCAAGATCCTCCTGCTCCTCGGTGAGGTTGGTGGTGTAGAGGAATACAAGGTCATTGATGCTGTTAAGCAAGGCATCATTACCAAGCCCATTGTCGCATGGGCTATCGGTACTTGCGCAAGCATGTTCAAGACCGAGGTTCAGTTCGGCCACGCTGGCGCCTTTGCCAACTCTCAGCTTGAGACTGCGGCGATGAAGAACAAGATGATGAGGGAAGCTGGCTTCTATGTTCCTACCACATTCGAGGACATGCCTGCCCTCCTGAAGCAGGTCTACGAGAAGCTCGTTAAGGAGGGCACTATCAAGCCGCAGCCTGAGCCTATGGTGCCCAAGATCCCCATTGACTACTCATGGGCGCAAGAGCTGGGTCTTATCCGAAAGCCTGCTGCCTTCATATCCACAATCTCCGATGACCGTGGTCAGGAGCTGCTGTACGCTGGAATGCCCATCTCCGACGTCTTCAGGGAGGAGATTGGCATTGGTGGTGTCATGTCTCTTCTGTGGTTCCGTCGCCGTCTGCCCGACTATGCCTCTAAGTTCTTGGAGATGGTTCTCATGCTTACTGCCGACCACGGTCCGGCCGTGTCAGGTGCCATGAACACCATCATCACCACCCGTGCTGGCAAGGACCTCATCAGCGCATTGGTCAGTGGTCTCCTGACCATTGGTTCTCGTTTCGGTGGTGCTCTTGATGGTGCCGCCGAGGAGTTCACCAAGGCCTTTGACAAGGGTCTAAGCCCGCGTGAGTTCGTCGACAGCATGCGCAAGGCGAACAAGTTGATCCCGGGTATTGGTCACCGTGTCAAGTCAAGGAACAACCCCGATCTGCGTGTCGAGCTCGTGAAGGAGTTTGTCAAGGCCAAGTTCCCTAGCCACAAGATGCTTGACTACGCCCTGGCAGTTGAGACCGTCACCACGTCCAAGAAGGACAACCTCATCCTCAACGTCGACGGCTGCGTGGCTGTCTGCTTCGTTGACCTGCTCCGCAACTGCGGTGCCTTCAGTGCCGAGGAGGCCGAGGACTACCTCGCCATGGGTGTTCTGAATGGTCTGTTCGTCCTGGGTCGTAGCATTGGTCTGATTGCCCATTACCTCGACCAGAAGAGATTGCGCACTGGTCTGTACCGTCATCCTTGGGATGATATCACCTATCTGCTGCCCTCGCTGCAGCAGGTTGGCCCACCGGGCGGTGAGGGCCGTGTTGAGGTGCAGATGTGAGGAGTCTAGGAGAGAAATAATAGAAGAAGGGAGTTCCTGGTGGAATATTGTACTCAGAATCTGTCCGTTAGAGCAAGGACCTATGGTTGCATCCCCGTTTACACGTAGTCGGTGGAGGAATGTCGGGACTGTAAGAGCAATGATTCAAGTGTAGCCGACTTAATACATTGACTTTCTGATCGTTAACTGTGTTGACTATCGTACTTCCAGAACCACTTGTCACATGCGATTAGTTGCGGCTGTATGGGCGAGTGGTGATCAATTTGATTTGGTGGGGTGTGCCGATGCGCGGGAACGCTAAGGTGAGGTGAGTCCACCGAGACTATGTGTTCACCGACAGCTTCCAAAAAATTGTCGAACCTTAGACTATCAGCGTACAAGACTGCAACTTCAATTGTCCTTCGCGAAACACCACCGCCCCAATTGCCAGACAACTGCGCTGTAAAGGTAACTAAACTATTCTGCTTAAATATAGCCCCCGAATTAAGTCCTAGAAGAGATGCCTCCCGAAGGCTGCTTCCGCCATTCAAAACACCTTCAGTCCATTCTCCTGCTAACCGACCACAATCGCATAGACCCAGCCCAGTACAGCGTAACACCGACGACATTAGAGAGAGCCCTCGACGGGCATTCCTCCCAGCGCCTGATCGTGTTCTCATCTCCCGAGAACGCCCTGCCGCGCGGCGGCGAACTCCTATAACCCCCCATATACGCGCATACACGATGTCCTTCTTCCGCATCACGCTGCACCGCTCGGCCATCGGCCTGCCGACGCGCACGCGCAGCGTGCTCCAGGCGCTGGGGCTGCGGCGGCGGTGCCAGACCGTCTTCCACCCGGTGTCGCCGCAGTTCGCGGGCATGATCTTCAAGGTCAAGGAGCTGGTGCGCGTCGAGGAGGTCGAGCACGCGCTGACCAAGACGGAGATGCAGGACGAGAGGCGGCCCGAGCCCGGCTTCTACCTGGAGAAGGCGGTGCCGAGGTGAATCTGTCTGCGCCTTTGGGGGTCAGAGGAAGAAGATGTGAGCTCAATCGGAGGGGTTTGAGGACCCTCTGTCGAGGGGCAGTCACCGAGATGATGCGGTCGGCCGAGCGAGGAGGATCGATGATACGTGGTTGCGCTAGGCTTCTGATTGAGAAACGCCGAGGAGGATCCAAGCCGTTGCTGATGATCAACATAGGCATCTGTAAGATGAACTAGGGAGAACGATCTGTATATATCTGTATCATACACATTACAAAACAAAGCATACCATCCTACTACACTTGATTATATCTCGAGGCCGGAAGACGTAGATGTTGGCAAGTCATCAATACCACGAAGAATTCACCCAAACCAAATGCACATGAATGTCAACAATATCCTTGATTCGTTTGTCTACGCACGATGCCTCGAAAGAGCCAATGACGGCGGCCAATCCCTTCCTGGCAATCCTGATGCCACTACCGCTGCAAAAGAACCATAGCCACGCCTTTTCCATGAAGCCATCAGACGTGAAAGAACAAGAGCCATGAAACGGCTCCCTGAAAACTGCCGTAACCACATGTACACCGCAAAGAGTGCCAGAGACTGAGAATACAACCACGAGAGATGTGGTCATAGGAAGTCTGTCACAGCGGCAAGGAGACTGAAAAATGGAAAGAGAAATGAGCAAAGTTGATGTCCGGGGTGATTGACGATGTTGTGTGCTTTATGAATGTTTCTCTCCTGCTGATTATTGGCCGTTGTCCTTCTACTCAGAACAGCGGACAGATGTATGATATTAAGGGGTTCAGCCGAAGTGACAGCGGCGAACACTATGCTGCCAATTCATCTCGTCAAGGTGGGGCAATTCGTGAAATCCTCAAGCTCGCTGATCAGTGGACGGATGTGCAAATGTCCTTATTGCGAGTTGACCACTTGGGATCAGCCAATGGTGCGTGAATTTCGGGTGAATACAGTTCGCTGAGGCTGCGAGTTGGGAGAATCAACAGCCTCGCCAGCCTCGCGTGCCGCCTAGACACCTCGGGCTTTGTCGATGTACTCCTGCGGCGGGATCTCGTACTCGCTTACAAAGTACTTGGTAGCATGCTTGCCAAGCCAGTTGGTGAGCTTGACAATCTCCTCTCGCAGGCGGTTGACAGACTGCTGGTCCATGTTGGTCTGACCAACTAGCTCTGGAAGTGAGACTAGAATCTCGTCAGCATGCCCATGGACGGAAGACTGGTATTCATGAGATACTCACCGAGCAAACGGCAGAGATGCTCAGCTCCGTAGGTGGAACACGGGCCCTCCTTCTTGCTGTCATCCGTACTTGTCTCCCATCCTCCACGGATCTCAGAGTACTGGGGACGCTCAAAGCTGCAATGTACGTTAGCGAAACTTGTAAGGATTGATAAAGCATTGTGCTATGAGACTGACCGGTAGAGGAGGATGCGGCCGAGACTCTTGTCAAAATACTCTCGGAGGCCAGCAATTGTCTCCTCCAAGATGTCCATGGCAGCTGTGCCTTCACCACGATGCGGCTTCTCGTATGCGAGATACTCCTCAAGGATTTCGTTCACTGGATGAGGATGAGGGAGCGGCACCAGCTGGTTATTCTTGGTGACGTTCTCCCAATCGTCCACGAGGAGTGCCTTCAGGTGGTCGGGCATCACAAGCTTAATGGACGGCCGGCTGTGAAAGCCATCTTCCTGTGAGAGTTCAACATCGTCAGCAATCAACTTATGCCATCCTGCAAGCGAGGGTCGCGACGGCACAAAGAACACGGCGGGCGCCGGGCGGTACAAGTCTGGTTTGAGACCGGGAAATCCGGGGGGGCCCTGGGCAGCGGCTGGGTCTCTCTTCTTGGGCAAAATTGGTGTCCAAAGGGGGGTTACAGGCTCCCGATTCTGTTGCGCTTGGCGTGCCAACCACGAGTCTCCTTGAGATTTGGGATCCCGAAGCTCAGGGAGTTTGTTGTCGAGGAGCTTTTCCTCCAGGATCTCAGCGATGCTTTCTTGTTTTGCCTTGACTTCGGACTTGCTGATGGCTTTAGCCTTGCTCACACGGGCCTTTGATTCAGCCTTTGGCTTTGTAGTTGTCTTGGGCTTAGGCTTGGGCTTAGAGTTCGCTGGCGGAGCTTGTACTTTTTGCTCAGGCTGTGATTTCTCGTTTGCGGGCTGTCCCGCCTCTGGCACAAATACCATCTCGGGCTCGACCGTAGAAGCACCATCTTTTCCATGTGCTGGCTCTGGTAAAGCCTCGGGCCCAGACATAGCCTCCGACTCAGGGGTAGGTAGAGGTGCCGCTGACAGCTCCTTGGCGCATACGGGTTGATCTATCGGCTCATCTGCTTCTGGTTCTGGACGGAGCAGTCTCTTGCTCCGTCTTTCTGGTTCCGCGGGTGGATCAACGGCTTTCCTCTTTCTGCTCGGTGCTGGCTCTGCAGACTGTTGCTCTGCACGTCGTTCATCAAGCGGTATGCCCGCGACTGGAAGACACATGTCGTAAGGGAAACGCCTCCAGTAACGCTCCATTGCGTAGGTCAATGTGCCATTTCTCCTGGCTCGCTCGATTGCTGGATTCACCTCGATGGGTTTGCAGCCTTCATCAGGTCTCCAGAATCTGATACCGTCCTGTGCCGGATACATGCACTCATTCTTGGAATTGAGATACTTGAAGTTTTTCTTCGGCAGGTTCATGAAACCCTTCTTGTCCTCGCCAAGCGCCCAGCGAGCCTCACGCTGTTCGAAGGTCTCAGGAGCCATGTTGACCTGATGATGCGAGAGTGCTTGTGATTGACTCCAGAGGTGAGATCCGAATAAGGAGGAGACAATTCCGAGTTCAGATGGCAAGACGTGGACAGTACTTGCCCAATTATGCGAAGGGAGAGATGAGAATGATCCCGAAAATGAGATCGTAGGAAATGCAGGATTTGGGGGAGATGGTTGCGTAAGTCCGTCTTGGAAGGATGAGATTCCGTACTGAGGGCGTCCCAAATTTTGTGAAGGCGGAAAGGTCTTTCCCCGTTGAAGGAAAGGAGGAGGTTAGGGTTAGAAGCTGGTCGATGATGATGAAGTTTGACCACAATTTGCTTGAACAGGATAAATCGTTCAGGAGTTTGCACTGATGACACAGCTCGAAATTTTACGCGCCAAGGAAGATGAGTTTTGTGTAGTCCAGTATATGCCGGAATCGATGGATGAGATATGAGTTGCTTCCTTAAGGACAAAAAAGGTGATGTCGAAGGGGTAAAAAGTGACGCGTTGGTCGAAAAGGTTGGCGATGTGAGCCTCTCGTTGCTAAGTTGAGAAAATCTGATCTCAATTTCCTTCGGGGACGCAATTGCCGGAAGGGATATGACAGACAAGGTATGGGGAGCCGAAAGGATTGCTGGGAGAGATGATGGAAGTGGGAAGGATAGCAGCTTTATTTTTGGCGAAGACCTCACGGTTGGGCACAGGGGCACAACTTTGAGGTTTGAGACGTGATTTCCCACAAAATAAAATAGGGGCAAATCTGCAAGTCTGGGATCTCTGGAGCTGGTGATCTCAAACAAACGGAAGATGACTTCTCTGTTGAGAACTAGCCCTTTGCAGAGCTAGTGAATGGAAGAAGCTTGCGTACGTCGTGAGATGACGGTAATTATCTTCTGCTTTGCTGTGACAGCAAAAAAAAGATTGTTCCAAAGATGCCAGGAAAGTGTGCGCAAGGGGATAGGCGAACGAAAGCAGGGTTGGCCCGGATCGAGGAGAATATATTAAGTTTGTCCTGGATAAGTTGCCTTGTGCAGAAGGTGGTTTACTCCAGTTGCCTGTAGTGGGTTGCCCAGATATTGAAGCCCGGTTATTGTGCCCAGACAATAGGTTGTACGCCCGCACAATAGGTTTTCACAAAGACAATAGGAAAGGGGTTGGGAGGGGTGCCAACACTCACCTGCTCCAAGTCAAAGTCCCGCTGACGCCTAGGACCACGCCCAGTAGTCGTAGTTGCCCCCGTTCTCTCCTCGCTACCTCTAGCAGAACTGAAGTCTGAGCCATTCGCCTTGGGTCCTTTCTTGACTGGCTTTGAGCCCTTCTGCATATGCACCTTCATCTGTGCATGCAACTGGCTGGCCAACTCCTTATTCTCATCGGTGAACTTCCTCACTCGATCCTGAGGCACCCAGTCGTCCCAGGTATTCTTCCAACCCTTATAGTGGATCTTGTACTGCCATCCCTCACCAGCCTCGCCCTGCTGAATGTCCAGAATCTTGGCCTCATAAAGCATCTCGTGATGGAAGCACAGAACACGCTCATCCTTGGAGAACGGCGGCTGCGCTTGACCCTTGGGAGCCATCTTCTTGTGGCTGGTGATGACCAAAGTGAGACGATTCTGAGATCCTCCTAGAAACTGCTACCAAGTGGCTCAATAAGTAAACTAAGTGGGCTGGTAATAGGTTCACAGATGTTGATTGTGAGATCAAGGTGAGGTTGAGAGTGAACAAGGAGTTGTGGTGAAGGAAGTCACGTGGGGAAGGAAAGCGTGTTTAAAGGGCACCGTTGAAAACGCGTCGAGAGCTCTCTAAGGTTGAGGCGTGACGCGACGGATAATTAACGGGCCTATTTTATGGTCACCCCCAACACGTTGCTCGTGATATTGAGTAGGGGCGACAGAACCGTCTTAGGAGTGAATAAAATACTCTGTAATACTTATTTGATTTCTTTGCGAAAACTAGTCAAACATGGCGCCTACCGAATCGACAATTCTAGAGAATTATCTCCTCATCCCAGCTCAGCTACCGGCTATCATCTCACTCAAGGAATTCACTGAGTTTTTTCCCCGCTCACAGCAGTCATCGCCACACATACGTACATTGTATCGTGACCTCCAGACGCAGAGAAACTCCGTAGTAGATTCTGTTTCTTCCAGCATCGAAGATGAGAGCAGAAACGGGAAACGCCTCCGGCGAGAGGTGGTCAAAGCGAGAAGGGAGGCAGAGTCCCATGAAGTTGATGATGAGATAGAGATAGAACGCGCAGTACGTTTTCTTGTGATACATGCATGCTCAGCGGTTTGCTAATGAAATGTCAGTTGTATGGCACGGCTGCCGGAATCCAAGATCCCAAGCACAGTCTCATCTCCATTGTCAAAGAGTTGGAGAGTGCTGCGAGCGATCTTGAAGCAAGGCTCCAGAATCTTGAAGCCGAGGAGGCTGAATTGCTCAACACTGTGAAGCAGACAGTTGGCAGCATGAGCGACCTCCGCTACGGCCGCCTTGCGAATGGGCAGCTCCGAGAGCAAGTCTTGGAGGGGCTCGAGAATGTACAAGCAACATGTGAACGAACATTATGATTTGCTCTCCATCAACCAATTCCTATTGAGGACTATTAAATCATGTACACTAAAGCCATTGGATTCATAACCCATCATCCGAGGCAAGCAACACCTATGCCAGACCAATAAGCATAGCTAACAACCCGCCAGAACCTCCGCCCAATATTCAACCACCATCATCCTAGATTATCCATTGAAGTCTACACTAACATCTCCCAGTTGTGCCTTGTCTTTATCTAGCAGCGGCAGCGGCAGGGGGAGCACCAGGTCGGCGCTGGTCCGGGTTGGCCATGCGGCGAGACATCATGGTGCGGCTGATGAAGGAGACACCCAACATCATCATCCAGCTAGGGACAGCGTTGAAGCCCCACAGGAGATATGCAATGGGGACAGCCAGGCCGTTCTTGGCCAGAGGGCCGTCAAGGGGGTGGAAGTAGCCCTCGTGCTTCTTGAAGGAAGACTTGTCCTCGGCGGCGTACAGGTCCAAGAGAGTCTTGGTGTCGGTGGTGGTCAGGTTAAGGCGCTTCAGGTAGATGTCAGTCTCGGCCGGAGGCGGGAGCACCTCAAAGACCCAGAGAGTGCCAGCTCCAGCGGACCAAGCGTTGCAGAGGATGGGCTGATCATCGCAGTTGACATATCCAACGTGGGGAGCGTTGGGGAGAGTAGCGAACTTGGTGGCAGTCTCATTGAAGGCAGCCTCCACCTTCAGGCAGTGCCCTGTTGTTCCATCGCGTTAGCAAATATGAATTATTATTTTGATGCTGAGCAGTAGAATGGAAAAGCCTACCGAAGCAAGTCTTGTTGCGGCCAGTGATCAACACCCACCACTCCTCCGGCTTCGTCGCATCGGGCTTGACCGGTGCATAGATGGTCTCCTTCCAGTTGTCCAGAGTCAAGATGTCCATCTTCTTTGCGCCAGCCTTGGTCTCTGCAGCCTCAGCGTGATCATGTCTGCTGGGGTTGGGGATGTAGGAGCCAAAGTTGCCCAGGAAGTTCTGGAACTGGGCCTTGTACTGGTCGAAGGGGCTATCTTGAGCGGTCGCAAACAGCGGCAGGGCCAGGAGGACAGAGGATGTCGAGAAACGCATCTTGAGACCGGTGCGACGTGAGATTGGATGGGGTGAAGGGGTAGTAGTAACGCAAAGAAAAAGTCGTCAATAGGCCAGCAAGGAGCTTTGACGAAAACAGGCAATCAGAATCCGGGGACCAAATGATGTAAGTACCTAAGGTCGGCGTGAGGGGGTCCGATAAGATAGCGCGGCGGATCTGGATCAAGCCACAGCTACTGTACAATCACGAAGATGAAACGTAAATGGTGTAATTCAAAGAGGGACAGTTGACAGCTTGGACCGGTGATGGCTCAAGCTACCGTTTGGATGAGGAGAGAAGAGAGAATTGCAAGATTGGATGCGCATCACACTATTTGCGAGTCCACAACGTTAGTTTTATTATTATCATACATTAACGAGATGGTTCTTTCGCAATCCTTGCGGACACCTCAGGTTGACCGGGCAAGCGGTGCAGGTAATCTCTCTTGGGCCTAGCCTCTTGGAAATTTCGGGCCGCCCAGGGTCTTGCGATTCTACTTACCATCCCCTCGAAAGCCACACTTCAAGTGCCACAATTATATCTCTGGGGTCTTAGATGTGGCTAGTGACGTCCCCTCGATACCCTCCCACATCTAACATCCAGGACTATCACCAACACAATTCCGCAAAATTGGTGGAAAGACCCTGCATCATGGTAAGCCGTGTCTCTTTCAATGCTAGTTTACACTTTCTAACTTTTAGCAGGCGCCTGAAGCCCCAAAGCAGAAGAGAAAACGCGGTCGGCCAGCAGGCGCGTCTACTGCAGACGAAGACGCGTCGGGTCGCGAAACTCAGAAGACATACGGGGTCGCTACGGAGACTCATCGCGCAGACCACGAAGAGCAAGACGATGAAGAAGCGCCGCGGCCGAGAAAGCGCGGAAGGCCTAGCAAGGGCCCCGATACTACAGAAACAACTGCGGCTCCATCTGAGAAAGCCCCACGCAGAAGAAAGGGTCGGGCGTCCAATGCGAGCCAGGAGGAAGAAGTAGATCATGAGAACGAAGAGGCACAACAACAGCCTGCGAAACACACCCGCAAGCGTGGTCGGCCACTGAAAGAGAGCGTGGGAACCGGCAATAAGATGCGAAAGAGAGTAGTTCGGCCGGGGGAGGACGAAGAGGCCGAAGTCGAGGATGAGACGCCCAGCTCGGGCCTCAGACGAAGCAATCGGGAGCGGCGATCTTGGAATGCCGAGGAGATATTCAGTGCGAAGATCCCAAGCAAGGACTTGGCCATCGACAGTGCTCCAGAACCATCAAAGCCTAGGAGGCGGGTACGAGTCTCGAAGGAAGGCCTCGATGAAGAGAACAGACCAGAACCTACTGAAACTCGCGCTGAGAAACCCAAGCGGAAACGTGGCCGACCTTCTCTCGGGGAGGAGAACGCGAACGTCAAAAAAGGGGCCAAGCGTCGTGGACGGCTGTCAGTCGCCGAGTCTCAAGAAGTAGCGCAGGAGGAACCCTCCCAGCCTCGACGTCGTGGTCGAACGAGGACATCGGACGCCTCTCAGCAAGAGGCCGAACCTTCGGAAAGTCAAGAACCTGCTCGACGAAAACCCCGCCGCTCCAGTGGAGGAGAAGCGCCATCCAGCAAGCCAAGGGCAAGAAAGTCTCGTCCAAGCGAGCCTGAGCCAGCCGTCGAAGAGGAAGAAGAGCCCCCGTACCGACACTTGAAGTCGCAAACACGCCAGGTATCACGAAAGACCATCGAAGCCAAGTGGGCACCCCTGAACCCTCCCGCCATCGCCGCCATCACCTCTCTTCTGTCCGACGCACAACGGCCAGTCCTGCTCCGCTTACAAGACACCCGAAACAGGCGCGAGCACGCCTCAGCCGCGCTGTCCGTAATCACCCGCCGCCTCCGCTCCAAGCTCGTCAAGGGCATGCCGTTTCCCCCGCCGACGGCCACGACGACATCGGCGAACCGCACCGCGGTAGAGGACGACTTCGACTTCGAGCGCACGGTGGACGGCATCCAGGCGTTGGAGAATGCGCTCAACCCGCTCCTCCATAGCGTCGCTCTGCTGGAGAGCGAGAAGGCGAAGGAACAGGCCGCCCTGGAGAAGGACTATGCGGCTCTGAACACCCTGGTGGCCAATGCCCGCGCCGAGGCGAGGGGCTGGCGAGAGAGGAGGAAGCGGGAGCACCCCTTGGCGCCGGCGGCGAAGAAGGTTGGGGAAGCAGACGCGGCCGATGAGCAGCCGCTGGAACTCGTGAAGTCTCAGGGCGCAGGGAGCGGCAGTGTGTTCCAGGTGAGCTCGAGAAACTATCTATGATTTCGCGATGGGAGAATGGCCAGCTAATGATCTCAATAGGATCTACAGAACGAGGAGTTGATCTCCATCTCGAAGCAGATCGGCAGCCATATGGACAGCATGAAGGGCAACCTCCAGCAGATCGACGGGGTTATACCGGCGATTACGAAGAGCAAGGCCGCTTTGCAGAGGATTCTGCATCAGAACCTGGATGCTCAGCAGTACGAGCAGGTATTACTGGGTTGATATGACACCCGATGTGTATATTGGGCATGATGATAATGGCTGTATGAATAACGCGATTGAGATGACCCAATTTATGACCAGAACATATATTATCAGATGAGTACAAAATTCTTCAACATGGCAGATGCATGTCTACGGTGACCCTTCTCGGTAGACACCAGTCTCATCAAAACATATCAATCTACACAAAGCAGGGCCAACAGTCACGTTCAAAGGCGTATCACAATGGCACAGAGAGTTAGATTCCCCAAAAAACCACACCACTTGAATTTTGTCTGTACAAGAACAGAATGAAGGCCAGCCAGCCCAGTCGAGGGCGCGGCGCTTATCTCCAAAGACACAGTCCCGTTTAACATTTCCCCACCGTTTATTCCCAAGGAAAAAGCAGAAATGGACCAAAGCAAGCCCAGTAGGCAGATCCAGCTGGTCTTTGATCCCTTTTCTTTCCCTTTCTATAATGCGTTGCGCTCCGCCACCGGCAGGCGCCATCATCGTCCTTCCCATGCAACCCGATCGTCCCATCATCCCTGGAACGAACCTAAAACATACACTACGCTAAGCGGAGAGAGAGAGAGGGAGAGAGGGCAAACGCTTAGTGGTACAGCATCTTGCTCCGGCGGAACTTGAGGCCGTTGGTCGCGGCCGCGGCCCCGGTGCCCGTGCCCGTGGCCGAGGCGGTGGAGTTGGACAGGGCGAAGCTCGGGGTGACGGTCTCGGTGACGATCACGTCCGGCGGGCACTCGCTCTCCGTCTCCAGGGCGGCGGCCTCGGTGGTCGTGGCGGCGGCAGCCTCCTCGGCGGTGGTGGTGTCGGGCTTGGCGGCGTTGTTGTTGGCGATGGTCTCGGCGGCAGAGCCGGCGGTGACGGTCATGGTCACATAGAGAGTCTGAGCCGGGAGAGTGACGGTGACGGGGGCATCAGCAGCCGGGCAGGAGCAGGCGCCGGTGTCGACGTCAGAGCTGCCGGATGAGCCAGAGTCGGAGCCGGAGCCAGCTTGGGCCTGGGCGGTCTCAGTGCTGCTGCCCTTCTTAACAGTGACAGTACGAGTGCCAGTCGTGTACATGGTAGTCGTGGTGGTGGCGTCCAGAGTGGTGTCCTCGGAGCCGGATCCAGAGCCTGAGCCTGAGCCAGAGTTGTCGCCAACAGCCGAGTTTCCGCTGGTCACCTGAGCAGCAGCGGCAGTGCTGGTGTGGATGTTCGTCTTGGTCACGTAGTGAGTGGACTTGACCTTCTTGGTGATGGTGGTGGTGACAACACGGTCGCCGTTTCCGCCGCCGAGGGTCATCGTGACAGCATTGGCAGTAGTGAGGGTCTCGATGCTCTCAGACACGACAACCTCAGTGACCTCAGGCGGGCACTCGGACTCACTTGAGACGGCCTCGGCTGCTGAGGTGGTGTCGGGGGCGGCAGTGACGGTGGCGCTCTCGGCAGCAGAACGAGTGACGCCCGGGAGAGCGCCGGACTCGTGGGCAGACAGCACGGAGGTGGAGATGGAAGAAGCCTCGGTGACGGGGCAGACAGTGGTGGTCAGATCAATGACATCGGTGACGACCACGGTCGACAGAGCAGAGGCGGGAAGGGTGGACAGGTCGGCACTGTTGGCCGGGCAGTCGGTGACGGTAGCAGCGCACGAGATGACAGTGTGGACTGAGGTGGTCACCACGGTCAGGGTGGTGAGGCCGGCCCCCTCAGAGGCGGCAGCGGACTGTGCTGTGACAGAGCTGGTGGAGTTCTGGCGCTTGTACACGAAGTGAGGGTGGCGAGGGTGAGAGTAGGCGGTCGTCAGGGCAGCGAAGAGGCCCAGGGTGACAGTGACGAACTTCATATTGAATGAGTTTTGGAGTTGATATATCGGATCTTGTGTGATTTGTTAGGTTGTTCGGATATCTCGATGATCCCGAGTCTATGAATTTGTCTTATGACACTCGTGAAAGGCTCAAAGAGAGAAGGATGTCTTTCTTTCCTGACTCGTCCTGAGGAGTTCTCCTGTTTGTGTGATGGTTCGTGAAGGACCGAAAGTTGGTGGTTTTGCTTTTCAAAAGAATGGGAAGTCGATTCCACAGTGGTGTTTGTTTGCGGCAGACACAGTTGCTCACGTTTGCAAAGAAGGTAGATACAGTTGGAAAGGAACGTAGAAGTGAAGAGCTGCTGAACTTGCAGGAACTGACAGTTTGTTGTTGCAAAAGAAGACGGTTGAAAGAATGAAAGGGCTTGACTGCTGGAGTGTTGAGCAGGAACAGAAAAGACCGGAGGAGAAAGCGAAGGAGAGTAGGGCCAAGAAAAGGTGAAGAGAGAAAGGAGAAGCGAGAGGAAGCTATCTCGGACTGGGCAGGTAAGCCCTTTTTGTCCAGACTGCAAGTCGACGTAACCTCCGTGCGACTTGCCGCTGAGCAGGATCCGTGTCCAGGACCCCAGGTCCAGGAACAGGGCCACCTGAGAAGACCCATCCGAGCCATCCCCTCCCATGGCAGCATGGGTCATGGCCGTTGACTAACTGACTGACTGACTGACTGCGTAGAGAGAGAGAGAGAGAGAGCGAGCGAGCATTAGCATGCAGCTCTGGAACGGACCAACACAGCCGCCCTGGCCCACGCACGACAACCCTTAATCAATCGTCGGGTCTGCGCAGACTCCACCGCCTATGGTGGCCAAGCTTTGATGGCGGCACGGCCATGGGCTGGATGGGCTGGATGTTTCTGAGCGCAGTGAGTGGCAGGAGTGAAGTTGGAAGAAAACCCAGGCGTCGTCCCGTCAGGCCTGGGAAACCCATGGAGTATCCTGGACGGCCCCTGAGGAAGCCAGGGGGCAGACGCAGGAACGGCCAACTTGAGACGGAGCCATCGGCCAATGGGAGTCGCTGGCGAGACACCTTTCTGGCTAAGGGGCTCAAGGAGGCTACCGAAGGGCAGGGGGGGGGGCTATGGAGAGCGCTACTCAGTGACTGAGGGGTGGCTGCATTGAAATCGCGATAGGGCGGGGCTGCGCTGGATCTCTCTCTCTCTTTCTCTCTCGCGTGGGCTGGCAACTTCAACGGGCTGTTACAGGAACAACATGGGTGTCTACACTACTAGGAGATGTCATGTCATACACGTACTCGAGTACAAACCTGGCAAGCATCCCGCACGCATCCCCGACACAGCAGAGCTGCAAGGCCTCGCATCATGATCTCCAGCAGGGCACAGCAGGGCACAGCAAACGTTAATTCATAGTACGGTATAGTGTAAACTGCAGCGGTGCGCATTGAATGATCCACGCCGCAGCAATGATTTTCGATCCGCCCATTACAGATTCACCACCATCGCGCGGCTCTCGGGTGGCTGTTCGCCTGTCCTGAGACACGAGATCGGCCTTGGAAAGCTTCCCGTTGGTTCGACCAGCATATCCAGCAGTTTAAGCTCTGGGAGCTCAGTCTCTGGGAGCCCGGTTTCCCCCCCCCCTTCATCTGGTCGCCGTGATTTCCGCAGGGCAATGCGGAGAATTCGCTCGTTTTATGCTCGCTATGCGATGCGATGCGATGCGTGCGCATCCCCATGGATCAAGCATCGAGGACCTTGGATTACACTCTCCACTGCCCTGCTTGGCGGCCAGGGCACTGGAAGAAAACCGCGCTCTCTTCAGAAAGGAACCACGCACAATTTTGTCTCTGTGGTGTATGGCAAGTCAAGTCAAAATGGAATTATCCAGCATCCCGCTGAGCTGCGGTTGGAGGGGGATAATAATAAACTACTGTCAGCTGTGCATGTGCTAAATTTGAGCCGTTGTTTCTCACAAAGGCAACACGGCAGGATTTATCCGCAACGGTGAGATCAACTAAGAAAAGAGATCCAAATGATCTGATGCAGGGCAGAAGGGTGGACTCAGGTTCTGAAGAGCCCAAGATTCAGTTGTGGGCTGTGAGGATGAGGACACACATACATGCCAACCCACCGCCCATCCAGGTAGATGCAAGCCATCGCCAACAGCAGATATGCAAAGCCTCGCCGCAACTCCAGCTCACTGACGGATATTATTTCCTTCTTCCCTCTTAGCTCTCTGCTGCCCTCAATATAATAACATTAAAAACAACTTATCAACTATCAAACGATCGCCGTGCTCGTCACCCCACCAAATTTCAGGTAGGAGAACGAGTCCAGGAGTTGGTAAAAAAGGGTCAGCCGTTTCACCACCCGGAAGCGCAGAGCCGTGATTGGCCCGAGCCTCTATTTACTTACACGCCTGGACACCCTCCACCCTCCACCCCAGTCCATCCCATGCGCCCAGAGGCCCCAGAATGCAGGGAGACGGAGCCTCCTTCTTTTCAAGCGTGAACGAGCAGGCCTCCTCCCAGAGATCGTGTGTCGCAGGATGATTGCAGGCTAGCGCCTCCAAGGCTCGGCGCACAAACCTCCAATTTCACTCTACCTTTTTTTTTCTTCGAGAACCTTCAGCGAAAAGGTGACGAGCCTCCCACGATGATGCTTGGTTCCAGGGCAGAGAAAAAGAGGTTACATCTACCCATCAGCCCCATCCGAACCGTAGAATGATATCCCGTCCAAAACATCTCCTGGACACCCCCCTTGGAGTTACGTAGACCATCCTGAAGGCGGCGCTGTGAGTAGACGCGAAGCCCTGTCGGGTCTGGAAGGTGTCTCTGCCAGGAGGCAAAGCCCTTCTCCTGACATGACTCAAAAGAGCCTCCTTGGAACCAGACCTCGCACGCATGACCCCAGGCGAGTCTCAGCCACCGAGATGCCCCCTGGCTACCGATACCTCTGATAATCAACCCTCAGGCTCTGTGCTGGCGATATGCCCAACGCCACAGGCCAATCTATCTCACTTCACTCCAACTCCCTTTGACGTGACTTGGTTTCACTTGAGTCTCTACAGGTGCTAAGAAACGAAATCCGAGAACATGTCACTCTCTTTTGCATATGGCCAAATGTTTTGCTCCCCAGTTGAATCGGGTATATTGCAAGCTATCTGCTATCATTCTACACACATATCTCGACGCCCAAGGCAAAAAAGACACAACATGCTTACTCGTATCAGGGAAAGAGGAAGACTCCATCCCCATGATAGTAGCAGTTGGTCGATAGGTGATAGGTGATGATGGTGATGATTCGTTTCCTTGTAACGCCAGAGATTGTTGAACCCAGCCCAGCCTAAATGCTCTCACACACAGAAAAGACACAAAGAAAATGTTCGGATGTCCCGTTGAGGGTTTGATTCATCCCAGGATTCTTGAAAAATCCATTTCTGCCCATCCGCCCTGTTCCATTTAAATGGGTATATGTTGAATGCGCCGACTGACCAACCAACCATCATCATCACATCACAAAGTTCCGTTTGATAATAATCCTTCCGCTGACTTTTGTGTGTATGCTATTAGCAGAATTTTTGTATACCCTCTTCTAGAAAACCCTTTTGGCCTGTGAAAACGCCGATGTTGAAGTCGTGATCCATGCCATTATGGTCTCGTCAGAGAAAAAAGAAAAAAGAACACGTAAAGATCAAAGAGTCCCTTGTAGTAACCCACCTCTCACGCCACGCCTCTCCTCACTAGCGGTTTGCTAGTATCGAGGAAGAGTCGCTTATTTGGCGTATTTGGCGCGGAAGAACTTGGCGGCGTTGACCATGTTGACCAGAGCCTCCTTGGTCTCCTTCCACTGGCGGGTCTTGAGACCGCAGTCAGGATCGATCCAGAGCTGCTCAGGCTTCAGATACTGAAGCATCTCCTCAATGCGGTCCTTGATCTCCTGCTCGCTGGGAACACGAGGGGAGTGAATGTCGTAGACACCAGGGCCGATGTGGCGGGGGTAGGCAGAGTCGACGAAGACCTTCAGGAGCTTAGCATCAGACTTGCTGTTCTCAATGGAGAGAACATCAGCGTCCAGAGCAGCAATGGCGTGGAAGAAGTCCTGGAACTCGGAGTAGCAGAAGTGAGAGTGAATCTGGGTAGAGTCCTCAACACCGGCAGTAGAGAGTCTGAAAGCCTTGACGGCCCAGTCAAGGTAAGCATCACGCTCCTTGCCGGAGCGGAGGGGCAGACCCTCACGCAGAGCAGGCTCATCGACCTGGATGACGTCGATGCCGGCCTTCTCGAGGTCGACGACCTCGTCACGGAGGGCCAGAGCAAGCTGCTCAGCCTGGACGGACTGGTGGACGTCGTCACGGGGGAAAGACCACCGCAGGCAGGTGACCGGACCAGTCAACATGCCCTTCATGGGCTTGGAGGAGACAGACACGGCGTACTTGGACTCCTTGACGGTCATGGGGGCAGGGCGGGAGATGTCACCCACGATGATGGGGGGACGGACGCAACGAGAGCCGTAGCTCTGGACCCAGGCATGGGTGGTGAAGGCATAGCCGTCAAGGCGCTCACCGAAGTACTGCACCATGTCGTTACGCTCGGGCTCACCGTGGACGAAAACGTCCAGGCCAAGCTCCTCCTGGATCTTGACGTTGGACTCAATCTCCTGCTCAATGAACTTGTCGTACTGCTCAGCAGTGATCTCACCCTTGGTGAGCTTGTTTCGGGAGAGACGGATCTCCTTGGTCTGGGGGAAGGAGCCGATGGTGGTGGTGGGGAACAGAGGAAGGTTGAGCTTCTTCTGCTGCTGAGAGATTCTCTCAGGGAACTCAGACTTGCGCTTGTAGTCAGCGTCAGTGACCTTGGATTGCCTCTCCTTGACCTTGGGGTCGTTGGTGCGGCTGGAGGTAGCACGGGCATGTGCGGACTTGGCGTTGGCCTCAAGAGCCTCACGGACGGAGGCAGGGCCCTCAGTGACGGCCTTGGCAATGACGGCAATCTCGACAGCCTTCTCGCTAGCGAAGGAGAACCAGTCAGCAATCTCGGGGTCTAGCTTCTTCTCGCTGGCCAGAGTGTGGGGAGTGTGGAGGAGGGAGCTGGAGGTGGCAACGATGACACGCTCCTTGCCGAGTTTCTGGATGGCAGTCTCGACAGTCTCAATAGCACGCTTGAAGTTGGTCTTCCAGATGTTACGTCCATCAACGACACCGGCGGAGAGGATAGTCTTGGGGCCAATGGCACCAATGACGGTCTCTAGCTGCTCGGGGTTGCGGACCAGGTCGACGTGGACGGCATAGACGTCCTTGGGGACAGCCTCTAGGTTGTGGACGATATCACCAAAGTAGGTGGTGAAAACCAGCTTGGGGATCTTGTCACCAAGGCTGGCGAACTTCTCGTAGGTGGGCTTGAATGCAGCCTTGGCCTTGGACGGCAGGTCGAAGACGAGCACGGGCTCATCGATCTGGACGGTCTCGGCACCAGCCTCCTTCAGCTTGGTGAGGAGCTCCTCGTAGACGGGCACGAGCTTGTCGAGCAGGTCAATGGGGTCGACGGACTGGCCACGGTCGGCCTTGCCCAGGTGCAGGAAGGTGACGGGTCCAACGAGGACGGGGCGGGTGGCAATGCCAGCCTCCTTGGCCTCAAGGAACTCGACAACCGCCTTAGGGTTGGCACTCAGCTTGAAGGTCTGGTTGTCCTGCAGAGTAGGCTTGACGTAGTGGTAGTTGGAGTCGAACCACTTCACCATCTCCAGCGAGGGAACATCGACACCATCCTTCTGGTGACCACGGCCCATGGCGAAGTACTCGTCGATGGGGTTCAGCTTGGAGCCGGCATAGCGCTCGGGAACGGCCTATGAAGAGACATGTTAGCATTGCTGTCTGCAGGAAGGGGTGTATAGGGAAAATAACATACACCGAAGTCCTGGATGTGAGACAGGACCTGGTCGTACAGGGCAAAGTCGTTGCTGGGGATGATGTCGACACCGGCATCCTTCTGAATCTTCCAGTGGGCGAGTCTGAGTCTCTTGGCCTCGGCCAGGAGGTCATCCTGAGAAATCTTGCCTCCCCAGTCTGGTCATAGTCAGCGTTGGACTCCTTCATCGCAACCTTCGACTATTCGGAGGATTGTATAGGGCACTGACAAGCTTCCGTGGCCTTCTTCAGGTCACGGTTGACTCCCATGCGAGGGAAGCCGAGAATGGCGGACTGAACCATGTTGGCTGATGTGCAAGAGAACCAAAGTCTACCAAGAGGTCTGTTCCTGCAAAGACAAGTGTCAGTTGATGGTCTTTAGAACAGAGTTTTTCAAGCCCCGCACGGGGCAGACAGGAGCAGCGACTGGGAGATGTCAGCAGGAGGAGGACATATTACTCACAGGGAAGGTGACACAGGACCAGAGACTCTTCTTAGACTGGTAAGAAGAGATGGACCAAGAGACAGAGGCGGAAGGATGATGGAGGAGGAGAGGAAGAAAATTTTGGGAGAAGGAGGAGGAGTAGAGGGGAAGTAGTAGTAGTAGTAGTAGTGAGAAATGAGGAGGAAGAAAATAAGGCGGGAGCGGTGTAGGTAGCACGGGAAACGAGCTCGCTCGACTGGACTGCAAGCTAAGGTAGGATAGTCCGGACTTCTGAAGTACCTATCTACCTAATACATTACTGCTAATTACCTGCAAGCCTACCTCCTACCTCCTACCTACCACCTAAATTGACCTCAGAGAGACTGTACTAACTTGGCGGGAGATTTTACTACAGAAGGGCAGCTCTTGTTGAGGGAGCGAAAGCGGGATGATTGCCCTACTGTGGCATAACTCATAACTGCGACATGGCGGGGTTGATGGGCGCCCACGGTGACTGTGGGTGGAGGGGTTGAATTTCTGCTGCGTGTGAGAAAATTTTGGAGGGGCAGTCGGCGGCTTATTGGCCAGCTGGCCACATCAGATCTTAGCGTTATGGTGCAATTACAAGAGGAAAAAAGCTAACGAAGGTTAGCTACAGTAATAAGGCAAGGTCACAACCAGCGCCACGGCCGACCCGGCGACGGACCCGATTACCAGGGTCCCAAGGGTCAAGGGCCAATTCGGAAACACATGCCCTTCACCCGCCAGTCAGTTACCCGGTTACGCATACTGCACAGCACCCAATGAGAAACATGACAAACCGCCGAAGCGAGGATTGAACAGACCGAAACTACTGTACCTAGGTACTCTAATCGTCAATGCGACGTCGGGAACGTCGATGAGATACAGCCCGGTTCAGAACGAGTGGGTGTGTTGCTCTCTCAATTGACCTTGTCCACCTACCTACCTACCTACCTATAAAGGGAATTTGACCTTTTGTAATTGGGTATCCAGAACCGGTTCAGTCCAGCACGTTGACAATACAGCGACGCTAGCAACGATTATTTGTACCTGGAAAGCAAAGTCAGTCAGCTACTTCAGGATAGGGTCAGGTTCAGAAAGGAACTTGCTCAGGCTGGCTTAGAGTCCTCTTCTTCCGTCGGGCTTTCCAACGGCTTTCCTACTCAGCGGTTTCTCTTTGAGAGACACGCCAATCAGTGGGCAGCTGAGCCGCGTAAGGGAGACATCCGAGCTGACGCAAGCCGTCCACTATTATCTGCAATGACAATCATATATCAATCTGTAGAGGCCCAATTATCACATTTCCAACATTTCTAGTACACAATACTCATGTTGATACACATTGTGACATCCAATAGATCCCGGCACCGAGAAAAACCACTACGCAGCTTCCGCAAACTAGTAAGCTTGTTATACGAGTTTAATGCACGAATACACATGGGGGAATCTAAACTACAACGATGAATCCGACTATGACGATTACAAAAGGGCATACACTCCTTCATCCACCGGCAGACATGGTTATGCAACCGCCCTTCATCGAAAAATCCAATGCAATGCGCGCAAAGCTCGGGCTCTAGAACATGACCGAGACGCCTTGCTGACAACTATCGTCCAATGCACATAACCTCCTAGTTTGTTGCTCTACTTCCACCACTGCTCCTCAGAACACCTTTTGCTCTCATTCCGGCCCCGAATGGATTCCATATCGATCCGATTTTACTGGAACAGAACGAGGAAGCCCGCGACGTTGCCGAGCAGAACAGTGGCAATGACTGCGATTGGCAGGCCGAACGACGTAGGCATGCGGCCCGGAGCAGCATCGTTGCTGCTGGTCGAGGAAGAGGTGGAGGCAGTGCCGGTGCGTGTTGCTGAGCCAGTAGCCGTCGCGGTGTTCGAGCCTGGCGCGTTGATCTCGTCGTCCGCGAGGGGCTTGACGGCGAGGTCGGACAGGATAGTGCCATTGGGGTTGCGAACCTCGTACTTGACCGTGTAGTCGCTGATGGAGATGATTTTGCCGACGGGCTTGGGGCTGACACCCTTGTCGATGATCTCCTGGGCGCCAGGTGGCAGGGCCGGTACGGTGAAGTTCGTGGTGAAGGTCTTGCTCTTGATCAAGGAGGCAGAGCACGTGGGAGGTTTCGGGCTGGCGCCGCTGGGAGGCTTGGCGCCCTGGACTTCGGTCCAGTCGAGCTTGGCATACTGCTTCTGCAGAGTCAGGAAGTCGGCTAGCAGGTCGACGCTGTTGTCATCGTCATCGTGGAGATCGGCCAGACCGTAGTTGTTCTCCTCCTGGGCGTACTCGTAGACGATACCTCCGGAGAGCACCCCGTTCATCTGGCTTCCGTAGATAACGGGGACCTCGGTGAAGACACGAGGAGTAGGCTCGTTGCAGCCGTATTCAGAGAAGAAGATAGGAAGCGATGAGCCCTCGAAGCCGGAGACCAGGTCGTCATAGCTGCTGGTTGTGAAGGAACTATCTCCACACCAGGAGTAGCTGTTCAGGGCAAAGAGATCGCCACGGCTCATATCATCGGCATCACCATCCTCGGCGCACTGGAGGTACTCCCACGAGTCGAAAAGAATGTCACGAACATCGGCGGCAGAGTATCCGACAGGGATTGTACGGTCGCTATGCTTCTTGATGTAGTTCTTGAGATCTCGAGTCACGGCACGCATGTACGGAGGGACGGTTGCTCCAGCAGCAACATTGAAGATGACCTCGTTGCCGGAGAAGAATGCCAGGGTGTTCGGGTAGCTCTTGAAAGCCTCGACAACGGCGAAAGTGCGGTTCAAGTAGGCTGCGTAATAGGACTCCCAGGGATTGGTAGTGGTGATGCTCTCTCCAACGAGCGGGGAGTTGACATCGAGAATCATATACATACCAGCCTATCACGCATATCTCGTGTCAGTCCCTGTTGCTTTTATGGCAGTTGCCTCAAGGTCCCTCCTCCAGAAAAGATGTGTACGTACCGCATTGAAGATACTGGCACATTCGTCATGGTTCAGATTAGGGTCCAGGTTGTAGACACGAATAGTGTTGATACCGAGAATCTGCATCAGCGCAGCATCACGCATGCAGATATCTCCGTTGCTGAGGGGGTCCTTGCCCTCCTCAGGCTTGTATCCGGCAGAGCCACCGGGCTGGTAGGCGACACCGACGATCTGGAAGCGATTGCCGGTCGAGGGGTTGACAAAGTAGTTGCCTTCGACCTCCATGGGCTGCACGGCGGCAGCGAGAGTTGCGCCGAGCGCGACGAGGGCGGATTGGAGCTGGATGAGGGTCACATTAGCAGGAGAGAACGACGGCCGGTTCTGTCGGCAGAAGGGAAACTCACAAGCATATCTGCGCCAAAAAGCGAGGGCCGAAACACCCAGCTACTTAAGATACACGATGCGCTGTTGGGTTATCTAGGATGGAGAGAGCTTTCCAAACGATCGGTTCCAAAAAGAAATCCAACACACACAAAGAAGAAGGAGGAAGCGCGATAAAAGAGTCTAAATGAGTGACTAGAAGCGTATTTTCTGCAACAACTCTCGTCAAGCCGTCTGCATCTGCAGCATCACCGAAGGATGGTGAGTGAGCGAGATGGGATGAGAGAGGCCGGAGGAGGATCGAAGGAGGGACGGGTGATAAACAGCGGGTGCGGTAGCAGAGCGCGCAGGGGAGCTTATTATCGCCTGTTCGCAGTAACTTATTAACGGTGAACAACAAGAGAGCGATACTGCGGCCGCCAATGCCAATGCCAATGCCAATGCCAATGCCAATGTTGGTCTAGTCCACCCAGCAAGTTGCGCCAAGTGTGAGACTAGAGATTAATTCCAAGAGCAATACGACCCTTGTCCGGATGAGCCGCCCCCCTGCAAGTTCGAAGTTCGTGTTCTGTTCGACTTCCTCGGCGCCAATACCAAGTGAGCGTGGCCCTCGCCAGGGTGTCAAAGGTGCAGGTGGTCTTATTAGTGCGGTGTAATTCACTGGCCGTTACAGCACATCTAGGTACACTCAGTCAGCAACTGTGACGTCCAATCCAGGGGCAGATCTGTACCTAACCCCTCCTGCTCGACACAGACTAGACCCCTAATAATTACTCACTTACTGCGTACTGTACATTTGGCTGGCAGTATTAACGTTACCCAGACCCAGGTCAGGTATCATTGAGCGACGAGGAGGGACCCTTCGTTTAGGGTAGAACCGAGCGCCCCCGCTCTCCAGTACCACTCTAATTTCCCGCCTGCTATTCGTCCATGTTTCGATGTAATCTCTATCTAGAGTCTCCCTGGTGGCATCTTTATTTCTTGAGGTTATTTCTTATCTCAGCAATTGATGGATAAATAATCATCGTAGCAGACTTTGACAATACCTCTGACTGACCATGACCACTTACGGTATTGTAGAGTCTTCAACTCTGTGAAATGGTGGCTTTCATGCCTCCGACAGCCTTGCTCGTGAGGAATGAACATCCCCTGAACCGTACACACTTACCGCTCTGTCTCGTCTCCCCCAAGGCCCATCGTGATACTATACCCATGTCACACCAGAAACTCTCCTCCGGCAATGGGTCTTGGTCTCTTTCCCAAGACTTGATTGTGGTTAGCTTCTCCTGCTGGGCTCTCGTCGTCGACTCGTGTAAGTTCACCATAGCCACAATGCCAATACCCATAATGCCCAAAGGGATCCCCATGCAACGCGCGGCAAGGGAAAGTCATGAAATAAGCCAAGTACACCAGCCAGCCTTGGGCGAGCTGGGCAAAATCTGCCGGCAAATTGATCAAGAGCCATCGCGACTGGGCGCGTGCTCGGCGTCCTCTGCAGCCTGTAACCCGTGCTGCGCTTCTGTGATGTCAGACCAGGGGCAGCATTCCAAGCCTGAACAACATACCGCCATTCCAGCGCCTCGGACCAAGAAACCGGCAATTCTGACAATTTTGCTGTTTGATTTGTATCCGTTTCTTTTGTTACGACAACTCTTGGAGCTCCAGGCCACCTCATCAGCCTCTGCCAATCCATCGCAGTCATGTCGGGTGAGGTAGCCGGCCATCTTGGCTCTTTTATTGGTCTCCATCGCCCAGCTTTCGCCATGAAACTGAGCCCCTTTCGGCTGGTCAGGGGTATCTTGGCCTGAACTTTGTATTCCAGTCGATCTGCCAAAGTTTGTGTATCATCTGAACCTAAAAATGTGAAAATCAATCTAGTAATGGTGCACGACAATTACCTGGAACGACGATAAAGGGTAAATGTGATGCTGAGGTGCCAATATCGGTAGGGTATTGTTGTCCCAAGCATTTGGCGGCTGCTTCACATTGGCAATTCTTGCTAGGACTCGCAGACTTTGATGCTTCAAAATACTATATATACACATTTCAGCTATATACTGTAATGACAGCAAAGTACGCTATGTCAGGATATCATAAAGACTTCTAAATGAGTGAATGCTATGATTTCATCACTGGCCATTACCTCCGCTAATCTGACCACCCCCTTTTTAGTCCTTGCAGTCCTGGTCTCGCACGACAGACCAGTTCCCCTCTCAGAGACAACCAAGAGAGTCCCAGCCGTCGATCTCAGTCGTTTCTCAGGGGCAACCTCCTCGGCTGCACGCCGCTCGGGAGCCCAGAGGTCCCCGGCCGCGCGGCATTGACAACGCCGGCTCCTGCTGGTCTCTCGAGCGGCCACGCCGGTGACATGGTCCGTTGCGGCGCTTGGTTCCGGTCCAGCGTCCCGAAGGGACTCACGGTGCCCGCCTTCAGCCACGTCTGCAGACTCGGCGGAATGGAATTCCTCGAGCCTCCAGACTGCGGAACGGCCGCTCCTGACACTGGCGTCGACTTCGGGAACAGCGTGAACTGGTTCGTCTTGCGCGCCGCAGCCGGCGGCGGGTTATCCAGGATCGTCGGCGCGCGGTCATCGTAGCTGGTCGCATACCCGATACCTCCTCCGTTTCCTCCACCACCCGCGGTATCAGGATACCTGCTACTCGTGCTCGTGCGCGCCGGCGACAGCGGCCCCTTGATATCTTGAGGATAGCCGTTCGCGCCGTACGCCGTGGGCGCATCGTAGCCCCCTTGAGCCTTGTCTTGCGACTGTGGGTAGCTGATCTTCTCCCCGTTGAGCTCGCGCGACCGCCGCCTGCGGTCACGCTTGACGCGTAGCACGCACCAGAAGGCCAGGATAGTAAGCAGCGAGCTGCCCAGTATGCTAGCAACAATGGCAATCGCCGCCTGGGTGATCGAGACGGCCGTGCCTTGCGCTTGGACAACTTGGTTCTGGGCATCAGCCTAAAGAGAGTAACGTTAGTGTGCTCCTCAGGTTTTATCATTCTATGGTCAACTCACCCTCGCGAGAGTGGCGTCCGCTTGCGCCTGCTGCACCATGCTGGCCGCCGAGTCCATGATGCTCTGGGCCGACTGGCTAGCCGCGCTGATCATGCTCGCGGCGCTCTGCCCGGCGCTGCTGGTGACGCTGGCTATGGCTGCCGATATGGCCGCGCTTGCGCTGGACTCGGCAGAACTGACAGCCCGTGTAGCAGAATCGGAGGCCTGGCGGGCGGCATCACCAGCCTGCTGCGCGCTCTGCTGCGCCTGCTGTAGACTCTGAGAGAGCCGACGACTTTCCGACTCGAGCCGCGTGCTGGATTGGGATAGCTGTTGCGACTGCTGCGACAGCTGTTGCGAGGACTGGGAGACCTGTCGTGACTGTTGGCTCAAGGCCTGCAGCGCATCATTCGCCGACTGCTGCGCGGACTGCAGGCGGCGATTTAGGTCGTCGATCTGGTTCTGGTCCTGCCTCTTCAGCAACTCCGGCACCGAGATGGGCGGTGTAGTGATCTGGGCAGCCTCCGCCTCTGTTGGACTCCTCCGCCGCCGTAGCTCTCTCTCTGTGTCTTTGATCTTTCTCTCCAGCGCCCTGTGGCTTTGCTCCAGCTTCTCCACGTAGTTCATCGCCATGATATTTGGTTCCCCCAACGCCTCTCGAACCCCTTGCACAGCATTTGCCGCTTGGTCGTCAACATGGCCGCCGAACCACCTCCCCTTGTGCAAATCGCCGTGCCTCGCGCCATCATGTGCCAACGTTGAGCTTGAAGAAAGAAGAAGCAGTAGTGTGATGTGTAGTAGCCGTCTCCTAGCCATCTTTGCCATTGTAGTAAGGAGTTGTCAATATTGCTACCTCGTAGTAGTCATATCGGGGAATTGTTGTGAGAATGAGAACAGGTATTGGACGATGACAAGAGAGCAGATGGAAGAATGCCAAACCGACCAAAAGGAGAATTAGAGAAAGAAGATCGATCACTGGGATGGCGCACAGTCTTTACCTTTGTGAAGAGCGTGCGCACGTCTCTGACCCGTCAACCCACCTTGCCTTACCTCCCCGTCAACACGGGAATCTGAGATCCCTTGGTCCATGCCCTGCATCTTGACATATGCAACGATGCTTGGCGAAAGGCACCGCGAAAGTGCCGCTAGCGTTGCACTGCAGGGCCGTAGAGGGACGAGAAGACTACTCGAGAGTGTTACAGCAGATCTGCGGAGAGCTAATGGGGCAACTAGGAACAGCTGAGTGTCGTCCCAAAGAGGCTCTCCCATGACAGGCGACGTCAAAAGTTGAGGCTGACCAGGGGTCTGTTGACGTTCAACGCTAAGGTTGACTGACAAGTAAGGTCTCACGAGTGGTCGCGGCGACGAACCGTCCGATCTTCTGATTTGGCCGGCGCGGGCCCATTCTGTCTGGACCGTCCTGTTTCGGCGTTTGGAAACCGATTGGAAACGTAGAGGCTTGAGGAGCAAAAGCAGATCGCCGGTCGCCCTCTGCTGTTGGTCCTCGGGTTTCTTATGCGGAAGGCCCCTGCGCGCAAGGCACGACCTGGTTCGCTTAGCCTGTGCCGTCAAAAAAGCTTCCAGCGACCTGGCTCCGGCATCAATAATGCCTGCTGTTCCGAGCAATTGACGTCTCACCAACCCCGCGGTGAACTGGGGGGAGAAGGATAGTGATGAAAACTGAGCCCATGGCATATCACATATCAGACTCGGACTTTGCGTGAGCTGAGCATCCTGAGCTGCTAGGCTCCTCGTTCCGGTGCCGAGCCAAAGAATGACAAATTGCTACCATGTATCCACTTGTGAGATCAGATGAAGGGCATGCTGGACAGCTTCGGTTGCAATCCAGATTCAACCGATGCTTGCTCTTGTGGTGGCTGTAGCTTAAGCTCAAGCTTTTGAGTTGTTTCTTTTAATAAAACTTGGTGAGGCTCAAAGGCGGAAACATCGTAGGTAGATCGTATAAACTCAATCTCCGTTCAAAGAGGATTCCAGGTTGAGTTGCGGGAAGCTATTCAGGCAGTAGATCGAGGATAAATTCAATTCCCACGACGCGAAACATCTTTACGACAGCAACATAGATGTGCTTTGAGGGACATCGCTGGCTGCCTATTCCGCATTGGTTTTAGTCACACAAGAGCATAAGGCATAGATGTGACCAAGGCTAGCCACTATGCGTGAGCTGATGACTGAGACCCAGCCCGTCTCAAGTCGTACTTTCCACTTAACATGGGCTCCGGGAGTCCTGGTCTGCGAGCATTCTTCTCGTGAATTTCGTTCTAGGTATATACAGTCAAATCCGACACCTCCAGAGCCCATCATTCTTCAGGCGCGATCACGTCGTCCTGGTAGTTTCTCTCTCATGCCGAACACACATCCAACCATAACGCCTGTCATGCATTTGCCGCACCACTGAGTGCCGGCCGAACTTTTCTAACTCCTGCCAAGCACTAATTAAGACAGGTCCGAGGCAGACCTCAATCATACACTCCCAATCTAGATCATCAGGACATCATCAGGACAAAAGTATATCTTTGTCGATGGTGTGTTGTCCGTCTCCAGGTCACGCAATTGCTTTCCAAACTGCGTTGACACCCTTGCGCACACAGGCAGCTTTATACAGGGAGCTTGAACTTCTTTCCCTTGAGGACCTTGTTGTAGTAGATCCAGAAGAAGTCGCTGTACAGAACCGTCTGGACGATACCGGCCAGGAGGGCAATCCAGTCCACCTTATGGCCGACCTCCGTAAAGTACCGGTAGATCCAGTTCGGGATGTAGAGAGCACGGTAGAGTCCAAGAGCAAACAGATAGTGTGTCGTGATGGTCTCGGCCTCGCCTGTTCGCTGCAGCATGAAGAGCTGGGGTAGAATGGCGACGGACTCGAGCCAGATGGAGAAGGCCCACAAGATCTCAGCAATGCTGTACTTGTAGGGGAATATGATGGCGAGGGCAGCGGCTCCACCCAGAAGATATTGGACACGGAAGGTGTCAACGTTAGGGTCGTTCGTAGGCTTGTATGCGGTTGTCATTAGGTAGATGATGTATCCCTGCGAGCCGAGGAACATGATCTTGAAGAGCAGGTTGTACGCGCTAGTCGTCCAGAAGAGGTCTGTGATGAAGCTCCGTGTCAGCAGGGGGGTATACGCGTCTATACAGAAGCTATCGTACCGAGATATCTCGTGACATATACGAGGAAGTAGAGTGCTTGCGACTTGAAGGATATGCCGGAACAGCTCTGCGCACAAGTCAATTCGGCTGCTTCTTCAGCTTCCAGTCCATCTCCAGGTACTAACATTCAGCTGAACCATCTTGTGCAGAAGGATTATGATGGAACCCAGATGGGAAAAGTCCGCTGTGGCAAACCCTGTTAGTCCGTACCCATGATTGAAGCTATCGCGATGGCGATTTCAGGGGGGTGAGGCGTACCGAGGACGCGAAAGATGTTCAGTGACATGTTGGGCTATCTGAGTCTCGAAATTGGCGACAATTGGGAAATATACGAGCTGCGGACCATCAGGAGCTCGAGGCGATCGGTAGGCGTCGACTCGAAGCGGAAGGTTGCTTGTCTGTTGATTTGGAGGTTCAAAGCTGGAGAAAGGCGATGAATTTCCGCGAGGTGCAATGGAAAGGACACGACGCGATTAGCTTCTCATTGGATCCCTGCAGGCCCTGTTTGCGGCCACTCTTAGCTGCTGCAATTCCAGAAACAGCACTGACCAACCGGCTCAGGCACGGCATTCACAGGCTGAATGCGCTAAACGGCTGTCCCCTTAGGGAACAATTGGCGGCAAGCCACAAGCCCACCTGGTAGTCAGGGAGGCTCAGCTCTGCTATGGAAGTACTTAATCTAACAGCGATGAATCGCCGACTAGGGAGGTACACCTGCAAACGTAACATTTATGTTTAGTAGCTCGTCGGAGTTACCGTGACGTCTTCCCTGGGCCTAGGCTGCTGGCTGTGCTGCGCGCCGATTACGATTATGACAAAGCCGAGATGGAAAGTGCCTGACAAACCATCCCATCTCGTGCTCGGGATCACGATAGAAGATTCGGGCTCCCGCCGCCCTCCTTAATCACTAACCCTAGGTAATCAACCTTATGCCTTATTCAGGCTTCGTCCTCCTGTCCCTCTTCTCTTCAACATTCAGCAACAAACGCCCATTATATACTACAGGCGCATCAATAGCGAAATTGCATCTTTGAACAATCTCCAAATACACTTATATACCCAGCCGCAAACGGTAATCTCCTGTTAACCGAACCGCACCGCATCGCACATCATTCGCCGATATAGGAGCCTCGCCAGAGTGCACTCGTCTACAAATATCTTATTACCAACAACAAATACACCAGCCTCGAAGAAGGATAGCCATCATGGCTGATCAACAAGTCCTGGAGCAACATAACTCCTCGCGCTCGCCTTCCCCCTCCTCCGATGAGACCGTCACCGACCGCCCCGTCCGCATAACCGTCGCCTTCGCGGGCCATACCCACGCCTTCGACTTCGACAGCGCCGCAGTCCTCGACGACCTCGTAGATGCCTGCGAGGACTTCCTGCCCAACGGCCAAGAATATGACTGGGATGCGGCCAAGTTCATCGCGCCCAAGGCGGGCCTGCTCAAGGCCCGGGACAAGGCCGAGTTCCCGCTCGCCGAGCTCAACGGCAAGAAGGTCAACCTGATGGTGTCGAAAGCGTCCGCCATCGACGCCCTGCGCCAGGCCGAGGCCAACGCCCGCCGGCGCGCCGAGCGGCGGCTCGCACAGCGGCGCAACGCCCGGAGCCACCAACACCAGCACCAGCACCAGCACCACAGCCACCGGCACCGCGACCCGCAGCGGGCGCAGGACGACGCTACCTACACCTTCATGGCGGTGCGGCCGCTCTCGCACCTGCCGCGCCCGGAGCGCAGCCAGGCGTTCCTGCAGCGGCTGAAGGAGGACCCGGGGATCCGGTCGGCGATGCGCAAGCACAGGTTCAGCGTCGGCCTGCTGACGGAGATGGACCCCCTGAGCTACACCGAGGCGAGCCACGAGGGCACGACGCGCGTCCTCGGCCTCAACCGCAACCAGGGCGAGGTCATCGAGCTGCGCCTGCGCACCGACGCCTACGACGGCTACCGCGACTACCGCACCATCCGCAAGACGCTGTGCCACGAGCTGGCGCACAACGTCCACGGCCCGCACGACCGCAACTTCTGGGACCTGTGCCACCAGATCGAGCGCGAGGTCGACGCCGGCGACTGGAAGCACGGCGGCCGCACTGTCGGCGACCAGGAGTACTACGAGCCCGTGTCGGGCGGTGCCGGGGACGAGGAGGACATCATGGACCATGGTGGCTGGACGGGCGGCAGCTACGTCCTGGGCGGTAGCAGTACCAGTGCCGGCTCCGTGACCGGCGCCTCGGGGCAACCGCTGAGCCGTAGGGAGATCATTGCGAAAGCGGCAGAAGAAAGGAGGAGGCGGATGGACAACGCCAGACCCGACGGGGGAAACGACGGCGATAGCCGGCCTGCATAATCTCTCAGCTGATAAAGATATCGGTCTCTTGCGCAGAGCGAGATCAGGCGTGGAGTGTTTATTTAGGAGCGTTTATTTGCATTGTCCATCTAGCATAGCATTGGAGTTTCGTGATTTCCAAGGCAATTGGATGTTCAGGTAGATACAAGCGAGCAGTTGTATTCACCAGCATTAGAAGGATGTTCATGAACTTAAATTAATACAATTACCATTTCTGGGGTATCTCGTAGTAAATCTATACACGGTGAAGAGCTCGCAAAGGCTAGCAAGCAACACCCCAATGCAAATTCTTTCGAAAATGTCACTATCCAAGGTGACTTTCTACTCATTCCACCACCTATAAGGCCATGACCTTCTCCATCACAGGCCACGGACATTGGTGATCATGAAATAGTTGTTGTGTGGACCACATTGTCCAGTTTTCCGCTGACTTGACTTTGTGCAACCCTCTAAGCGTCAATCCTACAGAATACAGACATTCCTGTGGTCTGCTTGACTGGCCATTGATGCATTTGGTTCGGATACTCGATTGTGACGAGATATCAGTATTGATTGTCCCCCTGGCTTCACAGGAACGAGCAGATTTGAGCAGAGAGCTGTCAGCCGAAGGGCGGTCAGGTCCAAGGCTCGTAATTTGGTCTCCATGCAATTTTCCAACACCTTGACGCCGAAATATCGGGGAGGGTCCCTCGTTTAGTCACGGTCCATTGATCGCCCTCAAGATCACGACCAGCGACTCGATCGAGTGTCTATTTGCCGTTCTTCTTGTCGCCTTCAACGGGTTTCTGTTCTTCGGGTTTCGCGACCTTGATCCATTCCTTCAGTTCAGGCTCCCAGCGATGACTACAGGTGGTTAGTTACTATGCCAAACTGACAAATATTAGGGGTATAGGCTCACTCTTTCCATTCGGTAGTCACCAAGCTCTTCAGGCCGTACTCGTCAGTCAAGATGCGGTCGAAACTGTACGGTATCGTAGCCGGAACGCCCTCAAACTCGCTCTCACGCATGGGATACAGATCACGAGTATTGTATCTGTGATAATTTTTGCAGCTCCAGACTCCAGGATTCTTTTCGGGTTCCCGTTCGGCCAATCCAGTAATATCGATGAATGCGCCATTGCTTAGGTCGATCCAACGAGCATCAATGATGTTCTGGCCGTCACCTCGAGTCAGCTCAACGTGGTGCGGGTTAATGTCCAACAGGTATTCCTTCTTTTCCTCCTTGCCGGTAGCTTCATCGACATAACGATACTCGTGCCTCGTCTGGTTGTGGTGCTTGCCCAGGTAGTATAGCGTTGCACTGCTGACTTGAACATCAAGATCGTAGTCCCATGGCATGATGCGGCCGTTCCACCACCAGCCAAGCAGAGTGCCGTGGGCGAGCCATGTCTCGACACCAATAGCGCGGAATACAGTGAGGTAACTGCGGATCAAATGCCGTAGAACTGCACGATGTGCCTCGTATGGGACTTGCTCCTTGAAATAGCGTGCGTCGTAGTGGCCAAGCTCATCGGAACCACCAGGCTCGTGGAAGTACTTGTTGTCCTTCTTCTTCGGCTTATCTTCCCGCCTTACAACCCGCGTCAAGCCCATAGGCCGTCCTACCGCTGCAGGGTCGACAGCACATAGTGACGAAGGGATGAAGGCGAGAGTAAGGAGGAGGAAGCTTTGCAACTTCATGGTGAAGAGTCTCAAACACAGTAAAATGAGCCGTCGAGTATTGTCCTACTGGGGGATGTAAGACGAGTAAGCTGGTAGGTTTGAAGGTGCCCGGAGATCGAGGCGAAGAGAGTCGCGCTCCTAGGGGAATCCAGAGGGCGCCGGCTGAGTCTTTGAAAGGGATTCGTTTGTCTGCAAGATTGAGCACCAACGAGACAGGTAAGCAGCCGCGACGCTCTGAGACGATATTCTCTGAGATTTCGGTGTAGGTGGTACTTGTATGGCTGTCTAGGTCGACGTTGTACGGGAAACGGGACACAGGATTAAGATAGGTCGCACGTATTAGAGAAATCCGAGTAGGTGTGAGAGGTACTGGCCAGTCCGAGGATGGTGTTCGTGAAGCAGCCCTAGGCGAGTCGCGTGCCAACTGTACAAGCGGAATCCGCGACTGAAAGAAACCGGACAAGAGGCAGAAGAAAGGGCAGAGGCGAGAAGGGGGATATTAGAAAAACGGATGGGGGCTGAAGATGAAGAGGACTCAGCCCTGTATTAAATGATAAGGGCAGGGAAGTGAGTGGAAGGAAATGCGTGAGAAGGAGTCGAGTAGAATAAAATAGGTACGCGGACGAGATGGGATGGAAACGACGGGGAGTAAGTACTACCGGTACTGCAGGTGTGCCCGCTAGGGAGGAAGGAGACAGTGAGTCGTTTGGGAAGGTCAGCCGCAGCAGGGAAGGTACCTACATCACCCCAACCTGCCTTACGTACCTCCTCTTCGTTGACAAGTTAAGTGTACACTGTGGGAATTGTATGGTATGGGCTGGATGGGTATGGATATGGGGAAGGGCCGCTAGCGACAGGCCGGGGACTGACGATGGGAAGGGACGACCAGGACTTGGGAACTCTAATCTCGTTCGCACGGTGCAGTACAGTACGTGGCATTGAGGCGCTACAGTAGGGGCAGCAGGTACCTCAGTCAAATGGAACCCCCCAGATGGCCGCCCAAAGGGGTGCACTGTGCACACCTGGGCATTGCTCGAATTAGGTTTGCCTCTATCTCTGGCGCTCCTCCGGCTTTCCCAAGGAAATAAAGGCCTAAAATGTGTCTGTCTACACTGCTGTGTTGGGGCCACGATCGCCACACAATCTTACTGCGTAACTCATGCGCCGGATGCAAGCTGCCTAAATATCTTGTCCGGCTGGGCCCAAGACATGTTCAAGCCCTTGTTCCGCATGCCATGCCGGAACTTTGGCCGCGCGAGGGAGGGCATTGAAGAGTGTAGTGCACAACGCCAGATCAGAGCTCGCTTCTCGTGCATGTACAGTCAACTCATTTTCAAATTTCATGGCAGTGGGGCAGTTGATCACAGGCAGGGAGAAGGCCAGTCTTGGAGGGTAGAGGGCATCGAGGGCTCTGTAGTCTGTACAATGCAGGACTGATGGGGGGATGACTGGCGAAATTCGAAATGCGGTAACTGCTCGCGTGAGGCACTGCAACAGGGATGCGCTGTTGCTCCATTGATCAATTTACCTAGCGGCCACCCGGGGGGCGCCAGGGGGTGATTGTCCACTAGCACGATCGGGGTGTCCAGTGCCTACCAGAAGAGGGTTGTGTCGTGTGCTCCCACACGCAATTTGATGTTAGCACCCGCGGACCTGTCCCACATAAAAGACAGGAGACAGGTACTTCCACGGCAGCCACCAGTCGCACTGTGCTGCCGACGGAAGGGAAACCTACTGCGTACAGCTGGCATTTTTCTTTGCATCGCGATTACCATTACCATCCCATGGAAGTCTATTGTTTGGTAGGTATTGGGGCTTAAAATTTGGCAAAGACATGGGCAGCTCCTTCCTGCTTTATACCTACCTAGGCACGTGCTAGGTATGTGTTATGAGGTATAGTCTTCTTGATCAAACGGGCAAGGCTGTGGCATGCTGTGCGTTGCAGTAACGTTAGCACATGGCATTGGCGAATCCTCCTCGCACCTTCTCGCATTGGAGGGAGACGCGCACCAACACCTGACTACCATTTAGTATCTAGTAGATACCTCCGCTACCTTCAATACCCGCACCTGCCTTGCAAGAAGAGGATTGTTCTAGCTACGTAGGCGCCAGCAGGATGCCAAGCATTTGACTTCTTCTCTAGTCCCAGCTTTACGAAGTTTATGGTTATCCGGCACTGCAAGCTGATGATGATCACTTCGTATGTGATCTGTCTTAAGGGATGCCTTCTCCAGTATAACTGCTCCATTCAATACCGACGACCACCACAAAAACAAAAAAAAAAGAGGACAATTCACTGGGGCATATTCGTGATTTCCTCACAGTGTGAGGCTCATTGTCACCGTCGGGGCTAGACTGTCCAAAATAGAACGAGCGGACGGGCATTCTCAGAGCCCTGTATCCCTGGATCCCTGGCCGGTATGCGGCGGGCGCGCGATGCTGGGGCCGGACGGTGCTCAGTCGGTGTGCTACGGGGCTAGAGACGCGCGTCCCAAGCATTTCTCCCTGCCTCACCAAGTTTGGGCAGTCGTCATCTGCTGGGCCCGAAACGCCCTCGCTGGAGCGCTGATGCTGCAACTCGACTCTCTAGGCTCGAGACGAAACACGCGCGGGCGGAATTCGATGATGAAGCCCAAATCTACCGGTACATACATTCGATTCTATCTCAGATGCCTCGCTAGGCTCGCACTGGGCTAGGGGGCTAGGGGGCCATCTGCCCCCTTTTCTTGGGCTTACGGTGCAGTAGCCTACCGTACAGCACCAAATCCCTGCACCTGGGATGGTGATTCGAGAGATCCTGGGGCCGTTGCCAAGCCTTTTTCCCTCTCTACTCTACCTTGAGCCCTTCAAACAGAAAAGCCACAGGTCAAGCGCCGATCGAGTTCTCGAGCGAACAGCGAGACCTGTTCGAAAGCCCACGGGGATTTTTGGCTTCCAGACCCATCTCTTATCGGGATGCAATCTGCAGCTGGGACACCGCAATACTGGTGCATCCTACTGTTCAAGGCGGCTCTGCGGGAATCCATCTCGCCGTCAATCTATCGCACGGCGCGGTCGAGAACAGAAAGCACGATGGCGATTATGCGAATATGGACATGAACAGGTGCTTCACCCAGTGGCACTGTGCTGACACAGTCTGCATCTGACAGGCGCACTTTGTCAGGCGAGGTGTCGTGTGCCGAATTGCCGTTCTGTAGGCGACCTGGGTAGTAGTACCTATTCTGCAGCGACACACAGCGGGCGCCCTGTTGACTGCGGAGTATAGTACAGTGGCTGCAGCGGTGCGGCTGGCTCGCTGGCTTGGCTGCCCGCCGAGCGAGCGCAGGATCATGATCACTTTTTTCACGACAGGCGATGACATCAGCCGTGCGCCTGTCGCGTGCCGTTCTGCCCTTTTCCCTCCCCCTTAGTTTAGTAACACGGCAGCGTTCTGGCAGGCCTTCAGGCGTCCTGAGTGGCTTCATCCGCTCTGCCAAGCCGCTAGCAGCATCCGCTGGCTGCAAGGAATCTCGGGTCTCACCTCGTAGCGGCCTTCCCTACGCTGCTGCTAATCTAACAAAGAAACGAGGGCAACAAGGCCCCGGACGAGCTCCTCACCCTTCCAGTAGTGAGGCGCGCTCTGAAAGACTCTCTCAGAGGGTCGGCGGCTTCAGGCATCGGCTGTCGCTCCGTTGGCTCGTGATATTACTTGTCTGATATGGGCGACGAACGGATATGCCTTGGTCTCACCTGGCAGAGTTGTGCAAAAGCAACTGATTCACGAGGCATGAAGAGCCTCGCTCCGTACAGCTAGTTCAAGATGTGAGAACCCAACGGCAGTTTCGGCCTTCGATTTCATGCCGCCACAATACGAACCTGGAGTTGCCTCCCTGCTCGATGTGGCCCGAACCCCTGAAATCAACTGACAGCAAAGCCGTTGTGTGTCTTTCCGGGGTAATAAGATGCGCAGATCCTTGGCTTGGCAACCTCGAATATGAGCCTTCAGGCCTCTAGACCACTCCGCTCAACGGATGCGGCTATACGGCTGCTGTCTACATCTCGCTTTGTCAAAGACAATCCCCAACACGAGGTTACCGTCAGTTCGCCGCGGAGAGCTCTCTCGGCGAACCGTGCCGAACTGACAGTCTGCTCTAGGAGTCTATGCTATGGTAGGGTAGTTGTTGCCTTCTTTAATGGCACACACCGGTTGCTGGCTAGCTGACTCTTCAGCTTCGCATGTGGCACTTCCCCCTATTTGGACAGCCGCAAGCCACCCCGAAACCCCTTTTCCAACTGGTGTCAGCACGTTATATTTGAGGCGCCCGGCCAATCAACAGAATGGTACCAGCGTTTGTGCACCTCCCCCTGGCCTCGGCCTGAATGACATGCTGGATATAAGCCATGGAAAGAAAAGACTCATGTCTGTCATTGTGACTGGTGACATCGAGATGGGGAATGTCAACTTTTGGCATCTGGTAGGTCGCTGGGGTAGCACACGAAGGTTGAATCTGAAATGAAAGTTGCATAACCGGAACACCCAACTCACACTCAGGAGAGCAAGGAACTGTGTTAATTAGACTACTCTAATGTAACTCTCTTCTTCTAATATCCGAGAAGGACTTACTTCTACCACATGGGTATATACATTCTCGTCTTACACCTTATTCACGCCACTACTACGGTACAACTGAGGTGCACCTTACCCTCACGAAGTTGTCCACAGCGAAGGACATCGAAACCTCGTAATAAATTTAGCAAGGAACGATATGTCTATTGAATCAACCCAGGCCTACTCAAGAAAGGATATTTTAGTCAGAATTCGATGCTGTGTTTTCTTTTATGCCAAGTCTAATCATACAGGACTCCTTTTCACGCTATCAAGGATGGCCTCCAACTCGAGTAGCTCTGCCCAATCGTGCTCTACATGCATTCAAGTTTCCTCTGCCCTCCACAATCCGCCGCTATGTTGTCATTGCCAATCAGTACAGGCACATGGCTGTTTGTTTCTGAGAAGACTGTCTCACCCGTTTCGGGAACCTAGCGAAGTTGCTGCGCGTAGATCTTGCTCACAATTCGACGACGTTCGTGCCTCACACGCACGGTGGACAGCCTAACTCTCAGCCATCATGCCTGCTCCAGATTATGCATGCCATTCTTACTGTAGTAATCAACACCGACGTTTGTTACCACTGGAGGCAGACCGGGCGACTGCGCCGCGGGAGGCGTGTAACAACAGCAGTGCCAGGTCATGGACGTCGATTCAGACACATTGAGACCTCACAGGCTCGTAGAGATCGCATTCTTCGTCATGAGGACCCGACCTTTCCTCCATTCGAACAATTCCCTACAACGTCAAGTTTGAGCACAAGGATGGTTTTGTCTTGTTGACCGGGCGCTTTGGTGCACGAGACCAGACCAGGGCAGCACGATCCAGACTGTCATGAACGACCTTGTGTGCTCCGCGGCCAGGCTATTCAATCTCAGAAACGGTATCATTACCTCCTCAACAAGCACTCGCTGCCTTTATAGAAGCTAGTGGAGCTACGGGAACGAACAAACCTTCGAGGTCCTGCTGTGTATCAAGACTTTCGTCATCCAGTACTCGGGGGCCTTGAGGAGTGGATATTTATTATGCGGGCGGAGGAAACACACGACAAGATGATTACAACAACTCACTAGGCACGAACAAGAGCATTGCGCAAGTACAACAGACATGGCTTGACAAACGCGAGTATATATAATGGTTTGGTATCTCTGCATCCTGTCCTCCGCACATATGAAAAGGGGGTGGGCTACAAGACTCTGTCCCACGCCTAAGGCACCCCTCTCTCTCTTTCTTTCTTGCTTGCTTTCATGCATACTATCTTATCCCTCATTCTCGTCGACGTCAGTTGGAAGAAAAAGGCGTGTATGTATGTAGGTAGGTTTAGGTAGGTTGATCAGGTAGGGTAGGCTAAGTAGCTGTACGGGCGAGCGAAGCAGGCGCACACAAGTGGATATGTGGTAGGAATTAAATACGGAAGAAAACAAGATAAAGGACAAGTTAAAAAAAAAAGGACAAGCTTTTGCGGCTGCTTGCTCGAGCGGTATATGTGCCAGACAGACCAAAGACGTGGTGTTTGGGCAACGGTTCAAGGGGTTTAACAAAAAGTTCAGATCCCATTATAACTCCTTGCCACATTTGTAACCATGCGGGAATACAGGTTGGGGGGAATATTTGCGAAGACAAAGAAGCCAGAAGCGAAAAGTCCCAGACAAATGATCTCTGAGCGTATACACATGGTAATGGTGCCAAAAGAAGCACCCTAGAAGCAGTTCAGACTGCCCTTCTTCTTCTTCTGCTTGCTGATGGCATTCATCCTCTCCTCGAGATGAGCCCTTGCGATCTCTGCATCGCGCCTCTTCTTCCTCTCCTCCTCGACCTGGTGCAAACTCCAGCGGTTGTCGGTCTGGGGCCGCTCCTTAAGTTCCTTGAGCTCATTCTCAAGGTCAGTACAGCGGCGACGCCAAGCATCACAGTCGGCCTTGACCTTGTTGGACTGCCTCTCGAGATCGGTAAGGGCCTCCTCGAGGGTTGAAGTGAGTTGCTTCTCAGCATAGAGATGCTTCTCGATGGTGCGGATGCGCGCTTCCTGATCCTCGTGGATCTGAGACATGGCGAGATCCTTGGAGGGTGGTCGCACACCGGTTGGTGTTGCCGGCACGGGGATCGCCGCAGCGTTGGTGGGAGAACTGCTCGTCAGACCAGGCAGAGGTGGTAGGGGAATAGCTGGCGGTGGTGAGGGCAACGATGCAACAGATGCGCTCTTTCGGATTTGAGAGTTGACTGAGTCAGATCGCTGCATACCATCAGCTGGGATGATACCCTGGAACTTGGCCTGTACAGTGTCAGAGAGTTTGCTATCATGATTTTCAATAGCTCTACATACCTGAAGAGTGGCATATTCTTCTTTGATGCTATCCAGCTCGCCTTGAAGTCTGATCTTGGCAGCATTGGCCTCATCAAGCTGAACGTTCCGTTCAGTTTGTAAAGTAGAGAGGCGATTGGTAGTGATTTGCGCCTGGTCAAAGTTGGTCTGAAGCTGCTCCTCGAGCTCGTCGACTAGTCGAGAGTTCTTCTTGTTCCTGTTCTCGAGGTCGAGCATCTTCTTCCTCACAATTGCCAACTGTTCGTTGACTGATGGGTAAGGGCTTCTCAATTCCTGACCATCAGCTCTGAGCATGTCGGCAAGTGTGGATTTGACGGCTTCCAAGTCGCGCATAACGGTGTCGTTGATGTTGGACAGTTCTCGGACCGTCTTCTCCAGGTCGCCTCTCCTCTTCTGCTCTTGGCCAAGAGCCTTCTGATCGGCAATGAGGTCCTCAATGCGCTCGGTGATCTTCTCGACACTGACATCAAGACCTAACGCGAAAGCAACCTGGGTAGCGACCTTCATGAGATCCTCACGGGCGTCCATCAGCTCGCTCTCCAGAGCCCTTACGTTCTCGGCATGGTCTGACTTGAGGATATGTAATTCATGGTCATACTCCTCCTTGGAGGCCGCCTTGATCTCTGCAATCTCTTTTTCATGATTGACCTTCAGAAGCTCCATGCCATCATGGTGGGTCTTGATGGCTGTCTCGTGTTCAGCGATCTGGGTTTCTAGGCGAGCAACAAGCTGCTTGTGAGTGTCAATCTCGCTGGTGGCCAGATCACGAGCCTTATGGGCCTCGTCAAGCTCGGATTTGGCAGAAGCATGGGCCTGCTCCAGCTCGACAACCTTTGTAGTGTTGCTGTTGATAATAGCCTTGTACTCGTCAATCTCGCTGCGGAGGAAGTTGACGAGATTCTGGTGCTTGACTTCAGCTTCTTTCGCCTCTTCCGTCTTCTCGCCATTCTCAGGAGTGGCGCGAGCAGACTCAGCAAGCTGAGCATTGACAATAGCAAGTTGACCCTCGAGATCCTCGATAGTCTTCTTCATTTGTGTTTCGGTTGACTGCATTGACTCCAGCGTAGTCTGGTGCTTGCCCTCCCAGCTTGCAAGTTCAGCCTCAAGCTCTGTGATCTTCTTCTCGTGAGCCTCGCGCTGCTCCTGGGTGGCCTCCTCAGTCTTCTCCTCAGACTTAGCAGTCTCCATTGAAGTGCGAAGCAACTCGAGCTCATTACGGAGCTCTTGTTCACGGGCTGCATGTGCCCCTTGCATCTCTTGCAGCTGCTTCTCGTTCTTCTCAAGCTGATCCTTCAGGCTGGAGATGACTGAGATATCCATGGGCGAGCTCTTCAAACTTGACCTCTCCCGCGTCAAACCGGAGATGATCGTCATCTTGGTCTCCATTTCCTTCTTGGCGGAGGCAACATCCGCCTCAAGCTCCTGGATCCTTTCGGATCTGGCATGAAGTTCGTGCATGGCAGCATTCAAGTTGAGCTCGAAGTTTGCCATCGTGTCAGGGTTGTCCTCGAAGTTATCTGTGGCAATGTTACGAAGAGAGGCGAACGATCGATGGGCCCTGTCAATGATCATAACGTTCTGGCTGGACTTGCGACGGATCACAGGGGCGCTGGTTCTTGGTGAAGATGCTTCGGCTGCTTGTGCCTTGGCAACTTCGGTCTTCAGCTCCTCGACCATATCAAGCGTTTCGTGGTGCTTCTCCTCGAGTTCGGCGTACTTCTGGGCGAGCTCCTTCTCGGCGCTTTCCTTCTCAGCAGCGATGACCTTGAGGCGCTCTAGCTCCGTAGCGAGAGCAACGCTATCGACATGCTCGTTGCCGCCATTGACGCTAGCTGGAGTACCAACAATCTCTTCACTGTGAATGACCTCACGGGCCTCTGCATCCTCGGAGACCTCGTGCGACTCGTCGGACGCGTGCGGCTCTTCCACGTCCTCTTGCTCGGCCGGCTCGGCAGCTGGCTGCACTTCTTTCTTCTGCTGCGGCACAGCTGTCTCGGCATCAGAAACCTCCATAGTAGCGGGGGAATCCATAGCTGATGACAATTCCGAGGAGAGCGAGCGCGATGAGGAACGCTGTACTCCATGCTTCAGATCCTTGGACGTTGCGTCTGATAAAAAAGATGAAGGGCGTGTCTGTGTCTCCGTTGCGGTAGTCACAGACAACATAGAGTCACGCACGCGACTAGGATGACGAGCTTCGTCAATGGTGTCTTGTAGCTCAGCAAGTATACGAAGAGTCTCCTCGTACTTAGCCTGGAGAAGATCGTACTCGTTGAGGGTCGACTCATGCTCAACTCGGAGGTCAATGAGCTCCTGGGTGACGTTCTCGAGCTTGTCAGCCACAAACTTGGACTGGGCTGGGCTCTGTGGGTATTCCTGCTCCTGTGCATCGACATCAAGATTGGCACGAGAAGCTTTCGGAGTAGGACCCTTGGCGGCGTCGTCCTCATTAACGTCCTCGCTGGTGGCATTGGCCGACTCTTCCTCCTCTGGCACATCCTCTTCACTGACCTCGGGGATGACATTTGTCCTCTGGCTATGTCGGCTGACATGGCTGGCGTGGCTTTGGGTTCGTGAATGTTCGCCCACTGTACGGCTGGCTATGCGCCTGTGGCCCATACCATTGCCCATCTCAGGCTCGGTTTCAGCTGGGGGCGCATCCTGCTGGATATGATCGAGCTCATACAGCAAAGAGTCCAGCTTACCGAGACTCCGCTGTCGCTCGATCACTTGCTCTAGGCGGTCAATCTCACGTTGCATCAGCTCAGCATCTTGGTCGGCCTCTGCGAGTCTCTCTTCCAAGGTGGAGATGTAGTCTTCACAAGCAGCCTCATTCTCACGGACGCGGGCAATCTCCTTGCGCAACTCGAGGATGATGGTCGCGTTCTTCTCTTCACCAGAGGTATGGCCATCGAGCTTAGCTTCCAGGTCATGCAGGTAGTTTTCGGTGCTAGCCTCACGGTCCATCAGCTTCTGTAGTCTAGACTGAAGCTGAGTGTTGATAGTCTCGACATAAGCGCACTTAGTCTCCTTCTCCAACAGGTTCGTCTCGGTATTGGAAAGAGTCGACCTGGTGTTGGAGAGAGACTGCTCCAGGCTTTGGATAGTCTTTTCATATTCGAGGACGACCTGCTCAACGGCCTGGGCGAAGGTGTTGGAGCGATTTAACCGCTCCGTGGCGGTGTCATCTAAGCTCTCCTCGAGATGCTGGTTCTCCGCGACCTCATTATCCCGTGCCTTAGCCATCTCGGCAATGAGTTTCGCATGTCGCTGACTAAGGGCGGTATAATTCTCTTGTTGGTCAAGGAGCTGGTTCTGTAGGTCCACCTCCCGTCCGTTCTGCCGCTCGGACCTCTCGCTTGCTGTGAGGATGCGTCTCTCCCCTCCGCCATGCTCCGCACTCCGGATCTGCTCGCGCAGGAAAGCCACCTCAGCCTTCAGCCGATCAATTATGGCTTGTTTGTCACCCTCTTCTATTTGCTGAATACGGGGTTTGCTCTGAATGGCTCGGGCTCGCTGCGCATACTGCACGGTGTTGAGCGTCTCACTAAGATGGAACTCGGCCGGAGTTACACAAGCAATCATGTATGTGATGGCGTTTCCGCCGAGAGAATCCTGGAGTAGCCGGGTGAGCTTAGAATCGCGGTATGAAACATGCGACCCGGCCTGTCGTGAAGATAGTTGTGAGATGACCTTGCCGAGAGCGGCAAGACCGGCGTTAATCGAGATACCCTCTTTGGCCCGTTCGCCTTGTGCTCCCGTGTTCTTCAGTCGCTCACTTCCGGCTAAATCGACAAAGTGCAGCTTGCTGTCCGTGGTGACCCAGGACTCCGTTCCCGTCATGGCCTCCAGGGGCACTGAGAACCGCTTCTCTGCCCCCTGGCCCGACTGCAGCCTATTCTTCCGCTGCACCAGATTAAGACTGAACACGGCATGGGACCGGGAGGACCTTGCATTTATAGCAGTCGCGTCCGTTTGTCGGACTGTAGAACCAAAATTTAAAGCGTTGAGAAGATCGTCTACTGAGTTGATTTCGACTTGACGGAGTCCAGTGAGAAGGATATTGCCCTTCACATCCTCGCGGATTGTGACTGGGGTTCGCTCAGCAGCAGGTATATGTTCGGGAAGCAGCAAATCGCGCAACTGCTCGTTATAAATTTCGACGTAGGTTGCCTTCAATGTCCAGCTCTTGTCAACTTTCGGATGGGGCGCAGGCGATGAGGCCTGTACCGAATACCTCTGTGGAGTTCGAAGATGCGACATGGAGTTCCGATTTGGATTGCCACCTGCCTTCGGCGCAGGTCCATCGAGCTTCTCAAAAAGTGCAGTTGCAGCTCGAGGAATTACACCTATGCGACGCCGGTGTTAGCTTCAGGAATTGCGTCAGGATACTTGGGGCATCGATGATCATGGCATTTCGTATATAAGCCAAGAAGAAAAAGACCTACCCATAATTTCAATATCGCCTTGTTCGCCTGGGCCGGAAGTGCCCATCGTGTACGACTTTCCGGCGCCCGACTGACCATATGCGAGCAGCGAGACATTGTAGCCCTGCGTGAACGCATTGACGCAGTCATTAAGATATTCCCAAATCCCCTCCTGATTGATTTCCTCGCTAAACACGCGGTCGAAGACGAACAATTTCCTGCCCTGGGGGGCATCAATAGCTAAACTTGTATTCGACGTGACTTGAACCATGGATCGCTGGAACCGCTGAGGAATGAGTTCAAAACCCGGATCGGTGGGCTTCAGCGGCGGCCGCACACGGACGGCTGTATCGCAAACGAGTATTAGCAACGCGCGCTTTCCTTCGCCGCGTCGAGGGACGCGGAGAGTGTAGGCGAGAAAAACAGCAAATTACATACCGACTCTGACTGAGGTCCTCCCATCTTCGTCCGACGCTCTGCTTCCACCCCCAGCCTTGCTGGAGGTGCTCATCCGACTGTTACTTCTCGGAGCTGCTCTGACCATGGCGCTGAGTGGCCGTTGGGGCAGGCTCCCGGGTGAAGCTGGCGGCGAGGCCATTGTGGACGGGAAAGGGGGACGGAGGGCCCTTTAACCAGACCCGACGACCAGAATGTTTCTCCTTCCCGCTGTTGGCTGGCTGGCTGGCTGGCTGGCACTGGATGGATAATTGGACAACGGCAGCGGCACAAATGACGGAATGCTATGCGCACGCAGAATGGGCCACCTTCAACGGCGCGCGCTGGTGCGGGTGAATGGGCGAAGTTATTCTGCCACCAGCACAACAACAAGCGTCATATGTTCCAGATCATCAAACAGTCGGTTTCCTGCGTTGAACCAGTCACAATGACCGCCTGGTGTCTCGCGCGCGGGTACAGCACAGCCAGAGCACAGGATAGCCACGGTACTGACTGACTTGCAATTTTGGGGTGGTGGATGATTCGGGAGGCGACGGACTGGACTGGACTGGACTGGCTGGGGACGTTTGGAATTCTTGGTGCTTGTTTATTTAATTGCGGACCAGGGGGTGTTGCCGTTGCTGGCAAATTAATAAAAGCGCGTCCCTGCAAGTCGAGACAGGCGATTGGAAGGGCCGTGAAGATCAACCACAGACCCCAATTTTCCTGCTCCTCCTTGCACAGCTGCACTGGGACTATACACTCAGAGCACGAGCCGGGGGGTTTGGTGGTAGTGGTGTTTAGCTGACGACGAAGCGGATGTGATATGCTCTAGAATAACAACAAGAATAAGAACAAGGAATAAGAGAAGAAGAAGAAGAAGAAGTGTGTGTGGCAGACAGATAATGCAACTGCGCCGGTGAGAAGAAGAAAAGTAGAAGAAGAGGAAACGCCTTGCAGCAGCACGCACCAGTAGAGAGACTGGGGAGAGAGTCAATGCTCGCGGAGCGCAGCGAAGCGCAGTGCAAGGCGAGATGGCCCCATGGACCATTCCCAGTAGATACCGACCGAGCTACCTACCTACCAGCCTACCTACTCCAGTACATACTCAGCGCCAAACTGGCAATTGTCTCTTCCTGGCATCTGTCTGTGTGCGTGTCTCTCTCGCCTCACTGATTGGTAAGTTGAGCTCCTCCGGGCTGTCAAAGCTCGATAGGGGGCGTGGTCAGGGGTGCGATGGAAAGCCGATGGAGACGCCTTCTTCTCCATGTACTAGGCGAGAAGGTAGCTAAGGTAGTACAGCCATAATCACCACTTCGCTGGGTAGACTACCTAATTAGTGTACACCAAGGATACACAAGACAAAGTCCCTCATCAGCTCGCTCGGTAGTACCAGGCAATGGAGGGTTTCCTATCTGAGCGAGGCATTTCGGGCTGTAGGATCTCTGTATCCATTCCCAGAAATTGGCCCTTCCTCCTGCTCCTCGCTCGCTGTCATCCGACGGCAGATGTTCAGTCCGCAGCTCAGGAACCCACGCGCCACGAGAGAGCTTCATTTCAGGGCGCGCAACGCCCGCAGACTCTGCTTGCTCGCTGGTCAGGGGTGCAGCAGGACACAGGACTAGCAGCATGCAAACTCGACGAATGAAGCTTTCAGGCTCACGGGCGTACCAATGCTATCCGCGTGCCTCCTCGACGGGCAACCTGGGCGACTGCAGGCACACAACCACCACGCAGGCCCCCATCTCCCCCCCATCTGGCAGCGACGCTGACCAGCGGGCCAATGAGACCTCCCGCGCCGGTATTGCCCACATGCCACTACGCAGTAGTCTTGTCTGATGGTGGGAAGGGTGGGAAGGGTATGCCCGCCCCGACGAGGTACCCTGGGGCCGGCCTGGGATCCTCGTCCGTCCCCCTGGTCCGCCCGTTCGGTCTTGCTACGAGACTAGTCAGGCCTAGCGGGCTACTAACAAAGTCGTCCGTCTCCAACTCCCCGAGTCCCCAAGTCCCGCTACGAAAAGGGGCATGTTCAAGGGTCCAGCTCTTCTTTTCGGGGTTTGGGGCGCCCACGACACGCTCTTGAAGCAGTAAGCATGAACGACTCGAGTGCCCCAATTTGGCCGGACCACAGGAGCGCCATTGCAGGACCAGATTTCAGCTTCTGGAAGATTGGATCGAATTACAGAGCTGAGTCAAGCCGCACAAGCCGGTCCAACTGAGGGTGTGCGCTACAGCATGTCTCAGTTCCATGTTTTGTTTGCTGGCTCTGCGCTGCTTTGCTTTTGCTGTGTCCGTTGTGCCACACCTCGCCACACGTCTGCAAAAGCAACTAAATGGTGAGAAAACCCGCTTTGACGGTCCCAGAACTCCCTGTGTCTCCGTCCCGGCTCCTGGAAGGCCTCTTCCTCGCGAGAAACCCGGACGGCGGGGCATTCTACCCTCCGCCAATTTAACGCAGGCGGGAGGCTGTCACGGTCCATGTCCGCCGCGTGTCTTGTCTGTCTGTCAATCGTGTCGCGAGGGCTCAGGGGCCAGCAAACGGCCCAAGGTGATGCTGCAATACTATGTAGGTCTACGTCGCGGCGGCTCATCCGCGAGCCGTCGATTCCAACATCTCCTTACCCGCTGCCGATCCCTTGTCTGGTCCGTAAAAAGGGGGCATCCAATGGTCTGCCACCAACCTTATCGACAACGCCTCTCTCATTTGTGTGGCTTCATTGATCCTCCCACATGAACCCAGATCCAGTCTTCAGTGGAGCGCTAAAACAAGCCAACTTTCTTCGTCCTTATCGATTGCGCTCGTGGCATGGCATGGATACTTTCGTGCAATCAGACATGGCTGTACAAACATTGCTCGTGGGCCGAAAAGTGGACAAGAATTTTGATATCTGATGATAGAATGGCCATATCTACATTTGTTCAGCGGCCTCCCAGCTATGGGAGCATCTTCGGAGGCTGCCGTGCAATGCCTGTCTTTCATGCGAGGCATAATGTTGGTTTGTATCATGCTTTCTATCTTAAGCTCGGGTTGCTCTTTCCCCAGTCTGACTACTTGAGTCGGGGACTTTCTCATACGCCACCTGCCGGACTATTGCATGAAGGACGATACCCATAAAGTCTGGTTCCAGAATACCCACGACACACCAGTGGCGGGGTCTACCCATGAACACCTTTCTATCAGTCAACCTCGCCCTCTGGTGGTGGCTTGTCGTTGTTCTGATCTCGAAATTGGTGTGGGTGAAGTGTCCAATAGGACCATCTGAACATGTACAGATGTTCCACCAAGGATCCCTTCAAGACGTATGCCTGATCCATGCGAAGTTTCACCATGCGCCAGCGGCGAGATCAATCTGTGTTCTCAAGTAGTTCGTTTTCATCCCTTTGCTCTCTCCCATTGACCATGTTAGATGTGACTTCGGTGCCTCCCGGCTATCTATCTTGTGGCCGGTCCGTGCTGCAAATACACATGCAAACCGTGGTTGAGGTGGGGTTATCAAAAATGCGAACTCACCTTGGAGTTGCAGTGCTAGAGACCGTTGACAACTGACTGCGCTTATTAGAGAACCAGACTTGGATGAATCGGCCTGCCTCTTTCTCACGAACTACTCTATAGCCAAGGGTGGCATGACACACGCAAATTCATGAGAGAGGCATAGAAGGCAAGTCACACCGCTTTCTCATGCTGATAGATGGCCATTTGCACGATGGCACGGCATGAAGAGCTACTGCAACTATGCTGTTAGCGAAGCAAGGCATCACTGCGACCCAGACTTAGCAATCAATCCCTCCATATCATCACACGATGCAGAAGGGTAGCATTCTCCCCAGCCACACGTCCTACGTGGTAGGCCTCACCTCGGCGCTCTCGGCCACCATACCCCAACCAGCCTCACGATCCGCAGCTTGCCATCGTAACCGAGTATGATAGTGCTCGTTGGCCGGCATCATTATCGATATGCGTTCTGTAACTTCCGCATCGAGGCGTTCTAGGCTACACCATTTGACTTGTCCCTTGCTGCGAGCGCTTCGATCCAAAAAGCAAACTCGTCTCAGATGAGACATTAGACAAGCCGAAGGAAACTGGTGCAGACGCGGCCCGTAGGTGCAGGTGGTCAAACCTGTAAAGCAATTACCCAGCCAATGCCTGAACCGTTCGACGCCGTCCGTCTGCTTTAGAGTCGAAACTATCGAGGCGAATCTGCATCTAGGACCAGAACTTGGTCCCTTGACGAGCCGCGTTTGCAGCCTTTTGCGGGGAAAGCATAAAACCCTCCAACGTTGGTACTGCATGGACACTAGAAACCGTCACCAGTCTTGTCCTAAAGCACGCTTCTAGCACATCAGCTGTTCGTCTTCTTCGGAGCTCTGACAGCTGCATCTTCCTTGATCTCCCGCATCTCCAACGGAGCCTTGACCGGCCGAGCCATGTTGAGAAATCCGGTGGTCAGAAGCCTTGATAGCAACTGTTTCGATGCGCGCAGATCATCAAGATGCGCTTACCTCCAAGCACAGGTGCCGATAGAATCAATGTCAAGTTTCGTGCATCGAGATTCAAATCCTCGAAGGAAAGCATCGTATACTTGCTTTGATACTACATTCGGATGATCCGTCACATCGCCAATGCTACTGTGATAAGCCCCTTCACACATGATCGGTGCTAGGCTCTCCACGCTTGTTGATGACGATAGGTTAGGATGTTCACATCAAAGCTTCGTACAAGTTACAACAGCACTTTCCAAGTCGAGTTCAACTTGCGATGGGTAGAACGCTATGTTGACCTATGCAGCCGTCTATATCTCGACGCCTCATTCTAAGTAACAGCGGCCAGAGGAAACATATGCAACACCCTTTCGGGGAAGAGTTCGACAAGCTGGTGCAGCATCCTCCAAACCATAGTGTTGAGATGTCCATGGATTCGTCTTGACAACCCCGCCTTCATCCTCGTGGCAGACTAAGAGCGGCCCATAGCAGCTGTACCAAAGCATGAGCCGCGCTCCAACCTCCTCCGAAGCCGTGCTATCTACGGTCCGCTCCCGTGTCTCACCAAAAGACCTGCTGTAAGTGCGTTGCCGGGACGGAAGACAAGATGTAAGGGACTCTTTCCCGTGTCTCTTGCAGCAGAAGACTACGAAAGTGGCCCAGAAAGGAGCGTCTACAGACTCTTCAAGCGGGGGTTGCATTTGTCTACTGACTTAGAGCCTGCGCGAAGTGAGTGTTTGTGAAGCTCTGGAGGCCTACACAGATTCAATCCTTGCACCAAACTACATGCCGCCCTGAAAAGGTCGTTTACATGATCGCCCATATGTACCATATGTACAATCGTAAAAATCTCCGACCGTGCGCGGACAGCGCTAGACTCCTTTGTCCTTCCGGAGCCAAATGATGAGAGCGACAAGGACGGCGCCTGTCAACACCCTCCCATCAACACCTGCCTCTTCCTCTTCCTCTGCTCGCCTCGGCCGCCCAGTTGCTGGCTTGCATCGGGGAAATAGGCAATGGTGGACCGGACGAGCATCGCGAGCCAACCACAGCGATGTTTCGTTTCACGGACTTGCAGCGTGGCGCATCCGCACGGACGCTCCACGGTGATCCGAGCAGGGGATGGCCCTGGCAAGATTGATGCGAACGCCCGAATGTGTGAAGAGTTGCGGCGTTTTTTTCTTCTCACTTCCTTTCCTGCCTGTTTGCTGGAGAATGGCCGCCAGCCAAGAACCAGGGTCCTCTGCGTTTCCTCCCAGTTGTTGCTTTTTTGGAAGTACTGTTATGAGACGTCGTGGGCGTGTTTGTTTGCCTAGAGTAGTTGGTGTTTAGGGTGAGATCACATAGAAAGTATCCAAATCATCGTATGGCTGGCTCGTACCAGGCAACATTGGAGCAGTGCTGTTGCGCAGGAACTGATAAAGAGCCCTGCACAGCTTCAAGGGACAACCTTGTTCTTCACTGCTCGTTCCGTTGTAGATTGAGATATCTCCATTTGGGGATCCTATCCTCCCCTCACGGCAGATTGCGCCGTGCCCGCATCACCTCTCTGCATAGGCGAGCACACACATGTCTCGTCTACAGGTTCTTAGTAGCCCAGCGCTCACGAATATGTGATATATGTAATACAGACTGACCTGATGATCAATTGAGTCGATACTTCAAGTGGATAGAGAGCGAATATCTGAAGGGAATGAGCTCTTGTACACGTGACATATCACATGGGCGGCGTGTCAAACTCGTGCTTGAGCATGGCGAATGCGGCGCGCGGCGCGTTGCTACTTCCTAACGAACTGGAAAGGCAACACGCCAAGAACTAGCCTCAAACCTTGTCTTGCCGGGTCAATGTGGAGTTCAAACGCCAGCGTTTTGACAATCGCTGGTGAAGCCACCCTCTCGTAGATGATGTCGAAAAGCTCAGTCAATTCTCGGTCGCAATGCCAGAAGTCATTGACTTGGTCTCGAGTCCCGCGGCGGCACCGCTCCCGAAAGCCAGAGCGAAGAGCCCCGCTGCTGGACTGCAACGAGCCGCGCCATCACGGCGGCTGGATTATGACGTCCTTGACTTGACCGGAGACACGCCGAGGCACGACTCACAGAGTCGAGTTTCTGCCATTGCTCGGGTCAAACGACCCATTGCTGCCCCTGTTTTATCAGATGGCTTTCTCTTCCTTTCTGATGACTTCAATACCACGGGCGATTTAGACGGGAGCCCCACGGAGGTTGTCAACAACAGGGCACCTAAAAAGCCGCGTTTGGCTGTGGACTCGGGCAGGAAACCCGCAAGCCCGGTCAGATTACCACAGCGTTCCTTCTTGGGCGCGCCCAAGAGCCTTGGAGGTAACACACTCCAAACAGCTGGCAGAAAGCGATCAGACGTAACAGTGGATGACATTGAGTTTACAAGCTCGCCTCATCTAGGATGTGAACCGAGTGCGTTCGGCGGAAAGAGTGCGCTCAGAAAGTCTCCGAGAGCAAACAAGGAGAATGTTATAAAGCCTGCTGCGTTGAGCCGCATAAATCTCGACTCAGATCCATTCGCAAGCAGTCCACCCCTGCCCAAAGCCGCACCGCCAAAGGAACCTGCGGCTTGGGATCACATATCGAGCTCTGCTCCTGAGGCCAGTCTTCGAAGTGATCCGTTCGCGAGCTCACCGCGAGTACTCAACAGAAGCTTCTCGGAGGTCATTGACTTGGAGGACACAGAGTCCCTGTCAGGATCTCTAGGATATTCGGATGACGAGTTTCCAGATATTAATAATATCAAATTCAGACAGTCGAAACCGAAGTCCATCACGAGCAAGGCGCGAGTGCCCCAAGTCAGGAAGCCATCCCAGACCTCAAAGTCTAGCAGCACAATGACAACTGATGAGAAAATTCGAGATAAGGCGGCGAAAACCGCTGCAAGAGAAGCTGAGAAGAGGCGCAAGGATCTTGAGAAACAGCAGGCAAGAGAGCAAAAGGCGCGAGAGAAGGAGAAAGCTGCTGCACTTGCAGAGGTCAATAAGATCCGCACTGATAAGAAAACGTCAACGCCTGAGATGATCGTTGACATCCCATCTTCGCTAAATGTTAGCACTACTCTTCAGATCGAGACTTTGCTCAAAGACTTGTCAGTGCAGTGCCAACCATGGACGAGTCCAGTAAACAATGTCATCCGATGGAGACGGAAGGTGGCTGCAAGGTTCAACGAAGACCTTGGACATTGGGAGCCAATTCCTATGCGGATCGAGCCTGAAAATCAGGTGCTTGTCATTCTCACAGCGGCCGAATTCGTGGAGCTCGCTCTTGGATCTGAAGGGTCGGATATCGAAGCACATGTTTTTAAGATGAGACAAGACTTCCGCGACCATACACTTATTTACCTTGTGGAAGGTCTGACTGCTTGGATGCGCAAGAACCGCAATATTCGCAATCGGCAGTTTGTCTCAGCAGTTCGCAATACCGGCGAAGGCGACTCCAGCGCACCGCCACCAAGTAGTCAGGCTCCTACTGGTCGCAAGAGAAAAAACGGTGCGCCGCAGGAGTACATCTCTGAGGATAGTGTTGAAGACGCGTTGCTGGATTTGCAAGTTTTACACGGTGCTCTAATCCATCACACAAACGCAGCGGTTGAAACAGCCCAGTGGGTGGCCGTCTTCACGCAACATATTAGCACGATACCATATCGTCGCCAGCGCGAGCAGGCGAACATGGAGTCGGCAGCGTTCTGTATGGAGACAGGACAGGTCCGTACGGGAGATGGTACGAAGGACACCTACGTTCGCATGCTGCAAGAAATTGTACGCGTCACAGCCCCAATTGCATATGGAATAGCGGCCGAATTTGACACCGTCTCGAGTCTCGTCAAGGGATTAGAAGAGGGTGGCCCGCTACGGCTCGAGGGTGTACGCAAGAGTGCGAATAAAGATGGCGCATTTAGTGACAGGAATATCGGGCAGGCTGTAAGCCGCCGGATACACAAAGTCTTCACTGGCCGGGATGAAAGGAGTACTGATATATAATAATTGTGAGACACATTGTTAGAATATGTCGACATGAGGTTTTGTTCGTCAGGAGCTTTTGAGAAGCGCCAACTGCGGCGCGGCTCGCACTACCCAAAGCTTATTCCTACTTCTAGCTTATACCAACGACATGAGGCAGATATAGCAAGAAACAATAGTACTTCTTCGCTTTAAATACGAAGTTCTCCATGAGAATACCTGATTTGCCCGTCTTATCACTGAAGGGATTGCTTAACCAATCCATTCACCACTTTAGGCCTGCCTCCCTCGCCAAATGGCATTGGCTAGGGTATTCTAATCGATGGCTTTCTCAATGTACGACAACAGCCAACAGAGTTCTGTCCTCCCTATGGAAATTTGCTTAAACATCGCATTACGAAGCGTATGTTGACCCGATATCTTTGCAGGCCTGTTAATTTAGTCCAGTCGGCATCGAATATGCCGAAACACACCGATCCCTCTTCAGCTCCTCCCCCACTAGAGTATCATTACCTTCTCAACAAGATATAACTACCTCCCCAGAAGCTAATAAGCCTATAGTAATAATCAGAATCTTCGATGCTCTAAGATGTATCACGACTCACATCATTTAGTATCTCGGCCTCTGAGCAGTCAACGGTTTTTTACCCCGGTAGAGGAGAACTTGGTGCCATGGGTGCATTGTCGGTAATTTTCTGGCCATACCTGCATGAACAAGATTGATAAGGTTATCATGCGGCACCATCCGACATGGTCAGCTGCGATAAGCACCAGGAGATATGTTGATCGTCAGTGAACGGCTCCCCTGCTCTATATTGATGCGGGCAACACGCATCCGTGGCGGGCGCATGGCAATTGGCCATCGCAGCACCTGCCAGAATGGTTACTCATCGAAATGGGCTATCTCTTCTCTCTCTCTATCTTACCTATCCTAGCCTACACGCCGCGCTCCCCTTGTCAGATATATTTCGAGTATGACGCTCATGACTTCGAGCGTCGTACAAAACAGCGGGCACCCCCGCACTCCAATATCACTTTCACCGCGATTTTGTGCCGCGACATTACCTGAACCATTCCCTCGGGTCGCGATCTTGCTGAGCTTTCATAATGGCCGGGTACAGGCATGAGCCCAAAAACGACACCTACAATAATTACGAATATGGAAGTCCACACCCCGTTACCGCTCGTGAAGAGTATGACTCTCAACAAGATGTTTTCGGTAATGAAGAGGGCGCAACTGTTAGTATCGTATTCTCTAACGTTTTGCTTGTATGTCTAATGTCCCTTGTAGATTCAGTACCGGACAATGACCTGGCATCTCGTGGCGGTCCTCATGATAGCAGAAATCGTTAGTAATGGTATGCTATCATTGCCATCGTCGTTGGCTGTTGTTGGGATTGTTCCGGGAGTTGTTGTCATCACTTTCCTGGGCATCTTCGCGACCTTTACGAGCTGGATCCTAATTCAATTTAAGCTGAGGCACCCACAAGGTAAGGCTTTGCCTTTCCCCTTACTTACTTCACACCTAGTCAATAGGCTTGATTGACTGGCTTTCAGTACACAGTATGGGCGATGCTGGCATGATCATGTTCGGTCCAATCGGCCGAGAGATTCTTGCGGGAGGCACCGTTATCTTCGCGGTGTTCGCTACAGGTGGACAGCTTCTCGCTGGTCAGATAGCTCTCGCTTCATTGTCCGACAACAAGCTCTGTCTCATGCTGTACACCGGGATTTTCACTATCCCTACCTTCCTCTGCTCTCTGCCGCGGACCCTTGACCGCTTGTCATGGCTCAGCGTTCCATCTGTGATCTCCATCCTAGTCGCGGGCATTGTTGGTATGGTCGGAGCGGGCCTGAATCCTGTTGCTGGCAGAGAAATTTCCGTGGCCAAGTCATCGGACTTCGTGATAGCCTTTATTTCCATTACCAATCCCGTCTTTGCGTACGCCGGCCATTTCATGTTCTTCATCCTGATTTCCGAGATGAAGGACCCTCGAGGCGCGATGAAGGCGGCGTACACTCTGCAAGGCTTTGCAACGAGCTTCTACGTGGTCTTTGCCACTGTGGTGTACTACTATATTGGATCGGACGTTGCGTCTCCCGCCTTCAGCTCTCTGCCCACGAAGTGGGCTAAAGCTGCATATGGCATTGCCATTCCCAACTTCCTCATCGCCGGTTCTCTATACGCACACACGGCAGCCAAGCTGATTTTTGTACGAATTTTTCGACGGTCGACGCATCTGCATGAGCATTCCGTCATGGGTTGGAGCGCATGGATCATATTGATTCTTATTAGTGAGTTTGCTCTGAGACAAATTATCCATTGATCCTCATACTAACAAATGCGTTGAAGTGAATGGCCTTGCATTCGTCCTCGCCATTGGCGTTCCTATCTTCAATTACCTCATTGGCATCGCGGCTAGTTTGTTTGCTTCTTGGTATACCTATGGTATCGCGGGTTTCTTTTGGCTGTACGACGCTTATCATTATGCTGGTGGAAAGTCTGCATGGACTCGGTCGTGGAAGATGTCGATATTATGCTTCCTTACCATCCTTGCTGGTGCGTTCATCTGTGTAGCGGGCATGTATGTAAGCGTTGACTCGATTATCATTGCGTATCAGGACGGCACACTTGGATCCCCATTCAGCTGTTGAGCAGCACGGCATATCACAGCAGGGAGTTCTTGCATCATCACCACATCGGGTCGTTGCATGTTCCAATAGATCTGTTCGGCCAACTTAGTGGAATGTTCACAGAGATGCATATAAGTTTCCTTTGAGTCACTTGGCTTCATCAAGATCTCTATGAGTGTATTGTCTCTAGCCTTGCAGAGATGCTGTCAATTCGACTCAAGATCACATTATCAACATCATTGTTGAGCCAAGCGCCATCACTACGATGCACCAGAGAAACGAGAGTCCTAAGGCCGAGTCTATCCGCCCAGTTCGAAGCGATGCCGCCGCATTGGGCGACGTTGAAGGCGTCCCAGACTCATTGTTGGCAGTAGCGGCGCTTGTGCTCCCACTTTCAGACGCTGTTTTAGTAGCCTCGAGATCCGATTCTTTGTGAACAAGCATTACCGCAGGCATTACAGATACTCCGACATAATCACTCGCTGAACTCGCAGGGACCGTGGTAGACGATGTCTCGGTAATCGGAAAAGTTTGGGTGTAGCTTATTATCTCGGCGGTCACCGTGGTTCCGAACACGCTGAGCGCTGTTATGGTTATAAGGTAATCAGGTGTAGGCACCCACCGCATGCACCCGGAAGATACATGGTAAGAAGGCATTACTGATTTGCACTGGCCGAAGAGATCTGCACTCATGGAGCTACATCTCACTTATTAGCATGCGAGCGGCCTGGCCATGAGATCTACCACGAGAACGGACCTTGGACAGCAAAGGACGGCCGTCTCCTCCTGATCCATGACACCAAGAAGGATATTTGGCAGAGGGTTCTGATAGATGTGGGCGAGCGAGCCAAGACTTTCCGTAGTGGGCAGGACGAAGGCCGGACCAGAGCTCGTGATGGAACCATCCTTGGACTTGGTCGCTACGCCGGCTGTTGTCCAACCCGTGGGGCATACCAGACCTGGCGAAAAATATCGCAGCGTATAACCAGCAAGGGGGTTCTCAATGTCATTTGATGCAAATGCGGCATCAATGGCCGAGCCAGAGGGGTAGCAGTCGCTATAAGTCCAGGCCGTGCACTCAGGCACGAATTGATTTGCCTCCGGCAGTGTCGCAAGAGCAACTTGCACTTTGTCTGTAAGAGTCGCGCATGAAGGTGCCGCGGTGAAAGTTTCCGTGAGCGGGCCCAAGTTGCTAATGGTATATGCAAATGCCGAAGTTGCGGTTGGCATGGTCAACAGTGTCCGAGTGTGCTGCGAACAGCACTCTGAATGCAGGATATTGCACTTCTACCATTGTGAACAGAAGTCAAAGTGGCCGAGAAGAACGTTTAATACAGCTTCTTTGAAGCCAGAAGGATCCGGTCATGATCCAATGACCATCGTTGGCTGAAGTCCTAATACGAGTTGAGATGCCTTAAGGTGTTGCTCAGGATGCCTTTTGATGATTGAATCGACTGTTGCGGGTAAGATGTGCGATGTCAGTGAGCGGCGCAGGGCACAACCATTTTGACCGTCCAGGTTGACTGCACAGATTCGCACCAATCGTGTTCTTTGAATGGGTGTTGGTAGACCAAAGGAGGCTGGTCAGGCCCAAACAAACTCTTGACCGACGTAATCTCGCATGGCTAACGATTCTTTGGGACATCCTCGCATCAAACCATTCAATAGATCAGAGCAGAACCAAGACGGAACACTGTATGTCTAAAGCTTATTGAATAGACTTAACCTAAGCGATGCCACACAAGTAATCCTTCGTGACAGGCGAGAGCCGAAGCTGAATCTGTCCCTAGGGCTGCAAAGTGAATGTCTTGGCATTTCATCATGTTATCGACCTCACCATCACAGGGCCGTCAATTACACCTGCACATGCTGTAATCTCAACATGTGATTAGATGAAACCGTTCTTTCTAATATTGATTTACAAGCTTCCCGTCTTTTCACCTTATGCCAACATTCTCGTACAGACCTGCGGCTCTGTCATGGTATGTGTACCACTTATGAATATGAACAGTATGAATCTAACATATAGTGTGGGGGGTGGATTTGTTTTCGGTGACTTAACAGGCGATGCGCAACTTTGCTTAACCATGTGTGAGGGTGCCGGACTTGTTATTGTTGATGTGAATTACCGCCATTGTCCCGAGGCACCATGGGGGAAAGGGGTCGAGGATTCCTGGGCGGCTTTACGATGGGTACGTCATCGTGCGCTTCTCTGCACATAACAATCAATCCAATTTTCAAGAATACTCATAGCCGGTTCTAGGTCAGAGACTCTGGGAATAACCTTAACATCAATTCCAATTCGATATCTATTGGCGGCATTTCAGCAGGGGCGTTCTATTGCTTCATACTGCAGCATTTGGTTAGGGATCATGGAATACCCCTGAAACTTTGTATCCCTTCAGTGGGTGGTGTCACCGACGCAATGACCTGGGAAACATATGTCGATTCGCCCTACCCGTCGTTCCACGAATTCCACAAAGCTCCATGCCTGAACTGGGCAAGACTTGCATACTTTGGCGAACTATGCTTCCCAAGAGACAAGCTTCCGGATATACGAGACCGATTGCCTGACTGGTGGCTGGCTCCGATCAAAGCGCAGAATTGGAATGATCTCTGCGACAGCTTTATCATTACCGCTGAGTGCGATCCTCTTAGAGATGAAGCCGAAAGCTATGGTATGAAGCTGATAGCAGGCGGAAACAAGGTGCAGTTCAAGAGGTTTGTCTTGTTCCAAGTCAAACTCGAGTCGTTCTAGACACTGATCGAAGAAATAGATATCTCGGTGTTCCTCATCCCTTTATGCACATCAAGGTATTGAAGCAAGCGCAGGATTATGATAAAGACATCAACGCTGCGCCTAAGGCCGCTCACGGCATTTGAAAAGGGGTAAACTTGTGACTGATCTCATCTACGGAACGTTGGTGTCACTTATTTACTGATGTACGCCGCTGCAAACACTGAACTTACACACATCTATCAATGTATTGTAGATCATCTTCGAAAATAGAGACATGTGCACACTTGTCACTTGAAAATTTAATTTCGAGTTCCTTGCATGTATATCATGCTACGTCTACGAACTTCAAGGCAATGATAATGCAATGTTTGACATTCTCTACCAGCCTTTCCAAGGAGTCCAGATATCTATGACAAGATCGTCGTCGTCAACGATATAGTACTGATTATAACAGGCTGCGGTGATACATGCATGCTGGATGTGAAGCATGATCTTTTGTCCCACCTCAAAGCACTCTTCGACCTTTTCAGATGTCCCCGACGCATCAGACACCTCATAGCACAATATTCCGTGCTCCTGAGATATCCTGCCGACGTTCCAGTTCGTGTGATCGACTACGCGGCCAAATCCTGGAAACTTACGACTAGTCTCCCGTGATAAAGCCAGGACACCGGCATTGATCAAGGCTTCGTTGCGCTTAGGATAAACACTACACACTTCAGCTACGACACGCATGGCCTGTTGTTTTTCAGTTACACAGCCGGTGGAAACTTGTTGTAAGTCGTTCACCAGGTAACAGCCTAGTTGAACAATGAGATGTTAGTTGATCGATTTCTCGAAGCCATCCTGGGATATCCTACCGGCATGAAGTTCAAGACTACAACCAACCGGAAGAGATGGAAAAGCCGCAGAACTGGCTGCGTGCGCAGTAGGAGTAGCTCCAACGGAAAGCACGATGGGATTTTCCAACCGTTCCTGTTCAGGTACAAGATTTGCTGCCGAAGCCACGGCTTGTATTTCGTCTTCCAAAATTCTCGCTGCGTCGGCCATGTCATCGCAGCGATACCCATGTCCTGCGTGAGTATAAAATCCATATAGCTTTACTTTACAAGAAGTTCGCACAGTATCGACAAGAGATCTCATATCTGTGGTTTCAAGGAGTAGACCAGCACGGCGAGCTCCCGAAATGCCCATGTCAACCTTCACGAACACATCCCAAATTTGACCTTCCGGTCCATTTGCTTCAAGGCATTGAATCTGATCAAGATGGTCAATCATGAGCAAAATTTTCACGTGCTGAGAAAGATCTGTAAGAGCTCTCCACGCCCCAGGAGGTAATGGAAGAGAATAAAGTATCTTCCAACGCGAAGATGGTAAGCCGGCTTCGTTTCTCAAAGTGTCTTTACCATCGGGATCACTTACTTCTTCCACAAGGCCATCGCGCACGAGCAGGAGGATCCCCCTGATTTCTTCTAAAGTTGAAGTAATAACTCTTTTCGATACAGTACCAAGCATCATCCTGGTCGCTTCCATGCACTAAGATGAAGGAGGTCAAATTTGATCCTTTGAGTTCTAGATATTTCTCACCTTCAAAGTCTTGACATGAGCGCGAAAATCTAGTCCCCGACAAGTCGTGCATTGGAGCATACGCTCGCAATTCTCTTTAAGCAAGTTTTTGCTCAAAATGAGTGCAGGGGTCGGCAATTCGGACGCCCGAAGGCCAATATATTGCTGCATTTCTTTTTGGCGAGACACAACTCAGAAGTGTAAATTCAGAAGTATAAACTGTTCAAAGTAGACTGACGAATAATATTTGAACATGGTAGTAAAATCTGTATCTAGACGATATATTATATCCAAATGACCCAAATTACTCTTACAACAAGTCTACACCAAAGCATGCTAGTGTCGAAACGGCGGTCCCG